CCTGAATCCACTGGATTTTAGGAGGTAGTTTTTATCCTTACAATGTTATATCCTCTGCTTTCAAGCAGTTAAAAGAGCACAGAGAATCCATTTCTATTTCCAGGAATAACAGACACATAATTCAAAAGAACAATAAAACACAGCCCAAGATCCACAGATGTGACAGGCAGATGTCAAAGCAGTTTCACTGATTTGGTATTTTGTGATTCCCACCAGAGTTACTTAAATTCCCAAATGAGTCAAAAGAAGTTGGGGTCCCTTCATTTACACCCAAGCTGCAAAGAGAAGACTAAGCAAAGTGACTTGTGTATATAGACTTCTATAGAAATGAATTATCAAGTTGCTCATGTATTCAAATTACTGCTTATATCAGACAGATTCTTCTCTGATTTGGTCTTTTTTTTAAAGCAGGTTGATGGTACAATGCAGAATGATTCTGCAAGAGATCTTCTGTAGGGGGGACACATGGCACAGGGGGAGGATATGCACCCACCACTCCACTGCTGGTATCTGTACTCCACCAGAAAACGAACTGCTAGGTCTTTGAACAGCTGTACCTGCAGACATAGGCACGCAGACACGCAGGCAGGCAGGCAGGCAGGCAGGAAGGACTGTGGTAGACCCACCCAACAGTACCGCATGATCACATGGAGTAAGCGAAGCTTGCTGGATATTCAAATGCAGGGGTATGGATGAATGCATGAGTTGGCAGCACTAGAGAACGCTAAGTCTCTTTAGAGCTCTTCTCTGTGAGGCTGTAAATCTACTCACCTGCTTTCGGTTTCATCACAGCTCTGAGCTTGGCACAAAAGAGCTTTCTTTTGCTGCTTTTCTGCCAAATAACCTCCTGCCCTGCTGTTCTCCTACTTGCCTCCTTCCAGTGCTCTACCGCTGTCTCCCCACCATCACCCTCCTTGCTCCACTCTTTCTCCCCATCCCAGCTTGCCAGGCCGTGGTGGCAAATGGCACCTTAAAAAATAGATAAATAAGGTATGAGGGGCTGAGACCCAAAGATGAGGATGAGGAGCACAGCTCAGAAGGCACGTCATGGTTCAGTACACACCTGCTTACTCAGAAGGCCTGTTTATTTCAGTTAGGCTTCTGCCCAAGTAAGTGGGCACAGAACTGAAGACTAAAGGGTTGTGTGTTGTTCCAAAGAATGGCACCATGCATGTCTCTGCTTCTGCTACTGCTCATGGGTGAGGGGTTACGTTGCAGAGCCCTGGACTTGAATCCAACCCACAAGGATACATGAAAGACCCATGAAGGCATTCCTGGACTTCTCACTTCATGCAGCCCAGTTTTAATTACCTCTAATTTTGGAAGTTAAGTATAATCAAGTCCAATGGGCCTATCCCCAGAGAAGTATACACAGGATTGCAGCCTTTATCTCCCTTCTATCCTTTCCCTTCTTTTTCTCAAAACCTTAATTAGTCTTAACTCTTTACTAGAAGTCACTGCATTCTTTGTTGCTTTGGATACATTCACAGGATCAGGATTTTAAATTTTGGGCTCTTCTTTTTATTTTAGGATTCCTCTTACACAGGTTTTGCAAAGTAATCAGGAAAGCCAGTAATTTGCTAACAACTGTTAAAATAATTTTAAAAAATTGGTCTGCATATGAAAGGAGGATTCATGATAGAAGCAACTCCCCCCCCCCAAATCCTCCCATTTAGCAACAATAATAGGTTACTTTTTAAACTTGAACAGAGATTAGGCTTGCTTCTACATTACGGTGTTTTTAGTATTTCTTAAATATAATTTTAGCAGCTAGAAGTGGAATTAAAGTGATGGTTCCACTCTGTGCTTAAATATTGGGACATATTATCTATGCTTGCGGTCTTCACCATGACCAAGAATGTCTAATCAGATCTTGTTCAGTGAAGTCCCCATCAACATTAATTAAATGTTTCCTCCAAGTAGTGTATAACTGTTTCATGTTTAGTGCAGAAGGAGCATTACAGTTGCCCATTCACAACTACTAATTATTTATCCACTCCATCTCATTTTTCAGTGCTTACTTCCGTAAAGATAAGACACAAGACACTCCCTGCCAGCAGGTTCCTAACGTAATAGATATGAAACAGAGGAAAAGGAAGTGGAGGTTGAAATGAAACCAATTCAATCACCAATTAATTAAATAAGATCACTTGTATTTATTTTTATTTATTTAAAACATTTTTATGCCGCCCCCATCGCAACAAAGCCTCGGGGCGGCTTACAACAAAAACAAAAATATACAAAATTATACAAAAACAAAGTTATACACTAAAAATATTAAAACTTGGTGCATCTCGGCTTAAAAATTTTAAAATCCTACACAATAAATTAACACTTAAAATAAGTGTTAAAAAGGTCTCCTGGCGCCGAAAAACAAATAACAACGGCGCCAGGCAGACCTCTCTGGGGAGCGCATTCCATAGGTGTATAATCTCATCTAGACTGGTACATCTTCCTATCTTAAGTATATTAAATCTGTACACTTTCTTGTACAAGCTACTATTTTTGCCCTGCCTAAATCTCTGTTGTGCTGGTAGTGGTGGTTTAAACAAAGAAGAAGAAAAAACCTACTTCTGACAGCTGTCAGAAGCAAATGTCAATGAAACGGGTGGGAGTATACTTTTCCACCTTTCCAAGTGCCTAAAGTCTCAGGACTGGGTGGAAAGGTTGGGAACACTGGGACCTGTGGTGGGGAAGGGGGGGGCACTCAAAATCATGAGGATCTTGTTATGATCAAATCAACCCTTTTGTGCAAAAAGATCATCCATTGCATTGCTTTCCCTTGACTTTGCCAGGAGAAACAAAGCCAATCCTCCTCTCCTGTTTGGAGCATCTCTGGATCAATGTCTAGGATTGGTACCTGCAGCACTCTGACAACAGGCAACCCCTGGGATTTCACTCAGGCAATTTGTGGGTTCATTTTGGAACCCACATGCTGTGCAATTTTCAAGTTTGACTAAATAGGTTTAAAAAAAAATCTGAAAACTTTTGCACATTCAGGACATAACATTTTTAAGGCAGTGGCCAACCAGTGACTTTGGAGAATCTGTCACTGGTGGTGCACAGGCAAGATTGCCAGGAGTTGCAATCACTCTTGCTTCACTCACCAGCTCTCTTTATTCATGGTGGAATCAGTTGCCTGGGATCAAATGACACAACAACCCATCATGAGTAAAACAACACCCAGAACAGCCCATGGGTTTCTGGGGTGGCTTATCTGGAAAAGATAAGCTGCCCTGTGGGAAACAGTCTTGACTTTGATGACAGGACAGCCCACCACAGTTAGCCACCCATGATGGATTGTCATCTTGTGTGATAACCCAGATTTGCAGTTCCAGGGCAGTTAAAGGCCCAGTAGCCAAGAAAAGACCCAGTGATCCGCCTTACACAGGCTAGTGCAGTAACAGCATTTTAAGGGGAAAACCAGCATGTATTAGATCTAAAATACGGAAGAACAACATGTAACAAGCCAACATGCAATGGGTTGATAAGTGAATTCTCAGTAAAAGGTGAGTAACAAAAGTATGGCAATTCCAGTCAAACAGCTAATGTGGAAACAACCAAAATGTGCAAAAATAGAGGTTACACAGGTTTCAGTTCAAAGTTCACAATACATCTCTTCTACAAGCTCATTCTACATAGAAAGTCTTCTTCCTGGATGTCCTATTCATTAGAATCAAATGAATAGATCTTTGTAGTTTTACCTAGGTTTAATCTTCTATCCTATGAAGGTACGCCCATCATTAAACCACAGTGTTTACACATGTAAATCAGAGAAAATGCCTATCATTTTAAGAACACTTCACATTACCGTAAAAGCAACCCATCAGTTGCCATCTAGGTTTGACAGTCAATATTCACAAGCCTTTTCCTAACAGACATGTACATAGGTTTGGGCACTTGACTGCAACACTGTTCGAGTTCATGCATGATGGCAGCAAATCCTGTGTTAACCCACAGTTTGCCATGGTGCACACAACAGCTGCTCCATGTGGTGCTGCTCTGACTGGGCCAATGAGAGGCTGCTGAGTGTTACTCCAACTCAAACACTATGTCCTGGTTTGCACATAACAGCAACAAAGCCTCTGCCTCCACTTTACAGCATGGCCCAAGTTTGGCTCCCTGGTAGGTTATGTACTGTGACATGTCAGCCTGGTTCAGGGGCCAAATGACTGAGCAGTCAAACCCAAGGTTTGTTGATGCATTAACTGCTGGTTTGCCCAGCCCCTAAACAAGCCCAGGTTTGCATGTCATGCTGCACACAATACAAAAGAAGAGGCAGACACTACGGCACACCCATTTGTGTATGACAACCCATCAGTTTTTAAACTGATGGGTTTTTTAATGTGTGAACAACCACATGGGTTGATTTTAGGTTAACCAACCTGAAGTTAACTTACAATTATTGGAGGCTAAATAATCTTCCATTAAACTAATAATTAACTCACAGTATCTGGGTTTGAATGAAATGGAACAACCTCCTATTGACCTGAGTGGACAACCTCCTATTGACAGACAGATGCCATATAAAGTCACTTAGATACTCTGAAAACAAGGAATTGTATATGACATGGAAAGCTTGCAATGGGATGTAGAAGAAAAGAATATTGTTTAACAACCAGACTCAAACCAATATCAATAATCCAGTTTGGCATATACTGTATGCCTATAGGTTAAATTGACTCAATTTGAACAACATGGCAACCCATTGTAGGTAACCATCGACAGTGGGTTATCATGCTGTGTGAACCCAGACTGCTTCCTGAAGAATGTCTGTGAGTAACAAGCCACCCTGCCAATCCACTGTTCACTGCAGGAGTTCTAGAACCCACAATGCAGTCATCTGAAGAACCCTTATGGTGTTACTTTCATTCATATAATGTATACACCACTGCCCTTAGCACTTCCAGTAAAAATATGAACCTATACATTCTCGGTGTGACTACAAGGGCAACAAGTTAAAAGGCAAACTCCAGAGTTAATAAGAAGAAACCCACAGATTTTGATTTGTGTTCAACAGTTTATTTAACTGATATTCCGTTTATTTATTAAACCATTGAGCATCCAATGAATTGTATTTTTTCTTGCTAATTACAAGCAAGAATGGCACTGATTTATTTATTTTAAAAAAGAAGTAATACCATTTGATTCTTTCCACTGACTCGATAGAATCTCCACTGTTTAATCATATCTCTGGATTTCTGAAACACTGGCTTTTTCATCCTCATAGCTGAGTGTATACAAAATGGGGAGCCTGGTTCAATGAAAGAAGCAATCTAATCTACTCACATATAGTCCAACCATACATCTCTACTGAACAACATCTCATTGCTGTTTTCATAGTACAAGGTTGCATTGAGAATGGGTTTGTCAGTAAACTCTACCAAACATTTCTGGGTGTCACAAGGAGATTTCTCCAACTCCAGAACAGTAATATTGTTTGGAGAAGATGAAACAAGTATGTTGCTGGGAACAAATACTGTCAGCTGAGGACCACGGACTGGCCAGTAGCGTCCCAAGTTGAATCCATTGATCCAGACTTGTCCCTGCAAAGCAAAAGAATATTAGAAGGAAACAGAGTTTTGACCAACCTAACCCTGAATTCTACTTGATATTAAAAAAGACAAATAGGACATTCTCAACAGAGAATTTAATTTCCCTTTAAAAATACATATTTTGCATTACACCAAGTCATGTGTGGCATAAAAAATACAGCTAAAGGAAATGTTAGCAGAAAGCATTGTCCCAGTGTCAGCAACAGGTTGTGACCTAGAGACTAGAGGGATATGAGCCAGGGACTTTGGGAATGTACCAGCATTCCCCTCAGGACCGAAAGAGGAGAACCGCATGACGCAAGCTTCATTAAACTCCTGGTTGTGGAATTCCCTCCAAAGGGAGATTAAGTTGGTTCCTTTGGGATGGGTCTTTAGGCAACTGGTAAACATTCTGATGCAGTTCTGCTGAGCTTGTAGCAGTATAAAAATGAATTAGACCAGGTTATACTGCAAACCATATTTTAAAATATTCCAAATCATACATCAAACATTTCCTTTATGAATATTAAAAAGTTTCACACTTAGTGGTGCTGTTCTGGACAAAGACACTATTGGTTGCTCTCAGCAAGGTGTTAATAAGTGGCAACCTCAGAAATAACAGTATCAAAACAATCTCTGGCTGTGGCTTTGGCAAACTGAATTTACTACTCTCTCTTCTGCAAGGTGGTCATGTTTTACTGTTGAAGCATTTGTTGCATTCAGGTCTAAATTGTGCTACGTCTTCTGCAAATTCACTCAACACACAAAACAATTTAACACAAATAAAGGCATGCAAAATAGCATCATAATATTACAACCTTGGCTCATCTAGTAAGGTTGAGTGGTAGGAAATTCAAGACAGGCAAGACAAAGCAACACTTCACACAGTGCATAGTTAAACCACAAAATTCCTTGTCCCAAGAAGTTATGACAGTCACCAACTTAAATGGCTTTAAAAGAAGATTAGATAAGTTCATTTGGGATAAGGCTATCAATGGATATTAGTCATGATGGCTAAACTGCTACATTTAGGATCAGAGGTCAGTACGTCCCTAAATATGATTCACTAGGGAAATGGAATTACAATATAAGTATATACTGTACTTATGTGGGCATCTCAAACTCATCTGCTCAGCCACTGCAGTCTAATCCAGGTGGGCTTGTCTTAGGCAAGTCATTTATTTTAAAATCTATGATTTAAAATGCTGCAACCATGTAAAAGTCTATCAGCCTACAGGAAAAGCTTTCTTAAAAAACCAACAACAGGTTTTTACAGAATAGATGGTAAAGAGACCTACTGCACCTTGCTAAATGCACCATGGTATCATGCTTCCAGAAGCTCCACAGTTCCCAACTTTGCCCAATCTGCAGATGCTTTGGATTACAATACTCCATCCTGTCCAGAATGGAAGCTGCAACCCAAAAAAAAGGCACAGAGCAAGGCCTCTGCTACAGATCAAAGGGCAAGAGAAGCCACCTGTTAGAGAAGGTGCTCTCTAATTAGAAGGTGCAGTGAGATGCAAGAATCAGGAAGAGGATCACCCTGGCTTGAGCATGGTCTTAGCTCTAACTAAATCACTGGTTTCCTTGTTCCTTCCTTCTTTCTTGACAATAATCTACATAAACGCAGTTTGCTGATTCCCTTAAGCCAGTAGTTTTCAACCTTTCCATAGTTGGAGAGTGGCAAAAACAGGAGAACCAACTTGGGGACCACTGAGTCAGAAACAAAAAGCACCATATACACAATACAGAATTCTGTCCATTAGTTTCCAAACCCAATACCAAAAAAAGGAACATTTTACAAAACAAGCAGAAACCGAGCAACAAAAAATGCCAACAAAATAACAAAATACTGAAATCGGCACAGCATAGCTCTCTCTCCCCTCCCCACCCTCCCTGGCAGCACTGGTACACCCCCCATAAATGTGATGCCAACTGAGAAAGAGGTGGTGAAATACAGCCAGCCCTCACGAAGGTCCATGGCAAACAGGATGCGGCCCCCTACATACTGGCAGGAAATCTCCCACAGACCAGCACTAGTCCATGGACTGGTGGTTGAAAACCACTGCCTTAAGTAACTACTTCCTTTAAGGTTCTTCCTTACAGATGTAAGATGATTGAGTGACACATTAGAGGCAAAAGCCATCTGCAGGATATAGCAAGATAGTCTGACTGCATATGAAAATCTGTATTATTCACACAGTTTACATGAAAAGCATTAAACAAGAAACTACAGGAATGCAATCAAAATTACAAAAGCCTATAATCAGAAACAACAATGGATAAGAAAATTTTCGATCTTTCCTCTCCATCTTTGAATTTATGTTCCTTGTCCCAAAAGAAAGCTAGTATAAGCATGCCGAAATGAAGAAAATCTTTACAATTAAGTTTCCTGTGAGTCCCAAGAACATGCTTTTGAATATCGTTCCAGAGACTCTTTTAAAAAACATGTCAGAGTTATTTAAGTGTATGACTACAGCAGCAAGAATCACAATAGCTTCTAAATGGAAATCACCAGAGCCCCCAACCATTGAAGAATGGAGAAAAAGATTAGCAGAATATGCAGTGATGGGAAAAGCTAACTAACTATATAAATAGAAAATGGGTTAGAAGACTCTAATGACAAATGGGAATTTTATTGTGCTTAGCATGACAAATGGAAGTTCAGGGGAGTTTGGAAAAGAAAAAGGAAAGCAGTAGAATTTGAACTGATTAGAAAATCTGTTGATATATAGAATAATGATTTCTTTTTTGTAAACACTCATAGGGAAGATAGGAAGAAAGTCAGTTTTGGGGGCTGCAATACATAGGATGTATTTGTTTAAAATTCCCTTGGCAACTTTGTCTATTTAACTTTAGTATGTCCTGTTTCTACTAGTTTTTTTTCCTATTCTACATTTTCTTCTATCCATTTGTATATGTTTCCCGCCTAGACTTCTGTAACGCGCTTTACGTGGGGCTTCCCCTGAAGACAGTCCAAACACTTCAATTGGTGCAAAATAGAGCTGCCAGGTTGCTGACGGGGACGGGGCGTTATGCTCACGTGACTCCAGTCCTCCATCAGCTTCACTGGCTTCCCATTGAAGCCCGGGCCCAATTCAAGGTGTTGATTATGACCTACAAAGCCCTAAACGGCTTGGGTCCTGGCTACCTGAACGAGCGCTTACGTCCGTATATGCCCGACCGCCCTTTGAGATCTGCGGGAGAGTCCCTTCTCCAGGAACCCTCCATGAAAGAAATTAGGAGAGTAAGTACCCGGAGGAGGGCTTTCTCTGCGGTGGCGCCCAACCTATGGAATTCACTCCCCAAAGAGGTCCGCCTGGCACCGTCGTTACTGGTTTTTCGGCGCCAGGTAAAGACCTTTTTATTTAAACATCATTTCAATTGTTAAAACATATGATCTGGCCTGGGCAACTTCTTCTTCCTTTTCTTTCTCCTCCTATATTTTTATTTTATACTGATAATTTTAATTTTGTATTTGTAAATCAATGTATTTTTTTGTATTTTTATTTTTAATGGTAATTTATTATGTACTATTGTATTTCAATGTATTTTATCATGTTGTAAGCCGCCCCGAGGTTTCGGCAAGGGGCGGCATAGAAATGTTATAATAATAATAATAATAATAATAATAATAATAATAATAATAATAATAAGAAAACTAGTGTAAGAACTTTTGTGGCATGGTCTTTTTAAACAAGATCAGCTGTATTAGTTGCTCAGGCATTTTGGATGGAAGGTCACAATGGCTGTATGTATGGAAGACTGGCAGTTTTAATTTGACCTTACATAACAAAGGACTATTTTCTGAAAATAAGGATACCAGCATAAATTAATCAACATTAAGATTCAGCCACTAGGCATCTATAGGTCCTAAATATGTGTGAGATGCCTCTGTACAACCTTGTGCAAAAAATGCACAAGTTAATTACATTTTTAATGACATGGCCTTCTTAAATTATCAGAATGTGGACAGGGCCACTGTTGGGCCATTATTCACTGACTTTTATGGTTTCTAACAGAAAGACAAACAAAAGGGTCTTAGATCACATCAAACAAGAATTTGCCCTGAAAGTAAAAATGGTGAAACTGAGGCCATCATACTTTAGGCACATCATGAGAAGGCACTGGAGAAGATAATGATGCTAAAGAACGTTGAAGGCAGATGAAGAGGAGACCAAATATGAGATGGATCCATTGCATAAAGGAAGCCACAGCCTTGGATTTCCCAGAGGTAGTAAGGGCTGTCAAGGATAGGGCATTTAAAGGGCACTCATTCATAGGGCTGACATAAGTTGATGTCTTGAAGGCACATAGCAACCCTTTCTAATGGTTGAATCACTTAACAAATGTTACTAGTATAAGGTAGAGTCTTGCCACTACAGCTGATGCCTGGAATTAGCAGCATTAGAGTTGCCAATAAACAACACCTCTAAACTTAATTTAAGGCAAAGGATTTTGAAATTAGAAACTGAATGAACCTTTTATGACAAGGAAAATTACCTTTGTCCACCCAGGAAACCTGATGAAGGTGTCCTGCGGTAAGTCAGGGATTCCACTAGGAATAGAAAAATGGCCAATATAAAAAGTAGGCTCATCATAGCTGGATTGATTCCCATCAGTCTTCTCATTTCTGAGGTCCTGGCCCACTGCTCGGTCAATATCCAGTGGATATATCTCCCAGTTAATGAGTATCTCCTCAGCAAGAGTTACATTTGAAGTCAGCCCCTGCAAATTGATTGATAATAAATAAATAAAAGAAGGGGAAAATAAACCAGACTTTTCTTAAAGGTTCATTGGTATAAAACAAGAAATTATTACAGTTTAAGAAACATCCTCAGGAAATTACTTAGTTTAGTAGCAATTTGTCTTGTCTTTTTCTACTTTGCAGCATTCCTGTGATTACCGCAGTAAAATAGTTAGTTCAATACGAATAATCAGAAATTGGATTTTGAAATATAATGTTCTCTGGAAACACATCATCACAAGAATCCATTAAAGGAAACTGTATCTGAACATAATCTTAAAAAAATAAATAATGTACTCCTAATCAGCTATTCTCCCATGAACACTGTCACCATTTAAAGGCATTAACCTAACTAACCTTACACATGTCTACTCAAAAGTTACTCCAAGGCTACTCAAAAGTCTACTCCAAGTGAGTTCAGTGGGCATTATTCACAGGAAAATGTGTATGTGACTGCACTCTAACATAAGACGGAGTACTATCTACTGAAACAGGACAATAGACATTAATTTCACATACTTTTTCCTGGCCTCAAATGAAGTACTACTCGAAGTCACATAAATTAAATGCAACTAGGTTTTTCAAATTTCCAAAAAGTGAATTTTCAAGTTCAATAAAAGTACAAAATAAGGTTGGGCATATTATTTCATTTAGAAAGAAGAGTTGCACCAAGACATCAACGCTATATTTTAGCAATTTAGGAAAAAGCCATAATTACATAATCAAAACCAAACCCTTGAATCACAAACATAAACTTGAACTGCTCTTATTTGCTTATCTGAATAGTAAACAGGTATATCAATATTAATGAGTGAAGGTGAATTGGTAAATCTAAAAATTAGTTCTCTAGTACAAAAGTTTTCAGCTTAGTAGCTTAAACACGATCTGCTCTGAGGCTTCAGTTTGAAAGATCTTTTGTCAGATAAAGTTAATCTAGGATTCTAATCTCACCTTTAAACCTTACAGTACATTTTGCTTCACATGCCAAGTTTCCACATCCTGTGGAAGGCTGTGCATATTTAAAAGGTAAGTTTCTTAAAGAAAACTAAAGCAAGATACGGTTTTATTTTTGGCTAACACACAGTAATGTCCCAGCATTTTTTTTTCAATTCCCCTATGTTTTAACTAAGGGCATAGTGACAAGCTTGTTTTCTTTTCTTTCTCCAATTCCTCCAGCATATCAATCGATATGGAGGATCACCTGTGTCAAACAAGGCTCTACATGGTTCAGTCAGCTACATCTAATAGACATTTATCCTATCGCTGTGACTGGAAGAAAGTGGCCACCACAAATGGAGCAGTGGCTGATGGTCACTGTGAGCATCTCCCTGTCGAGCTTGGCCACTAAGAGGTTTCTTTAGACAACAGAATTAGCAGGGATCATGGGGAGAAAATAAGCACTTGGGAAGTAACTATAGGATATTTCTCTTTGACAGCCTATTTTTATTATCAGGGAGATAACTGGAAAATAGAAAGGCTGAGTCAAGAAGAGCCCGTAACATTCCTCCAAGTGGAACATTAAGGAACCCAAAAGTCAAGCAGTATTCCATGGCAATCGACTATCAACTGCAGACATGGGATGAACAAAGACTTCCAGGTTACAAAGATTAGGATGAAAAAGTACACATCCATACTGTACCCTCTGCCTAACTCAAATATGCACAAATTTAGAAGGGTGTCAGGGAGCCCTCTGTACTAATCTAACACATATACAAGGAGGCCAACAGCATCCAAACAACTGCTCATGCCCCTGAAGGAGGTAGCTCAAGATAACCTCTCCCCATGAAATGATTCCTGTTAAGGCTTTCTGCTTTAGCATGATTTCAACTGCAGCTCATGTACATGTTGGTTATTAACCAAATCGTACACTGTGCGCAGTACCCTTCACTCACCTCCACCATAGGCAAGTACTTTGTTGCATCAGTACGTGGATTACCACTGAACGGCTGTGCTAGTGTGACATACTCCTTTCTAGTTAAAGAAGTCAACAAGCCTCCCAGCTCTTCCATTCCCAAAGGACCAGCAGGTACCCCACACCATTGCAAATGTTGTTTGACCACAAAAACCAACATGGTTACATTTTGTAGGACAATTATACCAGGCAAAGATGTACCTTGAAGTCATTGTTGTATCTTCCATAATTTACTCGGCCCATATTTTCTACCAAGATATCCAAATATGCTCCAGCATTCCCAGTAATATTAATCTTTAGCACTTTGCTTCTTTCAAGGACTCCCTGAGGAATCTGTACAAAAAAAGAATCAATACTTAAAATCTTAAAAACAGGGTACAAAGGCAAATTACTGTAGTGTGAATTAAGGTGGAATCCTATGCTTGTTAAAGACAGAAACAAAGGTTTACAACTTCCAGCATGACCCAGCCAGAGAGTTCAAGGCCTGTTTTCTGTCTAAATATGCATAGGATTGCATCCTTTGTGTCTCTGTTTTTAGATGTCTTTGCACTTGCATGTGAGGATTTAGTAAGAACTTCATTTTTCCACCCTCAAGTCTGTCTACTCATAATTTCAGTTAGCTGGACATTTGTCATACAAAATCACTCATACTTTCATATTTTGTGGGGAAAACAAATAACAAGTTCTGAGGAAGTTTAAATTTCCCCACCCTCTATGCTCAGGAAGTTTAAATGGCCTAAATACAAGCTGATGTGCTTGGTAGGTGTACTGAAAATAACTATTCTGAGGTAGTGAAAATAGCTCATGATTTTCTTGGTGTTCTGCTCTTTTGTAAAAAAGAAACTATAGTTGAAACGTAGTGAGAAAGTGAATCTTCCAGATGGAATTGCTTCCCAAGTGGATAGTGGCTTCAGACAGCCCTGATCCGTTGTCAGACGCAACCCTTATTATCAATCATATTCTCACCCATTGTTTTGATTTTCCTAAGTACCGTCTTCCATTCTCTTATAGATCTCCGAGTCCTGATGCTGATGTAACATCCTCAAACATAATTATAGGACTGGAAGCATCCTGCAAGCTCATCTGCTCTTTGACCTAACTTGCTTTTTTCAGAGCCAACATTATATCTGATTGGATGCTAACACACTCGATGTTGAGGCTCAATCTAGTTGGCAAAGCTATTTCTAGCCTTAATTACAAAGTGCTTTGAAGAGGAACATAGTCCAAGTCATTTCCACTACTCCTCTCCCATGCCAGCCAACCAATGTAAGTTAGGAACAATCTGCTTTGCATGCATCACAGCCACTCATCAAGTGATAAGTAATGTATATGCACCAGAGGGCCACCTCAAAGCCAGTTATGCTCTTGGTTTGGACCCATAGAGGGGGCAGGGGATCAGTCATGCTGAATTTCCAAGGCACTCAAAGGACTTCAGAAAGGCAGCACGAAAAGGAGAAACCCCAGTCCTTTTCTTATGCTTGAATTTGTCTCTACAGTTGTCTGGTGCTTCCAAGAACCTCTAAGCACCTCGAAAGACTCACATGACTGCAGAGGCAATCCCTCTCTTTTCTCTAGTCCAGCCATGGGGAAAGAACCCCTCATCAGGCATGTCCCTCCTCAGAAAATAAATGCAAATGAAAGAAAAATCTAATGAAGATTTAGTAGCAGGAGAGCTGGATATTCTGTTGTTTCCCCTTACCCCATCCACAGAGACATAAGCGCGGTCATGAATTCCATCAAACGTTGAAGACAGTGGAGTTTTCTCAGAACAGTTTTTTGGCAGCCTAGTTCTGTACAACACATACCCAAAGTACTTGAAGAAGAAAGTGGGAAGAAAGTTGTTAACAGAAAAAGTTATTATGACAAGTCAGCCAAAATGGCAAGCAGTACCAGACATCCCTATCTTATGCATCAGTACATCTAATTTTCATAGTTTTAGAGTATTTTACAGCACACCCTAAATTCCAAGAATTTAGTCTAACATAAAAATAGAAACATTACCTATTCAATATTCAGAGGTTTTTGTTAAGGTCTGCCACTTTACCTCTTTAAGGGAAATTTTCATGGCCTGTAGTTTTGCTTACCCATGTTCACCTGCTTGAAGTAGTTGTACACTGGTCTTCTTTCTCCTTATAAATATCCTTCCTTCTACCCAGTACTCTTACCCATCTACCCCCTGACAGAGAAAGTCCACTTGCTACACTGCAGCATCTTTTTACTCAAGCTTCTCATTCCTCACACTTCTTTCCAGGACAATCACTCTTAGGACCCAATCTGATGTCCATTAAATGGAAGAAGGCCCTGCAACTCCCATCCGTGCCGTCTAAATATGGTAGGATTGCACCTTCCATGTCCAATCCCTTCTGAAACAAACAGCTCTGCTTCCCACCTAGTACTGCTTCATTCACATGCTACACATCTCACCAAAGTTACATATATAAATTATCACACATGGCATGCATCATTTAATGAATTTTACAATATGCTAAATCAAAAACTGTGCTGAAGCCAGCTTTTACCTGCTTCACTTGAACGAATGTTAAGGGATAGATGCTTTTAATTGGTCCAGATGGTGACAGGTTGGCCAGAAGTTCCCTCACTGTGCCCACCTACAGTGGAGCAAAAACAAGGAATGATTTGCAACTATAATTAAGTGTGCAATCCAATGCATGCAGGCTGGGGGATGCTGGGAGTTGTTGGACTTATGTCTGTCCATGCATGCATAAGATTGCACAATGAATGCATACAACAAAGCGGGAATTTTAAATCATGGTTTCGAAGAGACCTAAAGCGCACGGTATTATAGAGGATAAAAGAAATGTTTAGTCACTTTGCCTGTTAGTGCTGGTCATTGTGGGGCTCAAACAATTCATCTGCTGGGCACGTTGTTAAGGTGAATTTATGGACTGTGAATTTGTGGCTTGTTCACAGCAGTATCACTAAGATTGTAATTATACTCATGCTTGCAGTGCAAATTTATCTCCTTATCTAAGAACTAAATTTCCCAGATGTTGCTATATCTAATTGGAATGTACAGACTTCTTCAACTCCATGTTGCAAAAATCAGTACTGATATAACTTAAAGAAAAACTGTCTCCAACTTCAAAATTACAGCAACTACAACTCACAGAATTCTACCATGTTTAAACTGCTGAGAGTGAACAGGTATTCTTTTTTTAAATACTAAACCGTAAAAGGAAAAAAAAGTATCACCCACCCTATGCACATGAAATTATCTACTGAACTATATATGCACCTATTTACCTTCTCCAGTGGAACTTCTCCGTAGGCAAACTTGGGAGTTGTTGGAGGTATAGGACCCTTTGGAATTTCCTTGTACTAAAATAAGAACAAAAATTTGTTTGAGATTCGAAGAACCAATTTCCTCATTCTCACGTACACAGGGTCACGAAAGCATCCTATTAATCTATGAGAAGGATAGTCTTTATAGATCCATTTTACCAATGCATGGTCTTCCTTGGTTTGTGGTATCTGTAGTTCGAATCCCGTATTAGCTTCTAGCACAATTAAATGATTAGGGGTGTAAATCAATAGGAATTTATCCTGCACAAGCCCCACTGAAAAGAATGTGCAATAGAAGAGCATGATAGACTGTGTTCACTGGCTCTCCCTGTCTCAGCCAGAGCCTGACTCCTATTCTCTGTGCTGCTTTGTTCAAAGTATGGGAAGCAAAGTTGTAATATTGCCCCCTTTCACCCAGCAACAAAGCGACTTCAAACCATTTAATTTAGTTTAGTTTTGCATCACTTATTAATTGCACTAAGCTGATTAAGTGTACATTTGGATGGCAGGCCTTCCTAGAATCTTGCTGTTGTCAGAGATAGCAGTAGGGGATGCAGGTGGGGGGGCACCTGCACAGCACCTTGAGGAGGGTGCCGTACACATGAAGCATCCTGAACCGTCTCAATCCCAGATGTTTTGCCTCTGTGGCAGCTTCCCAGAGCCACTGGGGAAGCTCCTCAATTGAGTTCAGCCACAGACCTTTGTCTGCTCCACATCCTTTCCCAGTGGTAACAACCCAAAACTGTATGCAGTGAGGCTGGTTCCCAGTATCCATGCAGAAACATCCTCTTTCCAACAGACACACACACTGGGGACCAAATGATGTCAGGGTGGCTGTCCGTACCCCTTTGATGTTCTTCAACACAGGTTGGTGGCCTTTATCAAATTTGTCAAGGATCTTCCTCATCCTGTTTACACAGTATCCCATAAAGCAGGGTTAGGCCATGTGGTTCCCTCCAAGTGTTCTGGACTGCAATTTTCATTATCCCCAGATAATGAAACAGTCAAGGTTTATGGGAGGTGCAGCCCAAAGTATCCGCTTAACACCAAGTTGCCTACCCCTGTTATAACAGCAAACAAAGTTTTGGCTGGTGGAATGTGTTCTGTGGATCCTCTGTTTTCTAACTCTGGACTGAATAATCATATCACTTCCTGCTCTGCTGAATCACACTGTGGTAGAGCTCAGACATGTTGAGCAACAATCATTTACAATTCCTTAATAAATTGGAAGCCAAAGTCCATGAAGAACAATTTATGCCAGCAATGCTTTAGAAATAAACTCACCATGGAAATGACTTCCCTGATAGCAAAATATTTTTCTGTGAGATCTCCAGCTTCACTCAGTGGTGCATCGTAATCATAGCTAGTAGGCTGAGCCATATAAGGCATATTAGCTCCTACAAAGAGGAAAAAATATAGTTGTATATAACGTACTTTTCATACGACCTCTCAGCAAGGTAGTGTTTAAATTGTTTTTCCTCCAGCCTGAATATCTTTGTTGATTAATAAAAGTAGCATTTAGTTTTGAAGAATCTCAACTGTACTTCATGGTCCATGTGCTGAAGCATCTTGTTTCCCAGAGTGGACCATGTAGGGTCTTTCACATCCCAAGAAGACTAGCTGAGCATAGGAACAAGTACGTTTACCAAGATAATATCTCTATGCTTTGCTTGACTTCTATGTTCTTGAAAGTGAACCTCTGGATTGTGGTTGCCCAGTAAGTGATATTCTTCTATCACTTCTTCATTTAATGCCATTCCATTTTAGTTGTTCCTTGCTCCTTTGTTTAAAAAAGGAGAATAAAATAGGGTCTTATTTTACCTTGCAAGTTATTATTATATTCCTCCTCCTTTCAAATAGAAACAAAGCAGTACTGAAAGCAACAGTGACAGTTTGAAACGACAAGTGACAAGTGAAACGACAAGTGACACACACACACCTTACCATTCCAGTAGCCAAAATTAGTTCCCCCTATAAACATGTACCTGAAAAGAGAAGCAAAGAAGCACTCAGATGTTTCACCCAAAATTCTCAAGTACTGATTTAAATATATGTGATTCGCATACATGTTAACATTGGCTCCGCGGGCCAGGATTTCACTAAGACTTTTAGCTATAATTGATGACGATACAGTGGAATGAGGCCTGCCCCAGTGATCCAGCCAGCCAGTGTAGAACTCAGAATTGACCTGAACAAACAAACATAGAAAAAGAAGAAACAGAGTGAGAGTATAAAGCAGAAAGATAGCAAGCTATGATAAAATGCAGAACTACTTCCCAAAGAGGCCAGCTGGCTATTCTCAGCAAGCTCATAAGCAAGCCATCATAGGAAAAAAATTTTCCTTCATACTGCCCTCTTTGGCTGATACGTGAGGCCACACTCAGCCTAACCACACTTGGCAAGCTCTGGTGATAAATCATGCAATTCTTTTAATTGTGCAAACCTGGTCATGGTAACCCTCCAGTACTATTGGAATGTCCTGCTGTACCATCAACCAACCCAAGCCCAACTTTCCACAGAAACCAGCCTTCCCCAGTACGAAGTTACTATGACTAACTTCAGGCTGTCATGTATTCACATCTGCAGTACTGCATGAACATGGGGGGAAATTTTCATACCAACGGGCCTTTGGGCTCACTGCGTCTCTGCGTTAAAAATGCCGCTGTGACATTGCTACCTGAAAATCAACAAAACAGAGTCACATCTGATTCCTAGGTTGCGATGTCTCTCCACCACACACCTTCAGAAAATTTCTGAAACACACACAGAAAATTGGCCTTTTCAAATCTGTTTAGATGAGGACATATTTACTTTGCTACTGTGCTAAACAGAGCTACCCAAAGTACATGTGGTCTCAATAAATAGGCATTTTCACATTAAAAGTACCACAAAAGGGTAAAGGGCTGGCAGGCAAGAATAGAAGGACACCTCTTTAAAAATGCTGGATTGGTTTAAGATATGATTAAAGAGAAATGAAAAGGAGGAGTTAAAACACATTTTTGACAACTAAAAGGCTGAAAATGGAGGAGACTTGTTTTTGGCTGTTCCAGAGGGCACGTCTTAGAACCAACGGGTAGAAATTGCAAGGAAGTGGATTTCAGCTTAACATTAGGAAAACATTCCTAACAGTGAGAACTGTTCATTGGCAGAACAGACCGCCTCAGCAGGCAGTAGTTTTACATTTGCTAAAGGTATTTAACCAGAGGTTGGATGGCCATCTGTTGGGGAAGCTGTAATTGAGCAGAGGCTTAGACTAAATCAGGCACTAAATTCAGTTCTCTGCAGCTCTTGATCCAACCCTTTCCGGGCTTTACTCCCTTTCCTGTTTCCTGACTTTTATGCAAGTTTTTTTCCCATTCCAAAAGGTTGAAATCTTTCTCTTAAAGCTTACTTATTAGCAGGAGGAGCTGTAAGATAAAATAGGCTGGTACTTTTAGTATTTTGGCCCAGTGCCACATGCCTTTGGCTCAGTTCTGAGTTTTACACTACAATGCAGTCCCCTTGAAAGCTTCTGTAAAAGCAATTTTGACTCTTAAAATGAAACAGCTTCTTCATCTCTGGATTAAATGACCTCTGACATCCCTTTCAATTCTGCAAATCTATCAAGCAAATTCGAGAAGTAGAAAAAGTATGAAGAAAAACACCAACCGGAAAAGCCTGCACAAGTAGGTTGAGCTGAATCTTTAACCTGAACACTGCAGCAGCACACACAGAAAGGGGGAATCATTTGGCTATGTCCATTGGTTCAACTAATATGGGATCAGGCTGGCCTTTGAGATTTTAACTCCAGTCAAGCAGACCAAAACCACAATTTTATAGCGTGATCTATGAATAAAAAGCCTTAGATTGGCTCAGTGAATCGGTCACAGTTTTACTTCTGTGCATTATACTAGCAGAAGACTTAACCCAGGCAACAGAGGTAGAGCCTACATATATGGAAAGATATAACTGCCCAGTGCTTGGACCACATTATGTACAAGAAACTTATTTTCAAGTAAGTGAGTAGCATAAATCTGCCACCAACCTGGTCCAAAGTCCACGGTTGAATAAAGGCCCTGAAGAGCTCCACATTGCAGGAAAGTCTTGCTTGCACCATCCGTGGTAAACAGCAACACTTCATCCCCAAGGTGCTGACGAAAAAGGTCTTTAAGGTAACGAAGGTAATCAAAATCACAGGCAAAGTAACTTCCATATTCATTTTCAACCTGAAAAATGTAAATACACAACATGAAAGAAAGAAAAACTAACAAACATCAATGCGTGTGAAAGTCTATGCAGACAGAAGTCTATGCAGAAGTCTGCAAAGAAAGAAAAATATTATAAAATCAAAGAATCCTGCTGCACTGAAACTTAAAGAAAATACAAACCATTTTGCAAAAAGCCAAGAGAACGTTGCACAATCTCACAGACAACAATTCCCCCAAAGTCATGCAGCGTCAGAGCTGACTGTATCACTTTTTTTCCCCAAAGATTTGCAAACTTCAATAAATTCTTCCTTAATGTAAAGGTACTTCTAGGGTTAACTCTCTTGCAACTGGATCAATTTCTTATCTGATGATAGTGGATTTTAATAGCAATTAATGTATAATATCCTTGTCAGAAGCCGCCTTACAAGCAATTTGTTCTACTACATGGATGCAGAGAAAGAAAAATGCCTAGCAGTGCTGGAGATTTCTGAAGCCATTTGCAACAAAAGATGTTTGCCTAGAGCCTTTTATTACATTATAAGTGCTGCTGCTATCTTTTAACAGTTATCATTTTGGCTATAATTTTTATACTGCATTCTATTATGATGTAAAAGATTTTCTTACTTTATGTTGCATGGCGGTGTTAGTGTAAGTTTCATTTCTCAAGGATGTTCCAAATAGCTACTTCTCCCTCCTGCAAATCCTGTAATTCAATCCTTTGCATGTATAAATAGATAGATAGATAGATAGATAGATAGATAGATAGATAGAAAGAAAGAAATGGCAAGAACAGGGAAGTATGACTTACATCTGCTCATGAGGAACCATTCCAAATAAAGATAGTCACAACAGATTTTGCAAATGTTGCACAACTGCTAAACCATACACTATTCGCTTGGGATTTTCAGCAATTGGCTGCTTGGAAATAAATAATTCCATGTATACAGTTTCCAAATAATCACACTTGCACTGCCTAGCCGAATATAGAATTATATCCCAAACTGGGTATACAATTGGTATTCCATTAACCAACTTTGAAGAGAGAAAATCTTTAAGAATGATAATTAAAAAGAAGTACTTTAATGACAGTCAGGACTTTAGCATTCATTTTCATATTTGAAATTGTCAGTGCTAATTTTAATTCAAACATAATTTTACCTGCACCATAATAATTGGACCTCCTTTTTGATAAAGATGAGAACTCATCTTTGGTAGTAAGAACCCCATCCACCTTCCAACTGCTGCCAAGTAATCTAAAAAAAATTGTAAGCAGAAATAAGCACATACATGAAATCACTATTTCTAGCAAAAAGTTGTTTTATAGGAAGAAAGTCATTTATGTATTATAAATGGTACTGCACCAAAGAAACTTATTTCCTGACTGGTCACACACGATCTGGACCATCTCAGCATTTGACACTTGTATTTTATTTCCCCAATATGCATCCTTTGACAAGTCTTCCATTTTTTTGCCCATTTCTCATCTTCCATGCTGTAGTTTTTGTCTCCAGTTTGGACAAGGAAACTCTTCAGTTTGCTATCATTTTCAGCCTCTTGAATAATTTGACATTATCCACAAAGTTGTCTACTTCACAGCTCACCCCAATTCCAAATAATTTATGAATGAGCTAAACAGAAACAGTCCCGGTACAGTTTCTTGGGGAACTCTACTACTTCTTTCCATTGTTGAAAAGGTCCATTCAGGACCTTCATTCCTACTGCACACATGGTCTGTTTTCGTTGTTTCAGATGTAACTCAATGTTTCTTTTACATCCTACTTTTTCCCCAGGGAGTTCAGGACATTTTATCTTCCCAACCATCCTGTGAAATAGAGCTAGCTGGCAAACAGACACCGACCCTAACTCATGGCTGAGCAATAACTTGAATCAGACCAAAACTTCCAAAAATATATCCCTCTGGTTTCTCAAATAATTTCAAGGACTTGGTCACTGTTTTCTGTTTTCTTCTACCATGTAATCATTTCTAAACTGTGCTGGGTGTGGGACTGGACAGAGAGCAATCCTGTCACATTTCTTTAGATGTGTCCATACTTGAGGGAATGGCATGAGAGATCAGCTCAGCCATATGAGCTGATTCAATTATTTTAACATCTTAGTTCCAAACCATCCAACTGCTGACTACCACACAACTTCTGCTGAGTCATTTGACCTCCTTACCTGAATCTGAAGATCTAAGGACAATAGATTCTTTTTTTAATAACCAGGCAGGTAGACCTCCCTAGGAAGTAAAAATTAATTTATGTTAAACCTATATCCTTTAGAGGAAATACAGAGACAGCATTCTTGAGAATATCCACTCTAGTTGGTCAGCAGGAAAAATAGCCATGGCCTTTAAAATTATTTAATAGTTCAGTTTTATGAACTATTGAACTGACTTAGCATCCGGGACAAGGTAAAAAAAAATCTCATCTTCAAAATGAAGCCATCATACAAGGTTGCCACCCTAGCAACCATCCCACCATTCATATTAAGCAGAGCTGCACTCTGAAAAGTGTCCTCCAACTATGGCAAAAAGAGCAAAGGTCCGTTTACTAGATCTGGAGGGACATCTACTGCCAGAGAAGGCACAAAGCTACACTTCTGTATTTTGGCAGGGGGAGACTTAGAAACACGCCAATGGCAAGGAGGGCATAACTGCCTTTCTCTATCTGTCTTTTATACTGATTGATGTTACTTTCAAAAGTCACCTCGGCCCAGTTTGAAAACTGGATAGTACTAGCATCTGAGTTCACACAGGCAATTCTTGGGGATTATAATGCCTGCCATTCATGGCCTTTCCACATGAGGCTTTTAACCCACCGCTTACAAAGGCTTTGATGTCCAGAGTCTTTGTGGGATTAAGATCAGATCCCTTACTCCTGTTTTTTCCCAGGGGATTTTTCTTTATATGTTCCATTATAAAACCACTAGGTGATACTGTGGCATGAGAGATTGCACAAATATCCTAGTTTCATTTTGCAAGTTTTAAATATCAGAATGGTTGCACTAAACAGGAGGGGTCCTGGAGGATGACTAAACCACTACAGGTGAGGCATCATGAGAGCACAGTAATGTAAAAAGCCTCCGACTCCTTTGAGAAAACATAAGGCGGTACCCTTGATCACACCATTATGAACAGTGACAACCCTCCCCACAGCACTTTATACTTCTACAACCATGGAATGGAAGCTAGTGTGTATGTTGTATTCAGGATAATGCACAATTCAAGTGTGGTCCTGTTAAATCAAATAAAGTTAGACACATTTACCATGTCCCATTCTCCACATATATATGGCCCAGCTCTCAGTATGACCAACAAGTCAACCTCTTGAGCAAGCTGCAGGAAATACTCGAGGTCTCTGTCACCAGTGAAGTTGTAGACTCCCGGTTCAGATTCATGAAAGTTCCATGGCACATACCTGTAGAGACCACATTTGTTGTTGTTATCTTCTTGGGCTGGGGCTCCAAATGTCAATAACAATACAATTTCACTCTGAATTATTGCAACTAGTTAACATGCTCTTTCATGCAGTTGGAAAAGCAAATCACACAAGAAAAAGTGCAGCCTTCTTCAGCTACACTCCTTCATCTGTTTCATCCAGGTCACTCTCAATTAGCCAAACACAGTTCTTCTGCTTCTGGCTTGTAGGCACTTGGATCCAGGCCAGAGCATTTTTAAAATCTGTTTCATGGTTTTGAAAACAGAGTTTCAGTTTATTTACCTTCAGAATGGCAACTATACAACTAGTGTCCCACCTGGTATTATGTGTCAATCAGGAATGATGGGCTATTCAGTGAAGATGGTTTAAACAGTTCCTCTAAATTAAATTGGGCCGATTGTCCTAAAAAAAGGTTTTTTGACTTAATTCAGTGGGTTATAATAAAGTAGGAAAGAAATCCAATGCATGGTTAAACAGAAAAAGGTCTATCAATCTCATCATTTGCCAGCCAGCATTCTTGAATTTGTAGGACCTTTCTCTTGTCTAAACATGCACAAGATCATACCCTAGATTATTCCAGTGCACTTTTGACCTCTCTCTCTCTCTGTTCCCAACTCAAAAGAAATTAGCACAGCAGCAAAATGGGGGAATCTATGTAATTAAAGTTAAAAGGAAGAAACATTAAACTCCCAAAACCAACCAGATATTTTATATAACATAAAGCATACAATATGGTGCTTATTTACACCTAGCACTTCTTTTTTCCAACATTTCAAGAAATATTTCATTTCACATTTTATGGAAAGATTTTTTGTTTTGCAACTCAAGAGCTACAGTCAATCATGTTTTATTTATATGTACAATTGCTATAGCATTAAATATTAGGAAAGATTCCTAAGCAGATTTTGAAAGAAAGCAGGATCTGACACAGTCATTTATTGCTTGAACGCTTTACATTAACTTATACAACATAAACAGGTAAAAAAAGAACCCTTCCATGAACAGCCCAAAATAGATTTCTTTAAGAAGAATAAATAAATGTGAACACACTAAAGGTATCAGAAAAATCTGAAGCAAATTCAAACGAATTAGGATTTCTTTGACTCCAACCTTCAGATTTCCAGTAGACTGGCTTTTCCTGACACATGCTGATTCCCTGGACTTGCAGACTGTTTTTTCACTTCTGGTAGGAAGTTGTATTAATATGCATCAGCACAAAAGCATATTAATTAATGTGAACTATTACTAACACACATTAACTAAAGCACATTTGCACAAGTAGAATGAAATTTTGTTTAAAGCATCCAATTCTGTTCATCACTGAACAATGGAAGGAAACACACCTGACAATCTGTGAAGCACGAACAGAATGGAAAGTAAACAAAGTCTATACATTCCTAATACACACAGGATACAACTTTGTGAAGCCTAGATATAATTTTTGCCAGTTTCTCCCAATCTAGAGCCTTCCAGGTATGTTGGACTACAACTACTATTACCCTCATGCATTGTGCCCAAGACCATATTGGCTGGGGAGAATGAGAGATAAAGAAACAGAGCACAATGAATGAATCAATGAATGAATGAATGTTGTGTGCTATTTATTCATTATTTAAGGTATTTCTATCCCATCCTATAGAAAAGTCTCAGGGCGGCAATACAAAAAGATGGTAGCATGCAAAAGTTGAATATAAATATCTAATAAAGCCAACATTAAAACAACATTCCCTTAAAATATATGGGAGATAAAAATGGGTTGGCCTGGTGCCAAAGTGAATAAAGCATTGGCACCAGGTGTACCTCTCTGCGAAGCAGGTTCCAGAGTTGGGGTGCTGCCATAGACAAGGCCATTTTCTGGTTAACCACTCTTCTAATCTCCTTCAAAGAGGGCTCCCAGAGAAGGACCTCAGACAAAGATCTTAGGGGTTGGGCAGGTGTATGCAGAAGGAAACGCTCCTTCAGATACTGAAGCCCTAAACCCAAGTGCCTTAAATTGGATCCAGACTTCAACTGGTAGCCAGCACAGATGGTACTGTGTTACATGATCATATCTACTGGTCCCCATCAAAAGCCTGGCTGCTCTGTCATCACCTGGAAGGCATCAGGTTGATGATGGCAGATCTGTTTTATCCTATATCCAATGAATTCTCCTTAGAAAGTATGGGATCACAGAATATGCTCAGCACTGTAGTTCTTCAGCACAACTTTTCTGCAATTCTCATTTACATCTGTTCGGTTTGTGTAAGAGAACTTTGCAATGGATTATGCTTTCTTTATTTGTACGCTGAAGATTGGGACTGTGCCACTGGGTTCTTCTGAAAGGAGTATCTCCAACTAGGCATGATGCAAAGTATATGTATCTAGCTCACTCTAGCGGCTTTTTCTAAGAATGCACCATGAGGAACATATTTCTGTACAAAAAATCAGTTTATCTTAACAACCCCAAAGAATATGAATTAGCTGAGAAACTGTTTATTTATTTATGTATTAAAAGGTTTTATATCCTGTCCCCTACAGAATGTCTTGGGACAGCTTACAATAAAGCGTTGCAACTTCTTATTCAGTGCAGTATATACATTTCTGCTTTTTTGTAAGGCAGATAAAGCAAGTTACTGCCAGTCCATTTTCAGATAACGAAATGTATGCCTGCATTGATTCTTCTTGCCTTGCCCCAGCATATGGAAAGTAGATGCAATATATTCCGAGGTGAGTGTATGGACATGCTCTTTTTAAGTAGCCAGTCTATAATGAACTGAGAACATGTTTAAAGGAACCATTTGTATTACATAGTTTCCACAACAAGTTTCAGGTTAAAATTCTCCTTTGAAATAGACTCCAGCCATTTTTTCCTCCCATGGTTCTAATTACAGTCATATATTACCACGTGAGCTGGTGTTATGCCAGTGATGGTGATACAAAATTCAATTAATATCTTATCTTCAGAAGCCACCTCATCCCTTGGCACCGCAGTTGGAGAACTGCCATTGCTACCTACGTTTGAATAGCATCAAGGCCTGCCATCTTCATCTTCAAGAGACGGTCTTTCCAGTAATACCGGGGAATACGAGAATAATGGATGCTGCCGGAGATGTAACGAAATGGCTTGCCATCCTTCAGGAAGCAGTTGCGGGCATAATCTATCCCAAAGCTTCGCTGGGATGTGAGCTGCAAAGATGTTAGAAAGAGAGGAGCTTTTATTTTTGGGAAATAGCAGCTCATTAACACAGATGCATCGCCCATGCTTGAAGCATGCCAGAGAGGGAGATAAGCTTCTACTTCCCTCACTCCAACCATGGTTCACTTTCTCTCATCTTCAGTCTACAAAAACATTGCAATAATACAGAACTTAAACATCACATAAAAATACAAAAAGCTTCTGCTTATCAAATGCCACAATAAATGTCTTAATATGTGCATAATATCTAATATAACCTACCCAGCCCCAGAATTACACGATGCTTGTTACCACAACCAAACCCAATAAAGTATTGAGGACACCAAGGGTTCAATATAAACAAATATTTACAATCATTCCTATATCCTTAATAGCTCTATCCTACATCTCTGTTTCGGACTGAAGCTACAAGCTTCAAGTTACAAGCCTTGGCCTTTGTACTAAAATCCTATTTTATTTCCATCAAAATAATTCAAATTAGGGAAACTCTTTTCTCCAGAGCTGTAATTTTACTTTCAATGCTTTGTTTAAATAGTCCTTTGCATATTTTAATTCATTTAAATGAAACACCTGTACAAAAAAGTTTCTTCTTGTTTTACAGCCTTGGTTTGCACAACCTTTGATAACAAAGTAGATGAAGGCTGCATTTACCTGGGAGTAAGCTTCACTGAAATAAATGGGATTTAATTTTCAGTTCACATGCATAGCTTGCACTGTAAATCATTCTGTTTTGTTTATGAATGCCTCATCATGAGTCTCCCCTCCCAACAAACAGAGGGAGCCTTTTAACATAAATCTACACAATACGAAATGAATTACAAAATAGCTAATAACAAAAACGGTGAAGTATTCCATACTTTCCACATTACCAGTTAATGCAATGTTTATGAGCATGCCCAATAGTGACACTAAATAATACTGAGAATATTCTAAATAGCACCAGGTAAAGTACTTCATACTGGCTAATATTGCATTGATGAAACAATGCATATAAAGCATATCTAACCAAGCTAGAATAATCCCGAGTGGCAACTAAATGATATCAAGATGTTTTATGCCTTTGTGTTGTATAATTAAACCAATGTTTATATTCCATTACAATAGGAATCCTAGCCAAAGATGCAGAAGGAGTTGTAGATTAACTGCCCATATAATGCTAATAATATGCTTCATGCCTGATGAGTTACACAACTGAAGCAGTGCCTATAAACAGTTTCATTAACAGTCTGAAAGCAAGATGATTTCAGGGGGCAGCAGTTTGAGCAAATAATTTAAAAAGTTTTTGTCATTCCCCTATTGCAATGCCCATAAATAATCCCAGTTCTTCCAAACTGATTAGTTTTAGCACACTCTGAAGCAAGCAAATACTGACATGACTTTGATTAACAGCCTAAAAATTGTAAGAGCTTCTACGCAATTCTACACAACAGAAGCAGTAATACTGATATTTTTAGACAGCAGCCATTCAGTAATAACATTCCTTACATCTTCTTTGCAAAGATAGTACTTGCACAGGCTTGAAATAATCTGAAGCAGTAACTGAACATTGTGAGGATTGTGTTGATATGCAGAAGACCCGTTGTGTTTAATGAGGCTTACTCCCTAGTAAACGTGTTTAGCATTACAGTATCACCCAATGTGTAGTGGTAGTTAGAGTGCTGAACTGGGAACCTGGGAGATCCAGGTTCTAGTCCCCACTAGGCCATAAAGCTCTTGGGGTGACTTTGGTTCAGTCACTCAGTCCCAGCATAATCTACCTCACAGGCAGGTTGTTAATGCAATGTAACAACCACAACAGCACAACAACAGTTCAGGATTAATAGCAATACATGCATTGGGGTGTCCAAAAAGCAATGCAGATCCTCCCATTAGTCCAACCAATCTATTATCGCAGCATCTCCCAAGAGAACATTTTGATATGGTCTTCAGCAATACAATGATTTTAGAACAGGAAAGGGAACTATTCCTCTGTCTCACAGTCAACACGCCTCAGGCCATGGCTGTTGGAAAAGATTGCAACTCCATCTGTGCAGCGCTATGTATATAACTTTCCAAAAGGAAAAAAAACAAGCAACTGGGCACCCTCGTCTTTACATCTTTTTCCTTTGTTGTTCAATTTACGTATTTATTTGAACCCAATGCTTCTCAAGATTATCCCATGTACATGATGAAACACATACATAGATCTTGCCCCAAATCTTTAGTGATCGTGCGCATTGTAATTAAGACACAGCTTGAAGGATACTACTATGGATTTCCCCGTTTATTCTCACAACAGCCGACAGTGATCTGATCTGATCTGTGCCCTGTACTTCTACCAAAAGAACAGCACTCAACAGTATAGTTACGGTGAAGGGGGATTTGAGCCAGGGACTCAACTGACCAACCACTGCAAAATGCTCCTCTGTGCAAGACTTCACAATCAACAAACAGAAATCTATATGGTGATGGAGGGCGTGTACTTATTCACTGCTTTGATGTTAACTGCTTTGGTGGTTAACGCTTTGTTAAGGTGCTCTTGGACCTTGAACAAAAGTCACTTAGCTTAAAGATTACATCACCACCTGCAAACACCTCCCTGCAAGCCAGTTTTGAACATTCAGGCTGCAACAGGTGGTCACGGAGGCTTATGTGTCATGCAAAATCAGTGACTGTGGTTGATTAGCATGGTGTAGCAAACTACCCACAATTCATAGGCTGTTCTAGGTTTGTTAACCACATTTTCAGTAGGTAATGGGCTCAGCTTCTCCCAAAATAGAGTATTTCCAAGTAGATATTTCAGATGTTGAATCTGAACCAGAAGAAGGGGCAGGGTTAGAATGCTTAGCTGAAATGTCAAGTTTAGAAAAGCTAAGTGGCTGGTGAGAATCAGACTACCTCTGGTTTGGGGAGGCACTGTGGACATCAAGGAAAAAGGCCGTGGGAAGGGGAGACTTTATCAGACCAGGAGTGTGACATTCACTCAAGTAAGTAGACCAATAAGTAAGGTCTGGTGTTCCTGCAATCTGAGCTATGAGTAGTGCAAACCTCCTGAAAGGTGCAGCCAGCTCTGTTTGGGGTAGGAAGGGAGGAGAGGAACTCTGTTTGGACTCAGTTCCTAGTAAGGGCAAGAACTAATTTCACAATTGTCTTGATGGACACCTCTTGCCAAGGACCGTTATATTACTCCCTTTTATCACAAAACCCATCTGGGCTGGCTAGCTTTAACATAATAAACAACTCTAGTCAGAAGCCTCTAATTGTGATATGCTGGGAAAGAAAAGGGGAAAAAGAGAGGGGCTGCAGGAGGAAGAGACTGGCTCTTGATAGCAACAGCTCATCCACATCAGAAGCTGAGAATGAGAAAGTTATTTTTTGGGCACACAATTTCTGTCTGCAGCTCTTTCCAACTATTTCCTCTGCTGACTTTTCATCCACAACCCACCTACATAAAAATATACCAGATCACCTGTTCCTACAGGGAAGAAAGAAGAGGACAGAGCTACAGAAATAGAAGACGCTACAAAGGCCTTACCTGGCTTCAGTTAAAGAGCATTAAATGGTTATGTGTGTTTGGAAAGAAGGTAGTTAGCAATCTTCTTTTCAGCACTTTTGGCTCCCATATTCTACACTGGGCAAAACGGCTCTATAGTTCACCACCACCACATGGGTAGGTGTCTGCTGACCATGCAAGTAGCAAAGTAAGACTTTCTACAATCATTACCCAGGGTTGGTAACATGGAATCTTCAGGTGAACTAGCACCCACCAGAGCCATGGAGAATTCCTACAATATATTTGCCCTACCTCTGCTAAAGTCAACTGTTATCCATCACTGTATTAGAACTCCACTATCCTGGTTTGTTCTTAACACTGACCCATAGTTTATTTAAACCATGGTTTGTTATCTTACCCAGGATCTGAAGAGGCTGGAATTTTTTTACCACTCTTGTCTGCTCCCTCTGTAGCCTGTCAAAATAACCCACAATTCTGAGCCCATATAGAATGACAACCCATGGTTAAAACAGCCTAACATCATAATGAATTCGCTTTGTGGGTTGTTTCTGGTTAACAACCCTTAGTTCTGGGTTTGCACACAATGACAACCCATGATTCAACAAACCAAGTTTTAATGAATAATGTTACTAGTGAACCAAATCATTGTTCCTGATTAAATAATGTTCTGAATGTAATAGAAGCATTTCCTAGCACAAGTTAGCACAGCTACTGTTAACCTTTCCCAGCTTTTCATATATGCTTCAGCCAACAAAGACATAATTTTATGAAGATTAGCCATCTGTATGTATAATTGGCATAACATGGAGCTCTATTCTATGCATGATTACTTGTAAGATGACCCACTGAGTTCAGTGGGACTGCAGTAAGCACAAACATGATGGCCAGAAGGCAACAGTGGATAATGTGTTAAATGTGCCCATATGCATTTAAGACTTCTTGTTTTTACCCTTAAAATCAGTTCAGCAGTGGAGGTTAATCACGATTAGGACTCTGGCATGTGGTCTCCTAGTACTAGTTAAATTGTCATACCCTTCAAAGCTGTTATTTCTCCCCAGAAGGAATTTGCCCCTAGTGCAAATGAGAATGGCCTATGTGAAAAGGCAGAAGTTCAATGAATACAGCCCCTTTCTGGGTTGGGAAAGCCAGGATTAAGGCAAAATAAGCCTACTGAGTTTCTGATGATCATGTAGCTGTTAAAATTCCAGCATCTCCATGAACAATGCAGCAGCAACCCTCAAGGAACAGGAGCTTGGGGAAAAAAATCAAAGATATCAACTCCAAGGAAAATGTGTAAGATTAGGTGGCTTGTGCATTCATATGTATGCTGTGCATGTACACAAAGGGTTTAAGGCAGAAATGTTCTTTATATTGGCCATGATTCTGTGTTACAGATGCTGAGGATGCAACAGGGAATAGGCAACACAACGAATTGGGAGTCCCAAGTTCCAAAGTAATGTGCCTTCTGATAGGCATGTTTAGACTGCAAAAAGACCTACAACTCTCAGCATAAACCAGCCAGCCATGCACAGGACTGAGGGTCCCTCACTGAGTCCAGACTGCCCTGACATTCCCCCAAATAACCTTCTATCACCATCTGATTTTCAGAGAGTAGCAGAACTCTCCCATTCACATGTTCAGCTGTGTATTGCAAAGTCAGCCAAGTGAGCAGGATAGGCTAGCCTGAACCATCCCCACCCCGCAAAGTCTGGAACACATTCTTGAGAGCCAAATTATATTTGCCAGTGAAAATATTATGGGCCAAAATATACTCATCTGGTACAGAAAAATAATAGGTCCGATTCAGTATTATTGACTCTTCTCTTCCACTGCCGTTCACCACATCTTTCATCTCTAACCTCTTCTAGCTCCTTTTCCCTGTCCCCCTCCCATCCCCACTTTTGAATAACTTTCTCAGTGGATGCCCCCATTGTGTAACCCACTCTGACCTCAGGCAGGAAAAAATAAGGACAACAGTTGCAACAACTCAATGTAATTACACCACAGACATTTTATTACAAAGTGGAATTACTCTGAACATGCAATTCAATTTATTCTTACACAGAATCAGGCCACTACTTGTGTGTCGCAGGTGCATCATTCAGAATGAGTTATACTTGGATAGCCCTAGTGAAGCAGTACATGCCAAATGGAACACATTCTTCAAGAAAATAAGAACACAACATATTTTAGGTATTATCCTTCCAACATCAGAAGGAAGCTGTTCTGCTTGAGAAGGCATTCAGGGACTATGCATTTGTTGTCTATTTGCTCCCTTATTATTTGTTCTGCTACTAAAGTTTGTGGTTTCTGCTCTGATTTAACATGTCTTCTTCCTCAATTTGCAATATGAATATAGACATGGCTTGGAAAGCTGTTGTACACTCTCTCGTTTATCTTTACATGAAGTACCAAGAACAAACTGAGATACTCTATAAATGTCAGAACTTATTTCTTACAGCTTTCACTAAGTCTGTGGCAAAAAAAGGCATTAAGGAGGTAGTTCCAGTAACTTTGGGTGCTAATTTTTCAGGCACACACATTCTGCAGAGTGAATAACTTCAACTTTCCACTTCCTCAGAGATCCAAGCAGTTGAAGGAGCCTGAGAAAGGGCACCTAACCAACTAGATAGAGGTTGCAGATAAGAACCAGTTGTACGAAAAGTTTGTTATTGTGCAGAATCTTTCCATGTGGTAAAACACACTTAACCTGATTATCATGGCTGTGTAAGGAGTTGGGAGGGGAGGCAACAGAAACATGGCAAAATTGTTCATACACCAGATGATAAAAGCTGTATTTGGAAGTACAAAAAGAGTTCTTATTTACCAAATTGTTGACTTAAAAAAACATGTTTTTCATACCAAGACTCTGTATTACAGAACCTGAGAGCAATAAATCTCTGTCTTTGTAGCATCAATGGAAAGAATCCAGAACAATTTTTTGTTCTAGAAAAGGGGGTGTTACAACGGGTAGGAGATTGCAAAGGATACCACAGTTATGTGTCCTCTGCAACCACCCTTCCTCCCACTCCAGATGTCTGGAAATGACTATCTAGAAAAAATATAGAGCAAAAGGAGCAGCAAAGTGGATATTATCTCTGCCACTATTCCCATTTTGTACTAAAATCCCATAAGCCTCCAAGTTGGAAGCTTACAGGCATCTTGATTAGACTGCACCCTTCCCTTAATGCAAAGAACTAAGGGTGCGATCCAGCGCTTCTTTCTGGCTAAACATGCATAGGATTGTGCTCTAAACCACTCTACGGCTGCAATCCTAAACAGACTTACCCAGGAGTGAGTGCCATTGAACACAATGGGACTTAATTCTGAGTAAATATGCTTAGGATTGCACTTGAGTCACGTTTGCCTTCAAATCAATTGCAAAACAAAGGAAGAAGAAGCTGAACATGCACTCCGGTTGTAGAAGTCACAAGAAGAAACAAACTGAAGTTTTTCCTTCTGAATTAGGTTAGGCACACAACAGTTAAATGCAAGTTTGATGGTCTGATCAATGGCTATTAATGAGACAGGTTTCCAGATTATTGATTTAATGTTGAAAGTTGAAACTAAATAAGGAGGTCCCAAAGAAGCTGCCATGACTGACATTAATTCTATTAAAACAAATTAATGTTAAGTTAGTCATACAACTACCTTGTCCCATTAGTGCCAAGATATTTTTCTTTCCTTCTTTAAAACTGAGATTTCAAGTATAGTTTTAATAGGTACTATGCTTGAAGTAAAGAGAAATAACTTTGAAAGACAGACAGACAGTTGTTTCTTTCACACAGTAATTTATGGAGAAGCCTGGGCTGATGCAGAATATTAAATCTTCACAAAACATACTCATTCTTCTGACTAACTCATATTGGCCACTGTCAAAGTCAGTGTATTGAGTGTACAGTGAAAACGCTTAATCTGGGGATGGGGGTGGAATTTCATCCTAGTTTGAGAAGATGGAAAAAAGCTATTAATAAGTTTCAGCCATTATCCTCTATACTGTTTTCTTTTATCATTCCAGGAGTGGCATCCATCTACTCCCAAACTGAATAAATTAAACCAGTGTTTATTTATCAAAGACCTTCAGCAATTCTAGCCATGTTGCAGACAGGTACTGATCATTGTGCTTTTTTCTATTTAAAAAAGGAGACACCCTGATTTACAGAACAAAGCACTTATCTAGCAGCAATGCAAAGAAATCTTTGGTACTGTACAATGAATGGACTCTGTGCACCCAATTATCTATTGTACCAGCTAAATAAAAATAAATTCCAATGCAGTTATGCAGATGAGGCAGAATGCAGAATGATTTCTGCTATTTCTGCTCTACTGCCCAATCTCATTGGTATTCCAAAATACATGGTTCCTGGGCTGACATACACAAAGGTACTCTGCCCAACTTTATACAAACCAACAAAGAATGGATTCAAGAAATAGGCACCAATATTCAGGGGAAATATCTGCCCTCCGTGAGTATGCCCAGACAAGACTAAATTTATATCCGGCCGAGTTTGGAGAGCCCTTTTTGCTGCAAGCGGCTGATGGGCAAGAAGAATTATTGCATGATCAGCGCTACAGCCTCCTAGAGCCTTTTCTAAATTCATGCCATGGCCAGTATATTGAAGCACATCAGCCTCAATATCATCCACGCCCGCTAGACACAACCAGTCTGTATCTCCTCCCTTGGGCGACATAATCTTTACATTCTCATTGTGGAGGGGGTAAACACTGAGTGACTTCAACAGTTCAAACCAATTGTTGACATCAGAGGTATAGTACTCATGGTTTCCTGTGACAAAGTAAGTGCCCAGGCGGGAGTCCAGCTCACCAAGAGGTGCCACAGCAGGTCCAAGGTGTTTCACATCCGAATCGGTTAGGTCACCAACTATCACTGTGACATCTGGTTCCAAAGCTTTGACTATTTCTACAATCATTTTGAGTTTGGTCTTCCCAACAGTGGGCCCTAGATGAATATCAGAAAGCAATACCACCTTCAAGTTATCCATAGACAATGGCAGCTTGTGAACAGGAATTACTACCGTCTTCACTGCAGGAGGCTGGGAAGCATTGAGCAGCCCAAGAACAGTCAATGCCAATGTTATCATCACTGCTAGAACTGGCTTCATGGTCAGTTTGCTATTTTTATCAATTTTTCTCATACTTGGATCTCTTTGAACCAAGAGCTTATAACCCTGCTCCAGAGAACCTATGGCGAAGAGGAAAAAAATAAGGATGATATAGCCTCCAAGACAAGTGTAAGCAACCAAAGAGAAGTAATAGGGCTCCTCTGCAACAAGGAACAGCACAGTAAAAAAGCTTGAGTGTGCCAAAATCAGGAACACAAACACAGCTGCTTTCCATAAAATTAAACAGAAGGGGCTGATAGTTAGCGATCTACAGAACACAGTCACTGTGCTTCTCCATATGTGAAGAGATCCTATGAACATCAGAGTGTTAACAAATAATACCATCTGCAATCTGAACAGCCACCTCAGTCTTTTCCCTTCAGTCCTTTCAACCAGGTATGTCCGTGATACTATCATGGAGAAGAAGACAATTCCAGCAACTGCTGCAACTTTTGCCTCCAGTGGTAACTGCTTGAAGTGCATCTCTAGTCTTGAATGGTTGCAGATTCTTCTTGCTGTTCTACAACAGTTTCCAGTCAACGATAATGTAGTTCTGGAGAGATTTCTTGGTCAATTTGGCCTGAAACCAGGAACTACCATCAGCTTTGGGTAATAAAATACTCAAGTGTGCAGACTAAAGCAACTGATGATATCACTTTATTAATACAGTATAGGATAAAAAGTAAATCAAAATATTTTCAGATTCACATTGATTTGAAAGCATATGCAGCATTATCCCAACAGTTCAAAAGTAGGAGTCCAATTCTAAAACATTTTCCTTCCACCTTCTTATTTCTTGAAGTATACGTATTAGTTGTTTAACAAGGAACTACAAGAATTATAAATAATCCCTGGGGAGAAACAATACAAATCTAAGTGTTCCTTGAAGCAATTCAATTACAGCTACTATTTCTGTAGCTCAGTAGTAAAATACATGCTTTGCATACAGAAGTCAAAAGTCCGCAGGTTTAATTCCCAGTTTCTCCAGGTAGGGCTAGGAAAGAATCCTTGGAAAGCCACTGCCAGTCAGTGTTGACAATACTGGGATAGATGGACCAATGTCTGATTCAGCAGAAGTAGCTTCGTATGTTTCTAATATCTGCTATGCACTGGGTCCCGAACACCCATTTACCCATTATTCAAGAAAGTCCTGTTTCATGACTTTGCTACTGGAAATGGATATGCAATGGCTACAAGCTTCACATCTCCAATTCAAATCTCAGCTGTAAACTAAACCTACTAACTTTCTTTGCTCAACCCTCCACCTGCACAATTTCAGGATTGTTACTTGTGAGGTTACATTTGTGAGCTGCTTTGGGAAATGAGAAGTTTATATAAACAGCATGTTCCTCCCATCATACTTCAATAAAGTCAAAAGGTGATGTAGCTCAGAATCTAAGATCTAAAATAAAATGAACACCAGAAAGGTACCTACTGCAACTATTTGTGTGGCCTGTGGTATTGCCTATGTGATCCCATAAGCAGCAAAAGTGAATTTCAGAATATTATTGAAGATCTGGACAAAGCTTGTCATATTCCTTTCTTAATCCTGATTAACAGAAGCACCACTGTGACTTCTCACAATTAGGTGAGTAAAGAAAGGGAAAGGGTGATTGCTGTACTGGTCATGCCACTTCCAGTTCTCAAGGACCATAAACATTTGCTCAAAACCAATGGCAGCGCCAGCAATCAGAAGCTGACAATTGCATTAGTACAGCCTTGGAAAACTGAAAACTACCTCCTCAAAAATACAATAAATCCATCATCCATTTTATTCATCCTGAGCAGAATTAACCTTGCTAAAAGTTCTGTTAGCTTTTTCTTACTCTTACTCACTCATGCCATAATATGACAGTAAAAGTCACAACCTATGTATAGGCATTACAGAAGACAAAGAGTGCTTGAAATCCACATGTGCATAAACTTAACAATTATAGGCATTGCTAATACCATTCTTCCCCAAAATAGTGTTTTTACTATTACTTCTGTGTAATGCTTTAACTTGTTTCTTACTCAGAGCTTTGCCCACACATAGATCATAATGCAACTTTATAATCAGTAAAAATTGTACTTTCCAAATTAGAAGTTTCCAACACCATCCTCTCCTCTTAATAAAGATGCAGTGCTTTATGTCCTATTCCTGTTAATTAAGACTTTTGAACCACATGGTATGTGACCATATAATAGACCTTAGTTATCTGATGATGATGATGATAATGATAATGATGGTGATGTGATGATGATAAAGCCACGGTTAACTGGGGCATTCCATCAAAGAAATACCATGTATCAAACCATTGTTCTATAAATATTCTGTTTGGCCTTGAAGAAGCTAAAAGACATCTGTGTAGGTCTGAGGCCCAGTGTTTATGGTTTAGAAGTCTTGTGTCTGCTTGGTGATATCCTGAAGAGCAGAAAAGATTGCTTGGATATTTTTGGATGGCGCCTGGATCAATTAAAGCCTGTACTGACTGGTTAGGGACTTGGAATATGAGAAAACAGCACTTCAGAAGTAGTGTTCAATTATTAGTAAGTCGGTTATAAGTTCTGTTGCTTGGTGATATAAACACATTATGAGAAAACTGAGGAGAAAGCAAAAAGCTAAGGCCTGGATATTAAATTTCTCCTTCTTTGTGGGATAACCATATATGACTGATGAAGATCAGGGAGCATTTGGCTGTGTTATGCAAGCAGGTATTAAAACTGAGATAATCATGTCAAGCAGTTTTTTAAAAATTGTTTATTTCTTAAAACATTTCTATGCCGCCCCCATCGCAACAAAGCCTCGGGGCGGCTCACTACACACACACACACACACAACCCCCCTCCCCCCTCCCCCCGTGCACAGAAGGAGCTGTCATGTCAGGGAAAGGCTGTACTTGAACTGGGCAAGGTTGTGGATGTATTTGAGTAGAGTAGAGCCTTAGAGAATCAAAGAAAAGTAGAGCTGGAAGGGGCCAGAGGGCCATCAGGACACCAAGTTACATTATCCTTCTCAGATGACTGTCCAGTTGCACCTTGAATACCTCTAGTGTGGGAGAGCCCACAGCCTCCCTTGGCAATTGGTTCCATCATCGTACCACTCTAATGGTCAGGATTTTTTTCCTGATATCTATCCAGAATCTGATTTAGTGTAACTTAAGTCCGTTATTCTGTGTTCTGTTTTCTAGGATGATTGAAGAAAGATCTTGTCCTTCCTCTTTGTGGCAGTCTTTCAAGTACTTTAGAGTGCTATCATATCACCCCTCTGTCTTCTTTTCTTGAGGCAGAACATGCCCATTTCTCTAGATCTCTCCTCTCAGGGCTTTGTTTCCAGACCCTGAATCATCCTTGTTGCCTTCCTCTGCCCCCTTTCCAGCTTGTCTGTATTTTCTTAAACTGTGATGCCCAAAACTGGACAGTACTCCAGAAGTACTGACCCATGTTTAGTATAGGTAAATTACCACTTCATGTGGTTTGGAAGTAACATTAATTCAGCCTAAAATAGCATTTGTCCTTTTTGCAGCCACAAAATATTATTGGCTTATATTTAGCTTGTGATCTACAACAGTTCCAAGATCCCTCTTACTATTGTTGAACTGAGTCTCCCCCATCTAGTAGCAATACATTTTGTTTCTTTTTCCTAGGTGTAGGATTTGGCATTTTATTGTGTTGTGTTCAGCCCAGTGTTCTAAACTATCAAGATCACCCTGAATTGTCTTTCTAACTTCTAGGGTATTAACTATCGCTCAGTTTTGTGTCATCTGAAAATCTGATAATCATTCCCTATACTTTCTCATCCAAACCATTAATAAAAATGCTGAAGAGCACTGGACCCAGGGCAGAACTCTGTAGCATCCCTCTTGTTATCTCTCCCCTTTTTGAGAGGGTGCCATTGATAAGCAATTTTTGAGTCTGATTTTGGGGCGAATTGTGGATCCACCTTAATAGTTGTTTTATCTAGCCCACTTTTTGCTAGTTTGCTAATCAGAATGTCATGGGAACCTTTATCAAAAGCCTAGGTAAAAGAAGCCATTAAGAGTCTTCTATTGGCATCAGGGTCTTTTGAATCAGCAAGCCTTCTTTTGAAATCCCAAAGCAAATATTGATATTCCCTCATGTACAAAATAACTCTTTAATAAACCACCTTGTTACATAGTTCATCTGGTCTCTAGTGGTAGCTTTCATGTCATGCCTAAGCATCTTATAACAAGCTACAAGGAGGTTCAACTTTCGTTTTAACCTATATATGAGAAATGCCTCATTCTCAAGCTGGATTTCAAAAAAGAAGCACTTGAGATTATATCACAAATATACATTGGATACTTGAATGTGATGTATTTAAGCACAAGCAATTTAAGAAAATCAGTCTATGCAGTATATGACTGCGTGGATCATGAGATGCTATGGAAGATTCTGACAGAAATGAGTTTGCTTTAGCACCTGATTGGCCTGATGTGTAACTTGTATTGCAAACAAGAAACTACTGTTAGCACAGAATGGAGACACAAAATATTTTCCTCTAGGTATCAGAAAAGGGTTTATTTTATCTCTCTATCTGTTCAATTTGTATTCAGAACATAAGGACCAGAAGAATGAAAGTTGGAGGAAGATGTAGCAATAATTTAACATATCTAGGTGATACCACATCAGTGGCAGAAAGGAGCTGTAAATTGAAATGTCTGGAGACAGCAAGAGTCACTGGAGAAGACAATCATGTTAGACAGACTTGAAGGCAGAAGAAGAAACGGAAGACCAAATATTAGACAGATCAGTTCCATGAAAGACTCTTAGTCTTTACTATTGGTTAGAGAAACGGGACCTCGTATAGATTTAAATGTGTTTTTAAATTATCATAAATGGAAAAAAAATGTGGGGACTGACCCAGCAGGCCCAATGTTTTAGATGATTGATGTTGTTTTTAGTTTTTCTTTGTTTTTACGATTATAATTTTGAATAAAACTTATTAAAAAAAGGACTCTTAATCTTGAGTTTCCAAGAGCTAAGCAGAATTGTCAAAGACAAGACATTCTGGACTACAGTCATTCATAGGGTCACCATAAGTCAGAAACAACTTGACAGCCTGTAACAACAACTAGGAGGTTTGAAAGTGTTCTGACAGCACAGTCCTATGCAAATTTAGACAGAAGACAGGCCTATAACTTCCAGTATGCTACAGCCTTTCTCTACTTAAACTTGAATAGGATTGTCCTTTAAAAAATTGCTAGCAGTAGAACTGGGTCACCTTGCAGAATTCTAAATTACAGCAGCAAAGAGGTTCTTGGGATCTGAAATAAGCATTTGCTAAAGCTAAAAATTCCCATAGGTCAGACTGCTCCATGTAGGAGCAGTTTCCCCATAGTGATGACAGTTTTGGAGACATAATCCCCGGACACATAATCCCCTATACTGTCTCCCTGTTGGCGTTATCTAGGAAAGAAAGTAATGCTACAAACGTGTGGCTGTATGTATTAGCCCTTCCAGGTAGCAGTAATGTAATAAAGTCAAAAGTAAATGCTATTGCTACAAAAATGAAACAAAAATCAATGCTACCTGCTTCCATGTGTTACACTAATCAATGATTGCAATATTTAGGAAAACAGTCACACAATATGATATAAAGAAATGTAATCTTTGTGCAAATAAGCGCTCTCCGCTTGTACTCAGGTGGTAACTTTCCATTTTTTACTCTTTAATAAGAATATAACAATTATTATTTAATAATTTTCATGTAGAGTGTAGATACATTGCATTAAAGGATCTGGCAAGCCCACATCATTGCAAAAGAATTAAAAATGCAATTATAGAAGCAAAAAGAAAAAGTACATGAATTGCATAATTTAGTAGTAACACTGCATATATAACCACAGGTTTGAGTCTAGATGCTTGCTGCTAAAAAGGGAACAACTAAACAACTACCTGTAATTATCTGAAACGTGTGCTTTGAACTTCCTAAATTGTTTCAAATAAGAAAGAAGCCATTTCTAAATTCTGTTGAATGCTGCAATTCAATGGTCCCAAGGCTTCTTTCCCAGACTATAAGGTAGTAGCACCCCCCATTCTCTCTCTCTCTCTCTCTCCCACACACACACACACGAAAACCAACGTAAGAGGATTTTCACAATCACTAGGTTCTTCAACCAGTCACCTTCTTCCCAAACCACTAGCTACTTCCTTTCTACAATGGGAACTAAACTAGTGTACTTCGGAAATTAAGTTGCAAAAGCAGAACAAGCTAACAGGTCATTCGTGCAATTCTGTCTGGCCGCACATGACTCCCTCTCGCAAGATCGCAACCCCCTTACAAGATTGCGGACTAAGCCGAGTTTGCAGAACGCAGGAGAAAGCAAAGACAAACTTGCACGTACCCCACCATTCCGTAGCTTTTGCTCTTTTCTTTGAATGAATGCTCCGCTGAAAATATTACGCAGGCCCCGTTGCACAGCTACAAAGTCCACACAATCGGTTCCCTCCCATTTCGCAAGCCCGAGCCAGCCCTCGTCTCCCATGAATCCCACTTTCTCCTCGGGCTGTGCACTCAAGTCATTTACACCGCACTCCATTGCACAGCAGCTCCGAGCCTTTCTCTCTGTGCATAAATTAAGGAAGCACCCCAACCCCCGCTCCTCTACGAAGAGCGACCCATGATCGCGATCGGGCGTGGGGGAAGGGGGGGCACAAATATACTCACAGGCGTTCCAAATCCTGCATGCAGCAGAGGCAGCAAAAGGAGAGCAAACATGTTACAGTTACAAAAAAGAGGGCAGCGGAACAAGGAAAAGACAACGCGCTGAGACCCAACCCAGTCCTCCAGGCTCATGACTTGTTAGTCAGCTGACTACAGCAGAGCTTCCGGCCCGGGAGTTTGGAGCTTTTTTTTAAAGTTGGGCAGCCCGGAAAAGGCAGCGAAGCAAGCAGGATTTGAAGATCTTGTGCAGGACTTTCAGAGGGGCCTTCAAGAGGGGCAGGGAGGAAACTCGGAGGTTGTTCCCTTCTTTTTATTCTGCCCAGCAGTCTCCATATGCAAGCGCATGGGGACAAGGTTGCAACGTCTCTCCATGCACTCACTAATGGGGAAGGGGTTTTTTCCCCCAGTGAACACCAGTGAGAGCCAGTGTGGCGTAGTGGTTAAGAGCATGGGACTGGGACTCAGACGATCTGGGTTCTAGTTCCCGCTCAGCCATGGAGCCAACTGGGTGACTTTGGGCCAGTCACAGACGCTCAGCCCAACCTACCTCACAGGGTTGTTGTTGTGGGGATAAGATGGAGGAGGAGAATGATGTAAGCTGCCTTGAGCCCTTTGTAAGAAAAAGGCAGGATATAAATAGAAAAATAAATAAATAAAACACAGGGAAAAAAGTGATGCAGAACTATACCGGTACCAAGAGGTTCTCTTTGTAATCTGTATAGGCTGAAATTCAGCAGCTAAAGGGAAGGGAAGGGCAGAAGCTACAAGATTTAAGTTGTTAGCAAAGCACTAAGACTCTCTTAGAGATGAAAGGATTCTTAATAGAGGCTAATTTGGTACAGTATAGAAATTGTTTAAATAAATAACCTTTGAAGATCAACATTTATTGGTTTTTCATGGCACACCTTACTGTGCCATGGGGGGGGGCTTAGTATGTAATCTGAACCTGCCCCCAGCTTCCCAAGGTGTAGTTTATAAGCCAGCCCAATAAGCCAGGCTTGGAGTGGGTTTATTAACCCACCATTGACTTGGTGTGTCATCCAGACCCAAGATGCTAAATCATGGTCATGATAAAAGGCTCTGGAAGCCCTCAATAAGAGTGGCAAAGAAACGGTCACTGCTCTAGCCAAGAGGCTCTAGGCAAGTGCCCAAGCATCAACTTGGGTGTTCTGATGTCATCAGCAGGCGCATGGGGTGGGGAGTGACTGGGCTCTGCTACATGCTACCTACTCAAGCCCTATTTAGGGGTTGGAGAGCTGGTGTGTGGTAGAGGAAGGAACCATTTAGCAATGCCTTCTCAGGAAGAACAGGGACTGAGTGGCAGTCCTTTCCGCTGTAGCAGCTGAAGAGATAAGTCTTCCCAAATGGCATCTTGGCACCAGACTGCGAATCAATGGGGCAGACGCACAGAGGAGATGAGGTGGCAATGCCTTTCCTCTCAGACATGTCATCCAGGTCCTGATATTTGGCCAGGAGGCTGACAGACCCTTGGGGCACTGGCTTTGTTGTAGCAGTCCCATGAAGTGCCTCTTGGGATGCTCCAGATTCTGAGGCTGGTTTCCAGTTCTTAATTCATTGTTTGTGTGCATTTTAATTAGAAAGCTCAATCATTACACTGGGGGTTAATAAGCTCCAAAGCATATTCATGTTATGATTTCGATTAACATTCCATCATTCATTCCATTTTTGTACTGCCCAGTAGCCAAAGCTCTCTGGCCAGTTCATGGCAATAAAAGGAAACATTCTAATACATGGATTGCAAGAAGTACATCATTACAATAACAAACAGTTCATTTCACAAATACTAATTGTCTAAACTAGTGTTATATTTCAAACATCTCCCTGAATGGAAACTTTCCTCTTCAAAATGAACAAATTCCTCCAAAGTCAGCATTTTGCCTAATATTGATTAATAAGGAATGATCTTAGTTGACACTAAGGAACTGGAAGTATATATGCACCACCAATAAAGTTTAGGATGAATACATGTACAGGCAGTCCCCAGCTTAAAAATGGATTCCATTCCCAAGAACATCTTTAAGGTGAATGTGTGCGCAAGCTGGATCATGTACATATGGGCCATATTTAGCGTGAGTAAGCCAAATGTTTGTCTTAGTATTCATATATATCTTACCTTTCTATGCATATAAAACACTGAAGAAACACTTCCGTGTACAGTCAGTCCTCCTCATTAACAGGGGTTAGGGGCACAGGACACTCACAAAAGTGGGAAAACTGCAAGTATTACTAATCCCCGCCCCAAAACCTTAACTCTTAATACTGTTGACCCTGTGTGTACTGGATTGCTTTTCCCTCACTATCTCAGATCCAGCAGTGGTGGTCTTCTTCATTATTGCACTCTTATAGTCTTATCCCCCACCCTCCCTTTCACTCACAGTGTCTCCTCTTTGCACCAAGGAAGTACTGGATGGATTTCTTTCTCTGAATGGGTGGGGAAAGAAGCCCGTTTCCCTTTTTGCTTCCCCTCTCTCTAAAGTGATGACAATTTGCCATTGTAGGCCTCAAAACACCAAAAGTTCTTGCATTCATTGCTACAAGCCATTTGTCTTTAACTGATTTTTTTAAATTAATAGGCTTTACGGCAATCCGTTCGTTAACTGTGGATGTTTGTAACTCAGATGTTATACCGAAGGACAACTTGTACTCACATCTCCAGTCCATGAAATGGAAGTGAATCACATCAAGCCCAAAATTTATTTGGAGAATGTGAAAAAAAGTAATTTATGTAAATATTGTGGTTCCATTTGAGTGACTTCAATGAAGTTACAATCTGACAGGACAAGTAATGGAGGTTTTTAGGCTTTCTTGGTTTATCTTCTTATCCAAAGTCTATCCTGGTATTTCAGCATTGTACATTTGGTTTTGTAGTGATTTCTTGCTACCATGATTGCTTGTTCGTTGCCTGAACTGGAAAACACAACTTGGCATGGTACTGAGTGCAGAACCATAGAGCCACTTGGCAAGAGTGCCCGATTGCTGCTCTTGCCAAAAGACTAACCAGAGAGTATCAGACACTACCAGAAATCACTGCTCCTCTCACCCTAAGGATTCTTACTGGGGGCAGGCGTAGGTGATGAGCTGGTCAACACTGAGGTAAGAGCAGAACCACTGAACTGATTTTGCTTGTGCAGGAGTAGTGATGGTGGACTGGGTGAGAGCGCACAGTTGTGGGGGGAGGCATACTTCAGTGGACTTTTCTGGGTGCCCTTCTCACAAGACTAGCTGGGGTGGGGTGCTAGGTTGGAGGCCATATGTCTCAGTGGATTCCCTGTACCGCCCCTCACATAGCAGCAAGAAGCCTCAGGGCAGTGGTGTTGTCTGGGGCAAGCCAAAGCAAAGCCAGAGCAAAAAGGGGGGAATCAGTGCCTCATCCGTCACTTTCCAGCTGTTGGTTTGGACATGCCCCCCTGGAAAGCCAGAAGGAAGAAGAGGGAAATCCACTGCAGCATATAACCCCCAAATGGGCACCACTGGTCAGCTGCTTCTTGCTCCTGCCACTGGCTTGTTCACACACAAAAAGGAGTTTCCTCCTGGCTAGTGGGAGGAGCAGAAAGATAATGAATTGAGCAGCTCCTTTCTGCAGCACTTCCCTGCTGATTGCTTCCCCCTTTTGCCTGAACATGAATTGGGTACCTCCTCTGCTGCTCTAGCAGTCTTTTCTGAAGTAGGAGGGGAGGGTGCCTGACCAATTCCTTATCAGCTCTGCTGTGCTTCAGGGCACAAGCTGTTTGTGCAGGAGAGACTACTTGACAGTCAGGATGAGCCAAAATAAGCTCATAGTCACTGCTGTCAAAGCAAGTGGCATCATTCTTTCTGGTAGTGCCTCCTGGGATACTGCCTGGAAGACTGAGAGGGAAGAAGATGATGGATGGGAGGAGCATTACCCTGATGGTCTTTCAGGCACTTCTATGCCAGAGCAGAGCAGAGCAGAGCAGAGCAGCACAGGATGGAATCTCTGCAGGATTACTTGGCTCAGGAGGCCTAAGTACATGTCTTGTTTTTGTCAAAGGCCTCTTCTTTAACTCCTTAGTTACATTTTGAAGGGGGAGAGGTGGGCAATCACTGTGAATATGGTTAGGTGGGTGGGTAAGTAGGTAGATCAGGCAGTTTTCAATTCTGATTCAATTCTGGGGATTCTAGCAAGGAACAGTTTAAAGCGTTAGTCTGTGGGGATAGAGGTCCTCAAACTTTTTCAATAGGGGGCCAGTTGAAAGGTGGCGGCTACATGCTCAGGCTGGTGAGGGAGGGGGCAGAGCATGAGGGCCGGTGAGGCGTTGTCGGGTGCATGTGAGGTGGCATTGGGTGTGCGCTGCGGCGACTCGCTCGCTCGGAGATCTCCCAACAAGTCCAAAACCATCTCCGAGTGAGCAAGCCACCACCTCCAGCCCGTGCGGTGGGGGGCGGGGGGGAGGTGGCGGCGTGCTGGCCGGATGAATGGGCATGGTGGGCTGAATCCATCTCACGGGCCGTAGTTTGAGGATCCATGGACTAGAAGAAAGCTGAGGAAGAATGTGTAGGTAGTCTTTCCTAGGGGAACGTGACCTTTCAGCAATGATATTGTGCTATGTCTGTGTCCAGTTGGAAGCTTCCTTTAGAGCAAGGAACTGTCGAGTAGTTGCACCCATGCCTTTTATAGCCTCAATATGCAGGGAAGAATGAGGAACTGGGTGTTTTCACCCCATTTTAAGCCAAATCACACTTCCATAGATCAGAAGTGTTTCCTATCAAATGGCATTGAATTGTATCCAGCTAAAAGCTTCCTTAGGTGCAGGACTATATCAAATATGGCAGCCCCCATGTCAATAACAACACAAATATATAAAGAACGTAGAATTGGATATCAGCACAAATCTTAATATCAATATCATAAATACATGTCAATATAATATGAAACAAACAAAATTAATTTATGATTATATCATTGCTTTTTTGATTTTGTAATTTGGGTGTATATATGCACAGAAGGGAAAGATGTAAGGTATGAATAAATCAATATCAACATCAATGCACATATTAATATTAATAAATGAACATTAAACTTTTGATTTCTAAAAATTATATATATTTACACATTTACATATGCTCTTAAGTCTCTCTCTCTGGATGTGTCTGCTAAGCCCTGCCTGCTAAGCCATTCCTGGAGAGGACATCTGATTTCAGGAGAAAAAAAACTCAAGCAGAGAGATGGGCTGCGGGGGGGGGGGGGCAGCAGGAAGTGCAACTCGTGTGGGTAAAGAGCTAGTTAATTCAGGGGGATCAGATCATTACAGCCCCTGTACCTTTTCTTCAGCAGCTACCTTTGGCTAGCGGGCCGGTTAAGGAAGCGGGACTTGCAGAAATTCGGACAGCTGCCCTAGCGGGCCGGCCCCCAACACTGCCCTTGTCCTCCAGCTTTCTTTGCTAATATACTTTCCCTCCTTCTAAAGAACACGCTCACTATGGGGCGGCGGAATGCCACAAGGCCTGGAAGGAGAGAGAGTTGTGGAGTAGCAGCAGCAACTACAGCCAGGGCGCTCTCTCCAACTCCGCTTCTCTGCAGAAGTAGCCTTTCCCCTCCTCTACTTTCCCAAGCGCCGCTACTCAACGACTCTGGAAGAGGGGCCGGCCAACAAAAAGCCAGCCATCCAAGCAGCAGCAGAGGAGGAGCAGGAGGATTCCCGCGTGGCACGTCAATCCGCCTGTATCCCCGCCTGGTCCCTCGGAGTGGTGAGGCAGGGAGAGGCCCCGCTGCCCCCTTTTGCTACGTGGTGTCCGGTTGCTCGCCAGGCCGGGAAGGATGTGGAGGCGCCGGCAGCTGCTCTCGGCCGCGCTCTGCCTGCTCGCGGCCGCGGCGCTGGCTCAGTACGAGCGCTACAGCTTCAGGAGCTTCCCGCGAGACGAGCTGATGCCCTTGGAGTCCGCCTACCGCTACGGCCTGGACCAGTACAGCAACGAGAACTGGCCCGAGAGCGTCAGCTACCTGGAGATGAGCCTGCGGCTGCACCGCCTGCTGCGCGACAGCGAAGCCTTCTGTCACCTCAACTGCAGCACGGCGCGCCTGGAGCAGGAAGGGGGCGCCGAGGGCCAGGCGCCGCTGCCGCCCGACCGCTTCGACGGATTCCCGGAGCTGCGCGCCTTCGCGGACATCCTGCGCAGGGCGCAGTGCCTGAAGCGCTGCAAGCAAGGGCTGCCGGCCTTCCGCCAGTCCCAGCCCAGCCGGGAAGTGCTCGAGGAATTCCAGCGCCGCGATCCGTACAAGTTCCTGCAGTTCGCCTACTTCAAGGTAGCGCCCCCTCGCCCCGCGCGCCCCTCCTCCAAGCCCCCTTCGGCCCCTGCCGTTGAGGAGGCCAGCCACAATGGTGCGAACCGTGTAAATGGTGGGATGGTGTAACCTGGTGTCCTGCAACAGCAGGGGGCTGGACCCGATGGCCTTCATGGCCCCTTCCAACTCTACGATTCTATGAAGGTACCACCCTAATGTTGATTTTGGAAGTTTTCCTTAAGTGGCCTGCAAGTGTTTGGTTTTTGCCCATTTTTCCAGTTCGCATGCTGCCCAGTTCCTTCATCCAGTGCTCCAAACCAATGGTTATTTGTCTTCCTTGCCATGGTGTTGTCTGCTAGGGATGTTAGAAAAACCCACCACTGATTCCAATGAGTTCAGAATCCAACTATGCAGATTCTGAATTGGAGCAACTCTTTCAGAGGCATTTGAATTCTGTAGACTGGATTTGTAATGGTGATGATTTGTGCTAATTTACATTAAGTACAGATTAAGGCTACTGCAAATTAGTGCAAGTAGAACAAAAGTCTAGTAAAAAAAAAATCCAGTGCTGTTAGTGAACTGTTGATGGAACAAAAGACCTCTGACATTCAGTGAAACACAGATGGATTTACCAAAGCCCTGGATGCCACCTTTAAAAAAAGAGGCATAGCCTCTTGGCAGGAAGAATTGAACAGAAATGCGCTCCAAGATTGGAGCTGGCACTCCAAAACCAGAGCTTGCTCTTTCTAGCCAAGACTCCAAAGTCACAAGAGTGACCTCAGAGACCACGTGTTGTGGGTATTCGAAGGAGGCATGGAGACAAGAAGACAGGATTCACCAGAAACTATGGTAATCTGGCAACACCACAACTTGTCCTTCTTGGACTTTGAAGCAAAATATGTAAATAGATTCTTCTGTCCTCCATAGAATACCTCTAATCCTTGAATTTGGAAGTTTATGAGCACATAGGGATGCACTGTTGATGGAGTTAATTTTTAGTGAAAACCACCTAAAGAACTTTAGCTCTATCATGGTATATAAATGATGTAATAATCAAACCAACTTTTCACATAATTGCATATAATTTCTTTTTCAGGTGTCATATATGCTAGTGGTAGGCAACCTGGTGTGTGTGTGTTTACTACAGCTCTTCATCAATCCCAGCCACCAAGGCTAATAGGTATTGTGGAAGCTGTAGTCCAAACTATCCAGCAGGTTCCAGGTTGCCTACTCTTGTACTACACATACTTTCCCACAGACCTTTCCCCTGACCAATTATGTGCTTTTCCTGACTCCTTGGATCAGTTTTAATCTAAGTTCCTCAGATAAAGAAAAGAATCCAAATATGATGGATCCATGATGCTTTCACATACATGTCATACTTACTTCTCCCTTCCATTGATCCATGTGTTTTTAGCAAATTAGTCATTGTCACCTGCTTTATTCATGCCGCTATCCATGATTTTGCGTTTGCTTCAGCACTGCTTTCCATGCTGCTGCTCGCACTGTATGCCCCACAGCCATGCATTTGTGTTTATCTGTTTCCCATGTGGATCCAGTCACTCACCTCACAGTATACCATGTGCTGCTTCTTAATTTCCAGTTCCACGCATGCTGCAAGTGTGCAAGTCCAGTACCATGCCAGTACAGCTTTTTGCTGATGTCACACACTTTTCCCTATTGCTCAACCAGCACTCCACTATTGCTCAACTAAGAAAGCACAGCTTTTGATTGTGGCTTGCTTGGAGAGAGACAGGGCAGAATCCCCATCTGGACATCCTGATAGACAAACCAGGGACAGAATTTCATCTTTTGTTAAGTGCTCCTTCTGGTGGGAGAAGTTAAGCAGAACCAGTTTGACAGCAGGCACAAGTGTGCTTGCTCAATCCCAATCAGCCAGGATTTTCTGGAGCTCCAGCTCATCAGGCGACCTGAACTGGGCCACTGTATTCCAACGTACTCTAGATGTATTTGTAACGCATTTCCATCATCTGGAAAGCCACTTGTGGTGTAGTGGTTAGAGTATTGGATTGGGGACTTGTGAGATCCACGTTCTAGTCCCCATGTGGCCATGAGCTTACTGGGTAACTTTGGGCCAGTCACAGACTCTATGCCCAACCTGCTTCACAGGCTTGTTGCAAGGATAAGAGTGGAGTAGAAGAGAACTATGTAAGCTGCCTTGGGATCCTCACAAGAGGAAAAGTGGGATATAAATGCAGTGTAATAATAGTAGTAACATTCTAGATATATGATTATTTATTCTGTGGGTCTTTGGCTTAAGGTCTATTAAACTTCAGTATAATTTTTAAAAAATGGCCTGCTAGTTTATTAATCTACAGTAGCTAATATACTAATTTTTGCACTCTCTGGCTCCTTTATGTGAAAAACCTCATTTTTTCACTTCCATTATATGCTCATATTTGCCCCTTCCCAACCTATGTCCTGTTATTCATTCTTCCACCAATCTAGTATTCCAGAGCGTCCCACCTTTCTCATGGCTTCCTTCACTCCTCTTTCCCACCCTCGGACAAATCCCAGCTTTCACTCAGTGGAAATGGCTTGTTGTACTAAGACTAAAAATAAATGCAGTTTATGTACCTTGTCATATATGTCACTTTATTGTATTTTGGAATGCTGTTCTTAGAAGAATGAAGACCCTATAGATGTTTACATTGAAGCTCCAGGAGAAAAGTGTATAAAAGATGCGACTTTTTCAAAAGTGGGTTTCTAATATAATCAATCTTTTTCTAAATTTTTTTGACTAGGCAAATAACCTCCCAAAAGCCATTGCAGCAGCACACACATTTCTTTTGAAACATCCTGATGATGAGATGATGAAAAGGAATATGGAATTCTACAAAAGCATGCCAGATGCTGAAGACTATATGAAAGATTTAGAAGCAAAATCCTATGAGGTATTTTCTCCATCCTATTTATGTTTCTGAATCTCTCTGATTATATTCTGTATTTTTTTAAAGGGAAGAAGGAAGACCCATGGTTTAGGATCTATTAAACCACATTTTTTAAAAAAATCTGCAAACTAGTTTCTGGGAGCAATTCTATGGTCCCTAGATCTTGGATCTCTGACTTTGGAGCTGGGGATTCACAGTCCGATCCTCCTCCCACAAGTAATGTTCTGGCTGCCTCTGGAGTCAGAACTCAACCTTGGAAAGGAGTTAGAGGGAGGAGAGGATTGCAGAGCTGGAGGAGTGGGGCAGTGAAGGTCACCTCCTTTTCCTAGGATGCCCCTAATCCTCCAAGTTTGGAGATTCATAGTCATCTCAATTAAATTGTGTCCTAAACTGCAATAGCTTCCTATCAGAAATGGGCTTCCATCCTTAATGGAGAGATAAAAAAATCGAGTGGAAAGCCAATCATTAATCAATGTAGGGAAGAGGGGTGCTGGTTTTGGTTTGACTTTTGCTACTTACTTTTCCTGTAGTAGTAATAGATGCCTGTTAATAGTAAGTAAAGGTTCTGTTTAAAACTTAGAATCTCAGCTGTGGTCAGATACTCTGCAAATACACATATGTTTGCTTTTATCTGAAGAGTGGGACAAAAAGGTTATTTAAATAAGTAAGAACAGGTATTGGAAAGCCATGACTGGTATCATTTTTCTGCTACTTATAAGCATTACAAAATAGGAATTTCTATGATGTGCAGGGTTTATGTAATTTCCTATAGTGATAAGACATTTTTGTAGGAAATTCTTTCCGTGTGACTATGAATTGTAGGTTGATTTTTTTTGAGATTTTAATAATGCTTTTATTTGAACAGAGATATCTCATCACTGTTCTGTATTGGTAATACCTAATTCTGATACAATTGTCAAAATAAATTAGGGTGAAATGTATTTCAGAACACAGTCCCAAAAATCCATTTACAGGAATATTTCCCCTCATTAATGAATATGGTCGATTTCAGGGGTTTTTTTCACACAAATGGGCAAAACCTCAATTCTGAGGGCCAAACTGGGCTTTCCTAGGGAACATGACCCCTAACGTTCTCCAGAAAGTCATGTTTCATTTCCCGTGGTCCAAACCCTTTTTCTTCAACCACTGATAGTTTGTTTCCTGATTTTTTAAAAATAATTTTTTATTTTCTTAACATGAACTGATACAGAAAGAAACATATGTAAAACAAAGCAAACTAAAATAAACAAGCTAAAACGATCAAAGTTGCTAAGGAAGTTTTAAACAAATAGAACCAATACTTTCAAAACTTTTAACCTCCCCTCCATCTGTCTATCTTTGAACACTCTATGGTAGTTTAACAAAACAGAAATTTATCTATACAACAGTCAGTTACTTTATATCCTCTGCTGCCTTCTCTTCTCTTCTCTTCTCTTCTCTTCTCTTCTCTTCTCTTCTCTTCTCTTCTCCTCTCCTCTCCTCTCCTCTCCTCTCCTCTCCTCTCCTCTCCTCTCCTCTCCTCTCCTCAACTAAAACAAAAACCCACAATTGTAGGTGGATTTTACATGTGCATCCTATGTACCTGGTGCCACTAGCCATCAAACATCTTGCTGTACATGCCAATCCAGATATTTCCCCATCTTGCACATTTAAGTGCGAGTAAGCCCTGGAATGCAATCAGATTTACTTCTGAGGAGTCATATATAAAATTGTATTATAAATGAGTTAGGCACAGTCATTTAATTTGCTTTCTTTTTAATAGCTGGATATTAAATATACTACTGGTTAAGATTGTAAGCCTAGATGCAATTCATAGGAAGATAATTTAGACTATTCCCCCATGTGGATCACAGGAAAATATCTGGATGCCTCTGTGGCCATTTATTGTTGTTGTTATACACATCGAAGCACATATATAATATATAGTTAATAATACATTTTGTCCAGCACTAGCATCATCACTTCAGCCCCATGTTATGAAAAAACCCTAGGCCAGGCAGCTGAGAAAGGCCCCTTCGACTGCTATATTTTGATGCACCAGTGCTGTACTATGAAAGCCGTGGGCCCTAGGACAGGGCCTTCTTGGCTTAGTCAATAATCCAGTTCTAGTCAAAACAATGTTAATTCACATTGTCAGAAAAAAGTGCAGGACCAAGTACAGATATTGTTGGCTGTTCCAGTTTTTTATGAGCCTCCTGAATTGAGTTTGTGGACTAGCAGTGATCCATGAACCACAATTTAAGAATAGGCATTGATTAGTCTGGAACAAAAAGATGTATTTTAACAACCTGCTTTAATCCTAGAGGTCATGCCACGGAGAAAATGTTTCTAGTGTTTTGTATTTGGATATTTTGTACTTTTATTTATTTCTCTATCTTATGAATACATTGTTTCTTTTTAAAAGAAGTCTATATAACCTTCTGTTTCTCAGTACCAGCTTACTAAAGTGGTGGCAGAAGGAAAGTCTGCCAACCCAAGACATTAGGGACATGGTAAATTTGAGACTGCACGCCTAGAGATCCTGCTAAAAATGACTCTGATTGGTTGCTGGCAATGAAGCATATGAAGGGGTGGCTGGCAGGTGGCTTGCTGGTGAAGCAGCCTACCTGGATCTGCTACCAAAGCATAGAAAGGAGCAGCTGTGTGAGCGCACCTGCCTCTTTTGTCACAGCAATGCTGTCTTTCATCAGGCCATTCTCGTCATGTCCGTGTCTTAAGATTTCTTCTGATCTTCTCAGAATCTCTTTATCAGGGCAGTAAGGGCATACAATGGAGAAAACTGGAAGACAGCCATCACAGACATGGAGCTGGCACTTCCTGAGTTCTACAAAACCTACGATGATTGCTTAGCAGCCTGTGAAGTCTCCCGGGAGATCACCACTTTCAAAGAGTTCTATCTCTCTATAGCAGGTAGGTGGTCAGCTCTATTTTAAAGTTAGGGAAAGGGTTCTTAAAGGATACCCTGATATCCTAAAATATTCCCATTTTATCTACCCTGTTTAATGATTTCTCTTCCAATAACACTAGATGATAGGGGCCTGGTTTAAGGTGCTCTTTTGCAGCCTTTTGCCCTCCAGATGTGTTGGAATACAAATCCCGTCGTTCCACAGCCAGCCTTGTACTCCAGCACATCTGTAGGGCACCAAGTTGGGAGAGGCTGCTTTAAACCATAGAGAAGGAATTTGGGAAAGAGGAGAGGAAGAGGGGGCAAAAACATAGTGGGTGTTGCCTGATACCCATGTGGTTGCCCAGGCAACCACATAGCTGGGCAGCTGGTTTCTCCAGTGGATAAACTATGAAAAGTTGAGTACCGCATGCATTTCAGAGTGTAGAATTAAGTTAAATCTGTGCAAGAAACAACAAGAATGGAAAATAACAGCCTTCCTTTTTCATGATCAGAAATGCCAATAAACAGCTCACCTCATGTCTTCTTCGGAAAGTGTTCCCTTATCTCTTCAACTCTTCTTGTCCTCTTCCTGCTTTATATCTTCCTGCCCATTCTGTGTACGCATGACAGAACAACCCAACATGGCTTCTTTTACCCACAGAGGTTCCTGCAATGTGCTGGGTGCCTGCAAGCACCATTTTTACGCAGTGCCCATGGATCCCCAGCTTGCTGTGGCTTGTTGTATCATGTGAAGCCAAGCAATAGGAGATGTTTAAGGCAGGCATGTCCAAAGTCCGGCGCAGGGGCCAATTGCGGCCCGTTTTCAAATTTCGAGCGGCCCGCAGCCTCTTCTCCCTGCTGGCTCAGCCTGTCACTCATCCCCACTGGCCAGCGTTTTTCCCTTCACCACACAGCGGTTCCCACAGCTGCCCCCTGCTGCCTCGTACTCCTTCAAGGCTGGTGGTTATATTTCACCAGAAGATGGCAGTAGACCAGAGTCAGCACTCTCGCTGCGCGACCCTTGTGACACAAGGCTTGTGTGCCCATTTCTAAAATGGCGACTGTAACTAAAAAAAGGAAAGTTGACAGCGAGGGCCACCGCTTCCAGGACAAGTGGAAATTGGAGTATTTTTTCACTGAAACACAAAACAACTGTGTCTGCCTAATTTGCCAAGAGACTGTGGCTGTTTTCAAGGAATTCAATATCAAGAGGCACTACCAGACGAAACATGCTAACTACAACAAGCTAACTGGGAACGAACGCGGCGAAAAATTGAAGGAACTGGAAGCTGCTTTAATGGCATAGCAGCGCTTTTTCACAAGAGCCCGTGACGCCACAAAGGCGAGCTACGAGGTGGCAATGCTGATTGTCAAGCACTGCAAACCTTTTACTGAGGGTGAATTTATTAAAGACTGCATGATGAAAATGGTGGAGAAAATTTGTCCTGAGAAGAAGCAAGTGTTTGCCAATGTTTGCCTGGCTCGTAACACTGTGGTACGGAGAATTGAAAACGTTTCATCTGATATTAAGGGACAGTTAGAGGCAAAAGGAGTGAAGTTTGACTTTTTTTCGTTCACCTGCGACAAAAGCACGGATGCATCTGACACCGCTCAGTTACTGATTTTTTTGAGAGGAGTGGACAATGACATGAACGTGAGTGAAGAGCTGCTTGACCTCCAGAGCCTTAAGGACCAAACAAGAGGAAGAAATTTATTTGTTTCTGTTTGTTCTGCCATAGATGACATGAAACTACTGTGGAATAAAGTCACGGGGATTATTACGGATGGCACACCTGCCATGGCTGGCGAGCGAAGTGGATTATCAACCCTAGTCTATAACAAAGTCAGCGAAGGAGGAGGCAAAGCTATAAAACTCCACTGTATTATTCACCAACAAGTTCTCTGTGCCAAACATCTGAAATATGATCATGTTATGAAACCGGTGATGAAGTCTATTAATTATATTTGCTCCAAAGCCCTGTGCCACTGCCAGTTTCAACAGTTTCTACTTGACATCCAGGCTGAATACGGAGATGTTGTGTATCACAACGAGGTACGATGGCTCAGTCGGGGGTCTGCACTGCAGCGCTTCTACTCTCTTAGGGAGGAAATCGGACAATTCTTGGCAAAAATGGGACAACTGATGCAAGAGCTATCTGATCCTGTTTGGCTGGCTGATTTTGGATTTTTAGTTGACATAACATGACATCTGAATGTGCCGAACACAATCCTTCAGGGGCAAAATGCAGTGTAAGCCAACTGTATTCACTTATCAATGCCTTTGGGACCAAGCTGCTACTTTTCCAAAGGCACCTGTCACAAACGCAGCCCAATACCACACATTTCCCATCGCTGCAGGAAATAATGACCAGTTTTCCACAGAATGAGTGTGCAAATAAGGAGGTATGAAGCAGGCATCTCATCTCTGGCTGAGGAGTTTCAACAGCACTTTCTGGATTTTGCAGCTATTGAAAAGGAGATCACACTTTTTTCATCTCCTTTCTCTGTGGACCCTGATAACGCTCCAGACCACCTGCAGCTGGAGCTCATTGAGCTGCAGTGTGACGCCGAGTGTCGCAGTCGGCACCGACAGCTCCCTCTTGTCAACTTTTACTGCCAGCTGGATAAAGACAGGTTCTAAGAGATTCGAACATTTGCTAAGAAAATGCTGAGCTTGTTTGGTTCGACATACTTGTGCGAGAAGACATTCTCGGTTATGAACATTAACAAGAACCGTGTGAGGACAAGACTAAGTGACTTACACCTGTGTGACATCTTGCGCATCAAAACCTGGCCTATATAATGCAGTCGAGATCTCAGTATCACCCTTCACATTAGTGCAGTTAAGTTATTTGTTTAGTCTTTGATAAAATAGTTCATTTGCATTTAATGTTAATGGTTCAAAGAATGTCAGGCTGAATGGTCGGCCCCCACACATTTTCACCTCACCAAATCTGGCCTTCCTTGCAAAAAGTTTGGACACCCCTGGTTTAAGGGTTATACAATCCTCAAGTAACCAATGGCTTGTTTTAGGGTTATGTGAGGGTTGACTCAACCTTTGCTGTCTGGGTTTGTATGGCCTGATAAAACATAGCAGCCCTTGCAAGTAAATTAAGCCACATGCTCCCATGACAAGTGAATAGTTCTTCTCTGCAATGCTAGTGGATAAGCAGAAGCCACATGGTTTAAATGCCTGTATATTTGAGCTTAGGAAAAGCCTTTTACCCTGCAGATGAATCTGTAAAATCAGGACGTAAGTAAAACTGGTAGCAAAACTTCATTTTCTGGCCAGTCATCTTGTTAACTACACATCATATATTTATCTGCTTCAAACTGAAGGAAACTTGATACTAAAGAAAAACACTGCTGTTATCCTGTCCTTAGGGACTAGCCACACGGTATGTAAAAATGCCTGTAACAGAAACATATATTTAAAAAAGCAGCTGCAGATCAGGTGGGATTGAATGGTAAAAGACTAGCATGGTCCTTCCCCACTAATTTTCTGTTGCAGCACATACACCACCCCAGGTTTCCTTCACAGATTTTCTAAGTCATGGGTAGGGAACATGTGGCCCATCATAGGTTGTTAGACTAAAGATCCCATCATCCCTTTCACCTGTTCCTCACTTCCAGTCTCTCAGAGGAGAGTCACCTGACAGGTACTTGGAGTGGGCAAGCAGTGAGTTGGGAAGTGATTAAGCCTACCACTCCATTCAACAATCCCACCTGAAGATTGCTTTTCTTTTTTTCTTTTTAAATAAACAAAAGAAACCTGTATCAAGGCTTCATATCATGTACTAAGATCCTCAGACTATTCTCTATGGTTGAACAGCATGATGGTTTTCAATTCCCCCATTTCTCAAATTAAAATTCTAAAACTGTAAATAAATAATGCTGTAATACAGCAGTTAATTCACCGTGAACAGCAATGGTTGGACCAGGTGTAATAGCAAATGCATGGTTACTTTTATGAGAACTTTTTCAATTAGTGCCTGTAGGTGGCAATATAGTCAAATATAACTTTATTGAGAATGGGTTGCTTCTGTGGACCATACAGTATTTTATCTGTGGACACTTCCCACCTCCAGATTCTGACCCAAATGACATAACATTGGCGTTACTGAGTTTCAGGAGATTGGAATCTACCACAGAAGCGCTGGTTCAAAAAGTGAATTAAATAACTATAGAGCATGCCAAACTTTTTTTTTTATTTAAACAGATCACTACACGGAAGTTCTTGAGTGCAAAATGAAGTGTGAACCCGATCTGACACCTGTCATAGGAGGCTATGCAGTCGAGAAATTTGTGGCAACTATGTACCACTACCTGCAATTTGCCTATTATAAGTGTAAGTAAGGGATCTCATTCTACACTCAAAGGGGGATTGCATACACACATCACATTTCTGTTTGGCATGTTTAAAATCTTCCAGTCTGCTAGACAGAAAAATCATGGCCTATCCTACCTGCAAAGCTAGTCTTCCGTACCAGTGAAAGGATGCCCCATGTACAAGATCTTAAAAGCCTGCACTGTATCCTGTCCGTCCTACAATTTCTAGAACCACTTTGTATAGCTTTCAGACTTAAACACTAATATGTATATTTCCAGGTGCATTTAGGCATACAGCCCACATATAGATCCAGGCATGATCTCTGAGATCAAAAAGAGATAACTGTTGAATAAACTTCTGAGATGTCTTTGTCTTGTTTCATATTCATTCAGTGAATGATTTGAAGAATGCAGCACCATGTGTTGCTAGCTACATGCTCTTTGACCAGAAAGATGAAGTGATGAAACAGAATCTGGTCTACTATCAATATCATAAAGACAAATGGGGGCTCACAGACGAAGACTTCCAGCCTAGACCTGTAAGTGAAAAGTTAATCTCTCACGATCTGCTGGAGCAAATGGCTCATCCACTCCTACACCTTTGAGAGACTCATTCAGGCACTTACTTGAACACGGAGCAGCTGTGGTTAGTGTGGGCATTCACACCTCTTGCCAGCACTTCTTTACATCTTCATGCATTCAGTGCAATGGCTGGGGTTCTGACCACATTTGGCTGTGTGTATGTAGAAGCCTCTCTTCAATTAGGAAAGCTGCCCCATCAGGGTTCCTGCTCTATGCAAGGAGTGTGCAAAATTTTGAAGAAGAGTCTGTGGACACAGGTGTGTTGGGGACAGGGCTTGGATGCATGCCACATCCCCCGTCACTTTTAGGTTGAAATTTTTTATTTAAAAGGCCATGCATACTCACCTGGATAGGTCTGCAGCAACATTTTGGGGCAATACATTCTGTTTTGCACATACCCAAACGCCATGGTTTCATTTGCCAGTTGAATCATTGATTGTCATCAAATGCAAACCTGGAACTATGAGATGCTAACCGTGTGCCAACCCATGAAGAGAATCGGAATCAAAAAAATGCTAACTTCATTATATGCCAGTAATGCAGAGCTGTAAAGGCTGTAGGGATGCAAAAGGGAAGAGGTGAAGGAAGAGGGAAACAAACAGTCCAAGGATCAATTCAAAAAACTATGGATGTTTGATCATCTGCCAGATAAATTATGGAGTGGATAACAAACCATGATTTAAGTTGGGATACAAATACATGCTAGCCATCCTACAGTCACCATGGTGACTGTACCACCAGCATGACAACTAACTTTGAACACAAGTGGGCAGAGATCATCCCCACAACTGCATGGAAATCTGCTTCCTCCACAGCTACAAAGGTGGGAAATAGTCTGGGGTATGAGCTCATGGCTACTGGGAGGCTTTCTTCACTTTATGGAGTCCAGGTTCCCAGTATGCCTCCCCTTGGGAAATCCAAGGCAGCAGGGCTCCAGCTGGGCCCTCCTTGGCAATCACAATTTTGGCAAGGCCAGACAAAACTTCTAGACCCTTGTGGCAAATGAGCTAGCAGCCCGTGTATTAGAGCAAGAGTGCATGAATGTTTCCATGCCTTTAGGAACTTGTCTTAAGAATGCTTGTAAGTAACCATGTTTACTGTGTTATTGTTAAAGTGACATGCATCTTTGCTGTTACCCTTCTAGGAAGCAGTTCGGTATTACAACATCACAACACTTCAGAAAGAAATGTATGAATACGCTAAAGAGTATGTGATGGATGATGATGAAGTAAGTAAAGTTAGACTAATATATTGGTGAAATCACAGTCACTGGCTGTTAGAGGAATACGTATGTGATATGGGAGTGGTTTTCTACCTTTTCTTCTTGATTCTGGTTCTTTGCTTTTAAGAGCAACCTAATATGTAGAAAAGAAGCATGTGAAGCATTTCTCATTTCACTGTGCAAAGTCTCACTTGATTAACATGTGTGTGTGTGCGCGCACACATACACGTCAGGGTGTTGATTGAGGCACAGGGGCAGAGCCAGGAAATGAGGACAACCTTTGTTTCAATATCACATAACCAGAGTAACTTCTGGTGTTTTGTTTTGTTTTGTTTTGTTTTGTTTTGTTTTGTTTTGTTTTGTTTTTTAGCAGAAGTGAGAAAAGTCTGACAAATGAGAACAGACAAAAGAAGTAAAAGCTTGTTTTAGTTTCTTCCCCTTTGGATCTAACGTAGGTGACTTTGTGACAGGCAAGATGGCTCAGTTTCCCCCATAACTCCTTTCCATATCTGGCTTCAGGCACAAAAGGGAAGAAGGTTAAGTTGCCTCATGTCATCCTCTTCCTCCATCTCTAGGATCTGAACTCTCCTCTTTCCTGGCTGATAGAAAGCACTGGAGTTTATCTTTTTTGGCCAGTGCCTGGCTGGCCTATGAAGAACAGGTTGCAGTCATGACAGAAACCACACACCTTGAGCACCACTGCAATCCTAACATACATGTCTAGTGACAAGAGCAGGTTATTTTCCTTTTTCTTTTGGCTGAACGTAAGTTCTACTTCCATCAGCTTGTGATCCCGAAGTGGACCTTTAGGGCCACCAGATCCATTGCTGTCCCTACCACATGCTCCAGATTTGCTGTTCACTTTGCTTTTGGTTTGTGGAATATGTTTTTCCTTCAAGTGCCTGCATTGCTACCTATTTAAGCATGACTTCTTTAGTTGTTTATGACTGAAATTGGGTATGTCTGGCCACAACCCAAAAAGAACAGATTCCATCTATAAATAAAAGTTTTGGTTATATTATTGTTTAGGCCACTCTGTCACATCTGCTGCCTTCCCAATGAATTGGGCCAGAACTACCATCTGTTCTAACCAGCATGCCATGCCTGCTCCAGCTATCAGGAAGATTAATAGTAAAAATATAGGCTGTTTATATCCACTTTCATGGGAATATTTAAAAGGCTGGCAGAGTCAAAAGGAACATGTCAGGTTATTATGAAGAAAAGTATTTCTCCATTTGTAGTTTGAGAATGATGCAGGCAATAAAAATCATCCTTTTCCCCCAGAGGGTAGGCTGAAGCCTAGTATTATGGCTTTATAGTCATCCTATATTTATTTAAAACTGTTTTACTGTCTTTCATTTACACTGCATCCCAGGTGGCTTACAAAATGAATTGATCGCAAACAATATTAAAATATAGGGCTATGAAAGTGTATAGTAAAGGAGCATGTAAAAAGAACAAGAACAACAGTTAAAACAAACAGTGACAATGCCAGCAACTAGACATTTTAAAAGCCTGGGTAGATATTAAGGTCATACCGGCTGAAGGTTGTTACGGGAGCAATCCTACGGCCTCTGGACAGCATCTGAGGAGCCACCAGCTATTTCAGACTCCAAGATCCAAGGTCAGAAATAGCACTCCGAGCTGGGAATAAGCTCACCGACATTCCTCTACTCCTCCTCACAGTCAGCATGGAAAGAATTACACTGCCTTCTCTCCAATGCTGGGAAAGTGACCTTGGAAAGGAGAAAAGGGGGGAATTTGGGGGAGGAGAGGAATGGCCAGGATATAAGATAGCTTGATGTTTCTGCAGCTTCCTTCCGTTTGCCTGCAGCAGGTGGGCAAAAAGAGCATCTAATGAAAATGCAGGCAGGAGCATGGCTAGAGGAAGAGTACTTCCTCTGGTCTGCACTGAACGATCGTAGACCTCTGAGTCCAGGGGGGCCTGACCTTCACCAACAGATTGTGCCTGGAATCTGGCCTATAGGAGATTGTTCTTCAGCTAAGACCCCAAAACCTTTCCCCCACTTCTCCCAGTCAATATGGTAATGGTGAGGGTGCCCAGAGAAGGGAACATTTCCATGGATTTAGCCAGTTCTTCATATACCTGTTCCTGAGACCTTCCGTGCCCCAGTGCCCCAAAGCCATGTATTTTCTTCTATGTATTGCATTTTATTTTACAAGCTTGTTGTGCCCCCTTCCAGCATATCTTTCCATGCTAGATATTGCAGGAATTGGAGCTCCCTCTGGTCTCAGGTCAGTTCTAAGAATGGGTTTTCCCAGCTTATTTATAAAGCCATGGCCCTTTGTGTATCCCAGTTGCCAGCATCCAATCGCTTTCTTCCTACCTTACGCAGAAGTGATTTGGAAACTCAATGCTTGAAAGAAACAACTGGTGTCCACTCTTAAGTTCTTTGCTCTCTGGTTTGCTCTCTTGAAAATGAATTGCAGGATGGAGATAATCTCTCATACTTACATAAAATTTCATTGCCCTTTCTGGTCACTTGGCCTTTCCAGAAGCAAAACACTCTTCTAGCCTCTCTTCTTTCAGATATATGTTAGCATCTTCTGCCCTATCAAAAGAAAGAGAAGCATAGGGCACTGGGCATTTTGCTAAACTCACAAAGATTATTTCAGCCCTCTCTGATTAGGTATACTTACTCATTTTTTGACATAATTACACTGTTTTTTTAATATTGATGGCTGCTACCAGCAAGAAAAGGAAATGACAGGGAAATGACACAGGGAAATGACACAGGTAAGGTTGCTTAAAAGTTCCTGGGAGAACTTGACACAGTTCAGTCATTCTTATCAGCTTCTCAGTGTCAAGGGACATTCTGCCAGAATAAGCAAAGAATGCTATTGTACCAAATCATACACCTTTCCATTAGTGCTCATGTTGCCAAGAGTGTAATGAACTGAATTACTGGTTCAGTCAGAGTATTAATTCTCCAGGTCAACTGCATCAGGCAAAACAAGATTACTGAGAGGGAAATGCAAGGGCATCTTAGAAGTTGTAGGTTCATACAGAGGTGGTCACTCTTGTTTCAGTAAAATCCCTAGTGGCGTGTAGAAAGATGAATGATACTTACCTTTGTATGTGTCTTTGTGACATGAGGGGTATAAATCCAGATTACTCTAATGAGAGCACGAGAGCTTGTTTTTACTAGTTTGAAAAGGTTTCATTATTTCCCCAGAAATCATTCCTTCAGCAAATATTTATGTATGCTGAAGACTGCAATATTTTGAATGCCATTTCTGTTATGGCAAGCTTCTTGCTTGCTGGTAAGGTAAATAATACTTGGCCAAGAGTCTCTTTATTGACCTGACAGCTTTAAAGATTTCGAGTAAGCACAAAAGCAAAGCAAACCGTCATCCTTCAAAAGCTGTTAAAACCACTTCAGCATTTTACAGAAGTTCCAACAAAGCTGTGGGGAAAAGAAGAGCAGGCAGCTGCCCTCCCCTTAGTCTTCCCCAACTGGTAAGTTGCCAAGAAGTTTGGTTTAAAGTGGAATTAGATATCCTGCAGTAGTGCCCCTCCAGAAGTGTCCCAGCATAAATATTCACCCTGCGTGGGGTGCCGAGACCCTGCAGCACTGCTTACCTGGACTCCAAAAAGGTTATCTTTGTGCTGATACTCAAGAAACATCAGAGGCAAAGGGTGGGCTGCCCGAAAGTAAGACAAGGCCAGTATAGGCTAATGCTTGCCAAGATTAGTTGCCATCAGGTCTTCAGCATCACAAGGTAGTTCTGGATTCTGTACTTGCAAGATCAGTGGAGATCTGCCATTCAAATAATACCAAATGGCATGGTTTGGGAGTTACTTTCTGTTTGTGCTATTTATTATTTATTCAGAGTCTTTCTAGACTGCCTTTCTAAATCAGTTCAGGTGGTTTACAAAAGGTCGAAATCATAGAAACCATAATCAAATAAAAATATAGTAAAATAGTAAAAATAATGTAAAAAATGTAACCATTTCAAAAGCTTCAGTGCAGAATGAGTGGAAACCAGTTGCAATGCCAAAAGGAATGGGCAGGTTCACACAAACATGACTTGCAGTGGTGCCTTTTATGCAAGTTGATTTGTCAGGTCATCCAAACCCTGTTGTGATATTTCAGTGTAGGTATGCTTGGTTTTGAGAAACCACTGACATAAATATTGTGGCTGCACAAAGTATATTTTGAGTGGCTCCTATGAAGTTACAATCTGCATGGGTTCACAGAACATGACAAGCAATGGTGGTTTTTAGCCTTTCTTGGTCTGTCTTGTTGTCCAGACCCCATCCTGGTATTTCAGCATGGTTTTTTATTTATTTTTATTTATTTATTAAAACATTTCTATGCTGCCCCTTGCCGAAGCCTCGGGGCGGCTCACAAGATAGAATAGTTTTGAGAAACTATGAGCAGAAAGGTGGTCTGTTCTATGGTTTCTCGGCACTACAACTGTGTGTCATGCTGTCCAAACCCCGAAACACACTTGGTGTGGTCCCAGGGCCAGAAACATCAAGCCAGAGAGTACCACTGATGACTGCTATTTGGTGCACCTGTCAAAGGCTTCCCCACTCCTCCCACGCTAAAGATCTTCGAGGCAGGAGTGGGCAGTCAGCATGTCAGTGCTAGGAGAAGGGCAAACCTGCTCAGTTGATCCCCCTCTGTTTCTTCAACATGTGCCTGTTGGGAGGGAGAACTTTTTGGGCATTTGTTCTCAAGGACTGCTGGGCTAGACCTCAGAAGAAACTGAATAGGAGAGGGCTAAGGCGACTAGGCCATGTAAAATGGAAAGAAGAAACAGAGGCTCTTATCTCAAGGCCAGATCCCTCAAGTCCATGAGGCAGACCATGGAAATATTCAAGATATACAGCAGGCAGGAGGGACCCTAAACATGGGAGTTTCTCAGATGAAGGTCAGGCAGCTCTGGCTCTTGATCCCATGATGCAGCATCAACAGAAGCAGGCGGCCCAATTTCAGGATCGGTGTACAGAGAGAAGGCATGCTCACTTTCAGAAAGCCGCTCCCAAAGGAATGGGGCCCAGGCGTATTCATAAGGAAAGAGTTTCCAGAGGTGAATAGTAGATTCGGCTCATCAAATGCTCTGTCCATGATCAGAGATGTCTTCTGAGTGATTTGTGCTTTTGGATCAACAAAGAATGCTTTGCAAGGAAAGCGGTCTGTGGCTTTTGAATGCTCAAAGGAGCTCAGCTTCCCACAGTGCCTGAGTGGAGCTCCTTTTTGCGGTCAAGCAAGCCAGCTGCAGGGGCAAGAATCTGCTGGGTGGTAGCAACCGTCTGGAGGCTGCCCACTGCAGCTGATTCCCCTGCTGCCACACTGTCTCAGTCTGGCTTGCCAAAGGGACGTCCCTGGGCTTGGAAATGCCTCTTTGGTGATCCAGAGTGAGAAGGGGGCAGGCAGTGCCACCACCTCCTCATCAGTGCCACGCAGCTGCTTCTTGCTCCAGCTCATGAGGAGCAGTGTGAGAAGCTGCACTCCAGTGAGTGGGGGAAATCCGTCTTGGGGTACAGCTGCCTCTCACCCCTGCCACCTGCACACAGGAGGGGCTTTGCTCAGGCACTCAGAGGGTGCTGTTATTTCTTTCCTCAGTGGTGCCCAGCTGATCCCTGCTTTTGCTTGCGGGTGAATTGGGCACTCCCTTCCTGCTTGACGGGAAGGTGCTTTACCAGCTTCTCATCCTCTCCCCTCTGCTTCACAGCATGAGCTCCATTTGTACTGCTTGACGGCCATGGTGAGTCAAACCTGGCTTGCAGTCATGGCTACAGTGTGAGGCCTTCATTCATCCCTGGGATATCTTCTGGAGGACTGAAAAGATAGATCATGGCAGAAGGGAGGGAGTTGCCACAATGATTCTGATCACCTTTCAGGCATATCTGTGGGGGAAAAAATGCACCTGGCAGAAATTGTCCAGGATTGTGTTCTAGAGTCTTGGAGCAAACAAGAGAAAGCCCGTTGCATGTTCCTCACAAGGGGACCCTTATAATTGAGGGTGCCTGCAAGGTCTTCCCTTGCTGAGCTTGAGTACTGAGGAAGTTCCTCCCCAGATAGACAGTCCCTCCAAAAGCTAGTGATCTAAGCCATTCAGGTGCAATCGTAAGCCTGGTTAGACGGAAGAAAAGACAATTGTCAGCATTTCCCAGCCAGCCATGCTGGGAAGTGTAGCACTTTTTTCTTTTTAAACATGCATTGGATTGCACTGTTAGTGTTTTAAAGTTTAATAGCAAAAGCATGGGTAGGGAAGGCAGTTTCCTGCCAACTGAGCAGGACAGAAATAGCAGACTAGCCCCCTTTCATTTAACAGCCTCTTGATTTGTAAAAATTAGCATATAAAACTTTTCATAGTATGGAAACAAGCATTCTACTTTTTTATTGAAATAATCAAAAAGACTAGCTACATAGATTTGAAAGTATCAATTTAGGTGCTTACATATGAAATACAGATAAATGATACTGATGCAGGCAAAATAGCCAAATATATTTCTATTTGCAGGTAGCATTTATATATGACTCATTCAGTTTTTCATATTTTCAGATAAAGTAGTGCTTAAAAGCACAAGAGTAAGGATGGGTAAAAAATTGGGTATCCAATTTTCTCAATTACTGCATGCAAGGGGGTGTGTGTGAAAGTCCCTCATCAAGTGCAAATCAAGCATTCTTAAGACAAAATCTTCACTCCATCCAAACCCAGACTTAATTCTTAATGGACTTTCAATTCCATCAAGTGTTTCTATTTTTTTAAGGTAGAAGTTTTGTCCTTAAAGGTAAACTGTACAGAATTAATTCTGTGTTTTCTGTTATAATCTTTCTAGGGTGAAGTAGTAGAATACCTGGATGAACTCCTGGAAATGGATGGTGGAGCACAATGACTTGGCTGAAACAAGCATGAATTTTAGGAACTGACTTCTGGCTGTCTTCCTTTGCATCTCCATGCACCACCTTTAGCTCAGGTGTTGGAAATACCTCAAATCTTTATTAGGCTCATTCAGCTGTCACCTGAATCATGATGTGGGTTCTCATGTCACATGCCTGGGCTTTCCTTCTTCATTTGAAGTTTTTTTTTTTTAAACACATACTTTTACTCTTTTTTAAAAAATAAGCACCAAGATTCCTTCTGTACATTCTGCTCAGCAAGCACATCATAGCTTGGGTGAATCAAAAACATGGTTTTATAATATGGATCTTTGTAAATCACTCTGGGGACCCATTTTTGGACAAAAACAGGGGCAAAAATCCTTCAAATTAATAAAGTAAATGAGGAAGATAGGCACTCCTCTATATTTTTGGAAGGATGCTACATTTTATGCATATTGAGAGTTCCTTCAACACTTAAGCTGAAAGCACTTACTCTGAAGTAAATAGATCCCCAATCCTTTACACACCTGCCTGGGAATAATTTTCACTGAACTATTCTCAGTAGACATTTATAGGATTACACTGTTAACTGGCTTCAGTGAGACATCACTAGAGACAACAGACTGAAGAGTGTGACTTAATGCCAAATGTTTAAGCATTTTATATTAAGCCCATTTAGCTGAGGTCCAGGTTAAAAAAAAGGGAAGGGTGATATTTGGGTTATAAAAAAGGCAAGTTATAATTCATTTTCTGCATGCATTAATGAAATTAAATACAGAGTTTTCTCCATGGAGGAGGAAAAAGTAGGCCAGAGCAGGTAATGTCGCAGGAGTAGGTGGGTTTTCAGAACAATGTCCCTGTTGCTAGGCTCATCTGGTTGGTCCATGGAAGCACTCAGGTCCTTGGACAAAAAGTAGTTTCCATTCCCAGCATAACCATAAACAACCTCTAGTGCAATGCTAATAAGCACTTGTTGAACTGGCACTGCATCAGCAGAAGTGTGTTGGATACTGTGCAATATCTATTCATTTACACCCAAATTTACTTACATCACCACTTGCGGAGTGGGGTGCTTGACTTTGGCCCCAAAGTCCTCCCTGACAATACCACTGCAGGGTGAAAACCCATACCTGCCTACTCAGAATTAAGCTTCATTGGCTTCAACTGTACTTAAACCCAACTTAGAGTTGCAGTATTACACCTTTCCAAAAATTCTTTATTGGCATGACTACTTCATCTAAACATTTCAATTTATTTAAATGTTTATTCTTGTTGAATAAATAACTGAGAGAAGTAAATGGACCAAATTACAGGTACATCACAGCATTTTCCCCTACAGAGACAACAGAATTTGTCTGTTTTCTGCCTTGATGCTTCAGCATGGAATGCATGTTACAGACTCAATTCATATGGTACAAACACTTATTTATTACAATTTCATGTGTGAATTTAATTGTTTCTATTTTCACAGGCCATTTATGACAAAATTAGCTTCTATTCCACAGCAGGTTTGCCAGCTTCTCTTTTAGTGCCTGCTTGTTTTTTTAACAGCAGTTTGATATGCAGCCATTATCAGGTGATAACATTTATCTCCAGATTTTACCTACTGATTTCTGTTGCTCAGACTTCTGTGGCAAAGAAGCAGGGCAGCCCTCTTTTCTAGATGCTTGACAATCTTCAGTGGTAAGCAAACATTACAATTACTTTGTTGTTCACATTTTCCTCAGAGCCATTAATGCCCGTGCAGCTTTTTTTCTTTTGCTCTTTGAAATGGATGTAGTGGAGAAGAAATTAAGGGGAAAACTCCTTCTGCCAACAAACTGTGCCCCCTTGCAAGAAGCATTTCATTTTATTAACTGACTGTTTTGTTAAATGTAATTGGTGGAATTTTGAAGAATTCTCTGGTTAAACTTATAGGAGTGGACACCTTGTGGGCATCCAGACCCCCATCATCCCACAACCTTGAATAAGTGTGCTACGGTCAATAATAATTGGAAGCCAAAACATCTGGAGGGCCACAAGTTGCCCACCCCTGCACTAAAGTAACACCAACTGTGATTTTTTCAAGTGTCTTTCTTTAGCCAGAGCTCAGGCTGCCTAACAATAGTAGGCAGAAGTGGTTTTCATTTCTATAGCATAATCAGAAGGACTCAGCCTCCACTCTTTTACTACTCCCCGTCATTAACTGTGAAATTTACTGTATCAGTAAGTTAATATTGTGTGCAGTGGTTCCTGCTAGGGTTTCCAACAGTTTTTCTGACAGAGGTACTGTGCCCACAGTCACTGCAAATTCCAGCAGGTGAAACATTACCCTGCATGTTAATCCAATGATGGGGAAAGCTTCAGGTATCAAATTTCTCCTATCCTAGAGCAGCTAGAGGCTTGAAAGTCCCTTTGGAGGGAAAATGTGTTTTCCTTAGCTGATGCACCCTAACATGTCTTTATGCAAGAAACAGTTTTAACATCATTTAGCAAGGAGTCAAAAGGGGAGTAGATGCATATGTCAGCCTGAGTTTCTTGGAGGAAAGGCAAGATATAAATGTGCTTAATAAATATTAATAATTTAATGACACTACAATTTTTAGGATTGTGCTACCCATTGATATTTATAAAGGGTTACTGAGATCTCCAAAGATTTACAGATTGTTTCTCATATGGATTCACAATTTGAAATATTCATGTTCAGAATGATTGCTCAGGGCAAATGGTCCCATGCCTGTCATTGTATTTTTATTAATTCTCTTCCTGGTTTTCTTTCATTCTGCTGTTCCTTTTTATCTGTAGTCTAGAGACTCTGAGTTACCTGAACTAGGAATGGTGCTTTACCTTTTGCTACTCTTCATTGGGAGGTTGGTGCTGTATGTTTGTACCTGATTTTGATACGGATAATCCAAGTGCCACTGTCTTAAACAATAAAGTGCCTTAAAAATCCATCCTTTGTAAGTTTTCTACAATATAACAGTCTTGGTGAATGTAATTAGCACAATTACATTGAATTATTGATAACTAGATGCAATTCATCTTGTGCCATGAATATAGGCCTTGGTGCACAAACTGCTACAATTTGCTTTTATTAGGAACGACCATAGTTCTGCATGAAAAAGCAAATGTTTTGCATGTAAAAGGTCCCAGCTTTGATCCCCAGCACCCTCATGTAGGGCTAGAAAAGGATCCTGCTTGAAGCCCTGGAAAGCCATGGCCAGTCAGTTTTCACAGTACTGGACTACATAGACCAGTGGCCTGATTCCTGTCAGGCAGGTTCCTATGTGCCTATCCAAGGACTTTGATGCAGGAGGGGCTCAGAGAAGCAGGTGGTGAGCACATGCTTTACATGCAGAAAGTCCCAGGTTCAAACCTTGGCATCTTTAATGCAAAAGATGAAAGTGGAACTTGAACAGTCCCCAACTGAAAGATTGGGAAGTGAAGCCATCCACCACAGCACTAGTTTGCAATACAAGCCCCATCTAGCTAGGGATGCACTTACCTTCATCAAGATGAATGACTTCAGGAAGATTAGCTGTTGAATCAGACCTAGGAAAATAACTCCATGTGGATTAGGTGTCCTCACATTTGCACATCTTAAAAACAAATCATGTTGGTCTACAGGACAGCTGAGAACTTAAACCCATTAACCTGGTTTTCACATAATGATTGGCAATTTCTGAGTTTAATTCAGATATGGCTGGAGGAATGGAGCACATGAGTCCTTCAAGGTGGTTCTGCAACTGTGAGGACATCCAGCCATTACATAGGGTCATCGACACCATAGTCCTGCATGTTTACACTAGTGGCAATTTGGAAGACAGTAGCTATTGCTGGTTTTCAGAAGCTAGGCTGAAGTGTTGGACTGCTCCTTCAGAAGGTAGGGGATTCAGTTGAAGAGATCTCCCCCACCATTTTTCTGTAGATTATAGCCCAGGAGACAAAAATAAAGGACTATGTGATCTGGCAGCACTGAGTCCAACTTCAGTTGTAGCTACAACTGAACCCAAACATTAGAAGCACCATAATATAGAAATTAGTTTTAAATTCTAATATATGCTGTAAGGCTATTTCAAGGGGCTTTTTTGTTTTGCTTTTTTTAAACTCAATACATAAACTGTAGGGAGAAGTAGATGGTGCCAGAGAAAACATTCTTATTTAATAATGTTTGAACATTGAGCTGTGATGCAGTTTGTAGCAGGGCAGTGAGAAAAACCCACAACTAATCCTTCATAGCAACTGTCTGAACTCTTGGTTGTCTGCCATGCTTTAAACAGCAACTTCATTTTTCTGGTAGCTTCAGGGCTGAATGACCTAGTGTGGGGAATTTAAGCTACATGCTTTTTTAAAAAAAAAGCTAAGTCAAGAAATCACCTAAGGAGTGTTGTAAATCACAGCTCACATCACAGCAAATCGGCATTCTGTATCTTAACTGACTTTGCTGCCTAGAATTAAAATCTTAAAATAAACAGATAACTCTTAAATAAGGAGTCAGTTATTTATTCCCTTCCATTTTAATCCATTTCACCTCCCTTGCCTCTGCTTGGAGTAAATTGTTTGTAGAAAACATATGTGTACTTTCTGAAATGTAAATTCATCTGTTAGCATGTATTAGTTTATGCTTAAATATGAATTTGCTCCCTTCCTCCATAAATGTACCATTTACTTCAGTGTGGCATTTAGGGAAATGTGTGTAGGCACTACCAAATGGTTAATGCTGCATATTTATCAGTTAACTTCTACCTTTACAGAGCAATGTGATTATGGTTTTTATTAAAATACATACGCTTGGACATAATACTTGATTTGCCCTTAATCTTGGACAATATCTTTTTTGTGGCTTTCCTGGGAGAAGCACAAGTAGTGATCATGATATGTACTAGTGCAATAAATACCATAGTATACAATTATTAATAAATGTTCAAGAAAACCATGAATTGTAAGAGATTTGCTGCCAGATAATTTTGAGCAGCAGTCCACTCAAATACAGTTGCATCATTATATAAATTGAACTAACAGCACAATCCTGTATATGCCTACTCAGAAGTATATCCCATTGCATCTAGTAGGCTTATACCCAAGTAAGTGCATCCAGGATTCCTGCCTACATATACTGTGAATCATGTAGTGACATTTGCCATTAGTTGTACTAATTCATATGACCCATAATCAATGTATTAACAGTTTTAATACAACTGCCTAGAGAATTGTCTGGAAGTATCTCAGGTACAGTATACAGTAGACTCTCAGATAACCATCAGGCAGGGATAGACTATAACAATATGTTGCATGTGCACACTAGAGTACATAATGCATTCCATATAGTGCTATAAATAGAAAAGGGTTTTGGAAATGTAGTACAGGATGGAAGAATAATTAAACTTTAGAGCAACAGATATTTTAGAAAGACTAATTTTAGAATATATTCTTCATTTTATTTGAATATCATACTGAAAAACGTAAGTAGATAGGCACCCAAAAAGACAACTTTCCCATATAATGGCTAAATAATAGATTTGCATGTACCAGACCTAAAACACAATTATTCTTTATGTGCAGTCACACACAACATGCACAGTACCATACAGCTTAATGCATGAATGCTTATTTTGTGGGCACCAATAGTATGCTTTAAGAGTATGGCCTCATCTCTTTCTCTAGTGAATGTTGTCGGTGTCTTACTGTACACATTGATGGGTGAGGACATAACGACCAAGCTGTAATATACATCAAGAAAATGAGTGCATGGAAAGTGACTTCCAAACTTATCCATAGTCTGCTTTGGTATGGCATCTTTATTAACAGATATATTACCTACATCAGATCTCTGTCCACTTGAAAATTGACCCTGAGTTTATCGAAGAATAAAGCTTTCACTTCAACCAATCTATAAAGGCAAGTGGGACATCCACTCCGAAAGGATTTGTGTCTTTGGCTACACAATTATATTAGGGCACAACCCTATGGCCTCTCAAGATCATCTGGGGGCCCACAGGATTTTTTCAACGTTCTCAACTCTAATGTCCTGCCACCTCAATGTTATGACAAGGGGGCAAGCCCATGTCCCACTCCCTCACAGGATATTGGGATTGTCCCATCTGCCTCTCTAAGATTGTAACTATTTCTGTTTCCCAAAGAAGGCAAAATGGGGCATATGGGGGGCAGGAAGGGGAGGAGGCTGTGGCGAAGGATTCCTATTGGTGTTCTAGGCTCTCCAGTACTTTATCTAAAACAGCCATCTCAACAAATTACATAGGATGAGGACTGGTGGGGGCAGAGACCACAGGTGCTGCACCTCATTACATGGGTAGGATGCCTCTGCGTGCAGAGGCCTATTTTCGGGGAGGGGGGGTGTGCGTACCATTTTGCCCTTAAGCATCTACTTGCATCACTGGGTCCAGATTTAGTGCTGCCTTTATTCTGCAATCATCTTCCTTACTAATGGAATTTTCCTGAGGGATCAGATGAAGTTATATTTGTAACCTTCCTGTGTTTTCCCATAATGTTTTATCAAAAGCATCTTTTCTCTTAAAACAGACAGACATACAGACAGGAGGCAGAATAATGCACAGTGCTAGGAATCCTCAGTGTAGAAGCACCTGAAGTATAACTAAATCTTGATCCAATCTGGTGGCAGCATTGTACTCAAAAAAGTAAGGAACCTTTGATGAGTTTGCAGCGAAGTGCCGTGAGTTGCTTTGTCTCTTCCTTCTGGGACTATTCCTATAGAACCCAGAAGGGTTGCGTAAAATATTTACAACATCGGTGTAATTTTAAAAGATTAATAAAGCTTAGTAGTACATCATTAATTCAAACCCACAACAAAATCCTTGTCTGTGAATACATTCCCACACAGATATAAAAAGATACTTCTAAATAGGAAAACAATTAACAAAATCCAAATTCTCCAATATGTTCTACTGAATGGGCTATACCAGAAGAACAACAGGGAGGTTATTAACCCAGTGTCCAAAAGTCAGGATCGTTTCTTGGAGCCCAGTCAAGGCCTTAATGCCTTCAGCTTCTTAAGAAGAGCACCAGAGATAATTGCCTTGCAAGTGCTTTCCCTAAGTATATTCCTTAGATAAGAGCTTATTTTGCAGTGGGAACTGAAACTGTTTGCCCCTTCCATCTCCCAGAAAGATCAGTATCTGTGCATTCCGAAAGACTCTGGAATGGGGAGAAAAAGGAACTTTATAGAATAATAGCAAGAGGTTTTAGGGAGAAATATTGATGTGTTACTCATCCAGGCAACTTTGGAGGTCCATGGAGTATTCCCTGGTGTATTCAAGGAAACAACATGGATAAGAGGAATATAAGCTTTGCATGTTTATATTATGCATCCATATTGATAATGTATTATTAATGTATTATTCATTGTATTCAATATCCTCTTTGACAGAGATTTTTATAAGTATCCTTGAATCTAAAGTGAGATGCCTTGACTGGACCAGACCATGGGGTTAAAATAGATTCCCCGTTTCTAGTTAATAGATTGTGATGGATCCATGGTGATTACCTCCCTATAACTCAAAATTATCATTTGAAGGATGAGTTGCTCCAGCACAAATTCACTGGAATTAATATGAAGTATGCTTGGTTATTTGTACCTTAAATGTTGCATAAAACAGCAAATATTTTTTGTGTCCATTTGGCCTTACTATAAAAATAACAAATGTAATGGTTCACCAAAAGGAGTTTTACCTTGCATCAAATTTCACCTGTCACCCCCTGCTGCTGTCCTCCTCTAGAGAGCCTCTTTCAAACTTGCCCCTGTATTGTGACTGACTCAGCACAGTAGAGGGGAAATTGCATATATGAATCAGTGTAAGAAGCAGTTACTGTTCAGTCTTTGCTGCAAGTCCATTCTGCCTTATTGAAGTTCAGTCCACAGAGTAATTTGATGTGGCGGTTCCCAAATGATGACCCAGGCTACTGAATAGATGGCATTCAGAATGCAAAAAGCACAGCCATAAGGACTGTAATAGATCACCTATTTCAGAAAACCAAATCATCACATTATTATCAAGTAATAAAAGGCACAGCTGTGAATCAACACTGAAATCTTCAAGGAGGTGGTTGGTGAAACAAAAATTACATTACTAAATTAATACTGATATCCCCATGTTGTGATTTCAGATAGTTGCAAGTCCTTCTGATCTGCACACAGGTTTTCTTTTCTTGTTTCTGAACTAGTGGACATTGAGATCTGCTTATCATTCAGTTTTTCCCTCACTTCATCATACTATTACGTTTCTTTCCACTTGTGTCTACTACTAGATTAGACTTTCTGCATTTCAATCTGTTGCAGCTGGTGCCTGGTGTGATCTTTTCCATTCAGTTTATAAACAGAGGTTTTCTGTTGCTGTTTCTTGAAGCACCATACCGCCAAGATTGCGGCAAGTAAGAGCAAACATACTAGAGTCACTCCAGTGGCTATCATGGGGCCTTTATCTTGGCTGGAACAATCTAGCCCTGCACATGGTTCAAAAGTGGTCAACGGCTTTCCACCTAGTCCATAGGTAAGAGTGTCTCCCACAACATCTGCTGATGTATCAGTAAACACGTTCTGACAAGGCACAGTTGACACCTCTTGCCTCGGAAAAGCCAACATTTCTTCCTCATTGGGCAACTGGATGTGATCAATGAGGTGGAGTGCTGCAGATGTCTCCAATGCAGCCAAATTTAAATGGGGGACTGTGGTTACTGAGGCCAGCTCCTGAGTAGCAAATCTGATAGATGCAGTTGGGGCATAACCGATGGCATCATCAGACCCTTTGCTTACACTTATATTCTCAGGTCCACTTGTTGGCTGAGGTCTTAGTATTTGTTCGATCCCATCTTTATCTTGTGTCAGTGATGGGACTGCCCCAGTCTGTAGGAAAGCCTTTTCCAGGGTGCTGCCACCTGTTTTGCTTACTCCAGCATAAACTGATTGGTCACTGATGTCATCTTCCATTCCCATAGATCCATCTATTTTATCTCCTTCCTCTTCTTCATCTTCTTCTATTGCTTCCTGGGTGACAGGGTAGCCATCTAGCCAGGACTCCTCCTTAGAATCTGTACTTTTAGCTGCTTTTGTGTCCTTGTTCACAATGGTAGGGCCAATAGGGAAGTCCTCACTTTCATACAGCATTTTCGTGCCTTGTTCATCATACATCATTTTCACACCGATGTGATTGTTTCCATCAGCAAACGGAATCTTTTTGTCATCATTTGTGGCTTTCTTTGGTTCATTTTCCTTTTCCTCTGTCTCTTTCACATTATGTTCTTCATTAAGCATAGATCGGTCATCAGGGAAATTATCTTCATAATCAATATGTCCCTCAGTTTCATCTGAAAAAAGGGAAAATTAAGTGTAAAAAAATTACAAAAATCTCTGAGGCATGAAATCCACAGTCTTGATATGGAAGTCAGATAGACAGCATGGACAGCATAATTCTGCCTTGTTTATGCTCTCTGTATATTTCTGAGCCCAATTCAAGGTGCCAGTTTTGACTTATGAAACCTATGCATCTCAAGACTGACTTAACATCTGATGGCAAGAAAAGGAGAGCTTTTCACCTAACATTAGCATTGGCATCATTTTGGCAGCAGGTTAAGACTTTGCTCCCATACCTTTTATTGTATATAATTCTGGTCACCGTACTTGGAAAAGGACATTTCTGAGTTGGAAAAGGTTCAGAGAAGGGAAACAGAAATGATCAAGGGACTGGAGCAACTTTCCTATGAGGAGCGGTAAAACTACTGGGACTGTTTAGCTTAGAAAAGAGGCAAGTAAGGGAAGACATGATAGAGGTGCTTAATACAATGCATAGTGTGACGTAAGATGGGAGGGAGCAATTTTTATCCCTCTCCTATAACAGCAGAACCCAGGATTACACCATGAAGCTGACTGGTGGGAGGTTTAGGACAGATGAAAGGAAGTACTTCTTCACAGAAAGCGGAATTCACTGCTATGGGAAGTGGTGATGGCTACCAGTTTGGATGGCTTCAACAGGGGATTGAACAGATGCATATAGGAGAAGGCTATCAGTGGCTATGCTGGCTCTGTGCTACCTCCTTCACCAGAGGCGGCATCCCTGCATAACACCAGTTGCTGAGAAGCTTGGGCAGGAGGAGGTCTTGTACCCATCCAACTTGAGGGCATCTGTGGGCAGTTGGTTTGCCACCATGTGAACAGAGTGCTGGACTGAATGGACCTTTGGTCTGATCCAACATGGCTTTGCTTATGTTCTTATGACAGCATATGAGTGGTTTCTTAATTTAGTTGTTCTATAGCATTCCATTATTCAGGGTTTTTACCTGTTTGAAATTGTTCTACATTTTTGTATGTTTTAATTTTACTTGCAAATCACTTGGAGTCTTTTCCAAGGTTGCCTGTAAGCCTCCAGATCCAGGGGATACCTAGATGGGCATGAGAGGAGAAGTGACAGAGATGATCTCTGCCTCCTTCCTCCCCCTATCCTGCAAATGAGCTAGACGAGCAATTTCAGACAGGGAGGGAAGGAGGCTGGAGTACAAAGCGGCTGTCTCATCACCTGAAGGCCCCAGCCGTCTTCCCCTTCAGCCCCCTGCATCCCTTCTCTGAGATTGCTTCTCCAGCATCAGAGATGTAGCCACACAGTTTTTCAACACAGGCTGTAAGGAGGGAAAGGGAATCCCCAGCTCTTTTCCTATCTCAGTTCTGGCAGTCCAAAGAATCCTATGGTCTCCTAGATACTAAGGACCATAGGATGAGTCTGAAAGAAAAGAGCAGAAGAACAGGAGGAATTTATTTGCTAGATCTATTAGTTCACTGCCACTACTCGAGGTATTTTCCTCCATTACTCCATATCCTGAACTGGTTGCTTTGTTTTTGCTGTCTCCTACATAGGAATATAGTCCATGAAATACCATTTCTGAAATCTATTAATGTGGTTGTCCATATGCAGACTGATTATATCCAAGTCACAGTAGAACAGCATCCATATTTATAATCGCATTAATCAACAGTATCACCTTGGTAAGACTTAACATGAAATCCACCAAATGTATTAACCAAACTAAATAGGCAAGAAGATCTCCTAACTAACTTTGCTTCAAGTACTATTCTTCTATCATGTGAGATACAGATTTACATTCCTATATACATTTGTTTCAGCAGCGCCTTTTAAATAATTTTCTTTTTTAAAATAAGCTTTATTTGAGAAATTACACTCCTAAAAAACAAAAAGAAAACTACAAACAACATCCATCATCAAAAACATCGAGCCTGCTGGGTCAGCCCCCACACCCTTCTTTTTCCGTTTATGATAACTTCAAATCATATTTAAATCTATGCAAAGTCCCATTTCTGTAGCCAATAATAAAAAGAGTCCCAAGTTTAATAGAAGTCAGCCTTTTAAATAATTTTCTGAATGCTTTGTCTAACAGCTAAATTGAGCCCATAAACCCCCCACTTTCCAATCAAGCATCTTAACTGTAACACAAATCATTCCCACACCAGTCCTAAAGGAGTTCCAAAATATTGCTAGCCTGTAGGAACAGTATGTTTGAATCTCTTCTCTCCCCACAAACTTATTCAGTCTGTGCAGTTTCTATCAAATATTAGTACATATCCCAACAATCAGCAAATAATTTCTAAGATATTCTTTTTGCTCCAACTTTTTCTTCTTGAGACTAATTTTGATTTGTCATAAAACAGAAGACATGCACAAGAAGTATTGTAGCTTTTGCTTACGTTTTTTCTAGCAGTCATTTATAAATTCCAGCCCATGTCCATATATAGTCAGGATTGCAGCAAACAAACAAAAACCAGAATGCAAGACTATACTTGACTCTGACATCATCCTTGCTTACTCCTCTTTTAGTTCTTCCTTTCCCCAGAGGAATGGCAGGAAAGGGAGGACATGGCACAAGTTCCTCCTCTGCCAGGCTTCTAGCAGGATAGGGCTTTCCTGACTTCTCCCACAAGGAATAAATGTGGGTAGAATTGGTACCAATCCCTCCGTGCTTTGGTTTATATTGAACAGTTTTCCACCTGAACTAAGAAGTGGATTTTTACTGAAAGATCTGAATCTGTGGTTAAATGCTCCAGATACATTGAATTGCATCCAGAGTTCCACCTCTGCACGTGGAAGCCTGTTTTCCAGGATTTTTATTGAACCAGAATCTAGTGGAGTTTTCCCACCAGAGGAAGTGGGCAGGATGTCCATTTTCACATATTTCTTCTTTCCCCTGCAACCCTCACTGCCTCCTGTTCAGGAGGGTCATTAATCCTTCAGAACAGATTTACAGGGATCTATGGATTTTGTTAAATCTGTATTATCTCTGGGGAATGGATCACCATTTGTTCTGTCACCTGGTCATCAATAGATTTTTTTTATTTCCCAAATTTGCATTTGTGTACACTTGTACAAATTTGCATTTCCAAAAATGTGCAAAGACCTACAAAATGCACATTTTCACACTTTAGCTTATTGGTGAAAAATGACATTTTTGGTGGTTTTCTTTTCATTTTTTCATATTTTTATACATCTAAATTCTTGTAAAATGCTGAAAAGTAACAACTGGTCCACATTTCCACAGAAGCCGTGTGACTTAGGAAATGCTCATCTACTGCATAATCTACAGGTCAGATTCATAAAAATCAGAATGCATTTAAGTCCATGGTGGGATTCTCTGATGTTTAATGTACTGGATACTTAAATGCACTGGATAACAGATATGGGCTAGTATCTAATAATATAATCATATGTCTATTTAAATAGCAAAAAGTCCTATACTGGGGTATGCTGGGAGTTGCACGAGTTTTCTTATCTACACATGCATAGTATTGCATTTAAGAGAGTGAGATATTCATAGTAGGAAACACCTGGTTTGGATTTCATCTATGATCTGTCTTAGAAATACTATAATTCTGAGATCACTGAAATGTTTGCAAAATTTTCCATCTTTGGAGAAAATGCCAGTGTCTGAAAAAGATCCAGCATAGGCACTAAGTGCTTCAGGCTCAGAACTCTAGACACTGTCATTGGTATTTTTTTTCTTTTTCTGTAACCATGTCTTGGGCTCTCCTTTTTCCTGAATCCCACATCATCGTTGCACCACAGAACTCTTCTTTTCCAGGCACTTGAAAAACAAACAACAACAAACTCCACAATGGTTTCTTCAAAATTGCACAACATCTTCATCAAAATTACTGATACAAAAGGAATTTGCATAATTGTTTTCATAGAGCCAACTTGCTGAATATCAGATCTAGGGAAGCTGAATACACTAAGCTGGAAGTTATCTTTGCAATTCTGGTTTAACATCAGAATAACTCAAAATAATTCTTGAGAGTTGGTGTCTTGTTTTGTCCTGTCTTGTCTTGTGTTAACCTGAAACTTTAGCCACACAATCCTGTATGTTTCTACTCAAAAGTAAGTTTCATAGAGTTCAGTGGGGTATAGGCTATTGAACTTAATGGGACTTACTTTATAGGACTGTACTGTAGAAGCGTCTCTGCAAAACAAAGGCTGCAATCCTATGCACACTTATCTGGTAGAGTATGGCTGATTGAATTCAGTGGACTTACTGCTGAGTAGGCATGTAGGACAATGATGAAAGTCAACCATTCCAACAAGTGCACATTTTCATTCCTTTCCAAATTTTGTGAAGCTTATTCTGTTTTACTTGCCTTGGTTGTGTCATGGCTACCCTATTTTCCCCCTGAAGAAGACAGAAAGTTCTGCCAGAAATAACGTTTTAGACGTCTGATACTTCTTAGAAAAAACATTGATGTTGACAAGGAAATTCTAAAATATTCTCTCCATCCTGGACTTTAGTTATTGAACAGCATTGTGCACAGTAAAAGAAAGAGAGGGAAATGCAAAGGAAGACTTATGTGAATTATTATTATGTCTGAAAGTCTATTCACTGGACCATTTTGCTGAAGTTATTTTTACTTTTCTTAGAAATAAATGTTGGTATCAGGATGTGGCTTTATAAGGTCAGTTCTTAGCTAACATATGTTGATTTGGGTCTGCTGAGGCCAAAAACTACACTGATCTAAGGATACGGCCTACTATTTTTGAAGCCACAAAGTTCCAGAGCAAAAGACAGGAAACAGGACTGAAAATTGCTTCCATAATTACATCAGTCTAATTGAAAGGGCTATTGGGCCACCCTCTAAGTCAGGAGTGGCCAACTCAGCCCTTCTTAACAAGTGTCACCTGCTATGGTGGTCAAAAGAGGATAGCATCATTTAGACACTGCTAGGAATGGCCACACATTGGGGTGACTTTTTCTTAACAGTCAAGTATGAGATTTGTGTCAACAGGATTTCACTCTAGGATGTTATTCATGTACATAGCAGGGCTTCCATCTTTTCTTTTTTCCGGCATTTGTGATAAACAATGTACTTCATAGCACAGATCACAACAGTGGGTGCAGATTGCGTGTATCCACCAACAATGATGAGTAAAGTTAAATGTGCCCATCTTTGGGCAAACTTTTCCTGCTAGGTGCAGTGAGGGAAATATGACCCTGGGAACTCCATTCTGTTAAGCCTAAATTTGAAGATCAGCTGCTGTAATTGCTTATTCAGTGTCTGGAGTCAAACAAGACTCACTGTCCCATTTAAGTTCTTCTTAGATTGCAAACTATATACACTGAATTTATTTTAAATATTTGGAAAGCATAGGCTGTTATACACATGTTGCTTTATGGTAGAAAGGTAAACATAAGAACTTAAACTTGTTCCTGGATCTGTCTTTGTCACTTAAGGGTCAGGTGGTCTTGTTGGCTTGGATTGCCTTCCACCAGCTTTGGCTGGTGACTCAGCTACACTCCTCTATTGGCAAGGATAGCCCGGTTTCCATTATCTATGCTCTGGTACTCTCCAGATTAGATTACTGCAATGCACTCTTTGTGAGGCTGCCCTTCAGCTAGTTCAGAAACTGCAACTGCTGCAAAATGCTGCAGCCAGATTAATAACTGGGGCCCATAGGCCCAAACATGTAAGGCCATTTCTGGCTGGCCTGCATTCTTCCAGACCCAATTCAAGGTGCTGCTTTTAATCTGTAAAGCCCTACGTGGATTAGAATCGCAATAGCTGCCAAAGCAACTCAGTTGCATTCTACTCAGACATTACACTCAACCTTGGGCCTTCCTCTGAGGGCCAACACCACAGGAGGCTTGGGGGTGGCAACAAAGGGGGGGGGGCTTTCTAGGTGGTGCCCCCCCCCCCAATGGAACAAACTCCCCACTGTGGCTTGGCTGGCACTAAATCCATTATCTTTTTGGTGTCAGGTTAAGACGGCCCTCTTCTCTGAGGTCTTCAAAAACTTAGTTAGCTACTCATGAGGCCTTGACGGGAATCACCAGGAGTTTTACAGAGCTATTTTTTTGCAATTATTTGCTCTTATTTGTTTTTATCATCTGTGTTTAGCTGTTTTAAACTTTTTATTTTTTCCTGATTTCATGATATTGTTCTTGTCTTTTTATTGACTGAGCTTTTTCAGAACTTTGGCTGTGGAGTGGTAGAGAAATCACATTAATAATAATACCAATAAATTAATGGCTTTTACCTTCTTCACAAGAAATAACAGTTGACTTTTGATCACATTGTTAGTTCAACAAATACATATAGAAGAGTGACAAGGGCAGATCCAAGAGACAGTCATGTCCTCATTTAATTAATCTCTTACGCTCATTCAGGGTCAATTTTATAACCTTTTATCAGAACTCTTTCTGCTCCTTTGATTACCGAATTCTCTGAGCAATGTTCCTCTGCTACCCAATATAGAAATGTTCAGGGTCTCTTCCTGTTGCCATTTAGCGATGAAACAGTTCCAAGAACAGGTCTATGCTTCCTAATTTGTGCCATGTGGTATTTGGCTTGAAATACAGCATTCTGAAAATAAGGTTTTCCAGTTACCTTCACACTTGACCATCAGCAGTGGTGGCGACTATGGTGCATGGGGGATCTCCAAATCTGCACAGAGGATGTTCCATGAGCAGAGCCCTGTCTCTCATGGCAATTCCCTGCCTTTTGCAGGAGACAAAACCTGTATTCAACCCACCAGCTGCAATTAGGATCAGTTGGGTTTTGCTTGTTAATACCTCGAGCTTACATAGTGAAGGGTTGAAGCAAGCAATGGCTCGTCTCAAGATCTGTCCCTTTTCTTGCAAGTTTCTTTGATGCTCATCAGATGTTTAGAGGGACAGAAGGCCAGTCCTCCCGTTTGCTCCAGGAGGCAGAGACTGGGAGGCATGGGTCATGCAAACTGTGTGGTGCCACCCAAGCTAACCTGCTGCCCTCAGGTGTGGGTAAGGATGCTGTCCCAGTGGCATGGCCTCAACTGCCAGTCCAGGCTTTGCACATGGAAGGGAGGCTAGTCCCCATCTCAGCCTTTGCCTCAAGTAGTAAAATGTTTTGGGCCAGTCCTGTTTTAGTCCACGTTAGAATATTTGTCATGTTACAGCAATGTTCTTGTTACATCTACCCTAGAATAAGATGATTGGTCCCAGCAGTCAAAACAGTAAAAGAAGACATTCTAGCTGCTGTTTTAATAGATATGGAGACTGGCTGAAGATTTCAGCAGAGGTGAAATCCTTTGCAGTGCATGGAGAATATGCTGGGGGGGGGGAGGGTCCAACCTCCCTGCCTTCTCCACCAGACGTCTTATCTTTGCAGGCTGCTAGAGTGGGGAGCAGCCTTCAGCACCAGGGTTCTGTCCTGTTAAAGCTGCCTAGACATTGATGAAGGCAGAGAACCAGTGTGCCCAAGTCCGTCATGTAAAAGATTGGCGGGGCAGTGATACATAGGAGGTATGGGTGCTTACTGCGACAGGTCCCATTGTCATGCCCCCAAGGAGGGTCCAAAATTGCAAGCATCTGTGTAGATCTGTACTGACAAACTAGCTCTAGCAGTCTGATTTTATACCGCAAACCTTAAATGAAATGCACAAAGATGTGAGCTCCAATCCAGAATATTAAGATAGAATGCCCTCAGTCAGGAGGCTCACCTTTGACACAAGCCTGGACTTGACCAAACCATTCTCCACAGGTGTGACAGAGCAGCGTGAAAGCAGCATCTTTGTTGCTCATGACATACCCCTGGGCACAGACATAGTGCAGCTCATCTCCCATCTCAAACCCGGTGTGCCCATGAAGAACGCTGTGAGGGAAGGACGGAGGGTCCCCACAAGGTTTACCTGAGCAGAAAAACAAGCAGGAAGCAAACCGATCAGTATGAGCAGAACCAAGCTAGGTAACCATTGTTTCTGATGTAGTGTAAGACAGTCTACTGCCAATTTAGTGCCCTTCAGATGTGCTGGACTACAGACCGATCTCCACCAGCATGCACAACCAATGGCATGCTGTCCGGGGATGATTGGAGTTACAATCAAACAGTCTGGATGGTACCAGGTTGGGGAAGGCTTGTGTGATAGATGATTCAAATCCAGATTCTGCTGAGAGGATGTCTTTCAGCAGGTTCTCCATGTTTTTGCTTAATTTGGAATCCATACAAAAGAACAGGAAAAAACCCTGCATGTTTCATTTTTCAGATCTAAAAACACAATAGTTTTCTGGGTTGAGAGTACAATTCAGATTTGGGGATAGGCACAATAAGATGAGAGACTACCAAGCAGATCTTTAGGGAATCTCCTCTTTTTTTATTCCTAGCATGTGACAATCAGTGTCCCGAGGACAGCGTCAGCCAAGTACTGTTCAACATGCTCACACAGCTGCATTAGGGAAACTGCCCACTCTTACAAGAGAAGTTAGACAATCCTGGAACTCTCAGAGCACAGTTTCAAAGGGGAGCCAGCCTGTGTGCTCTTGCATATTTCATTTACTCCTGTGAGCAGTCTACCTGCATGCATACTCTTGTTAGCAGCAGAGAAGAAGGGAACTCGCAAACGGTGATAGATTATATACTGCATTGCTCACACAAACAGATCACTTTCATGTGCAGTAACATTTGCAAGAGAGAGAGAGAGGTAGGTGAAATGATGGATGGACTTGAAAAACCTACAACATTAAAGCCCTCTCAAAAACTGCATAGCACCAAGAAGTAGCAGACATATATGTGACATATTTGTATATATTTAACATAACCTTGAAACACGTGTCTTATTGTTTCTGTGAGTATCAGTGGTTTGGGTTAGCTGGTCCGACCATTAAAAATTGGAATAGATCATTTCCTCTGCTTCTGAGATTGAAGCTGAGTATCACTGCTTTTGTGTTCAAAACAACTTCACCCACGCTTGAAAGACGTACTACAGGAATATCTTTGTTTATATGTAGCCAAAGTGGCACCACATATGCACAAGAGGAAGATTTGGAGGAACTCCAAGTTCTGCAGAAACACACACACACCCAAGAAGAAAACTTAAGGTCACCTCCCTGGAATAGAGAAAGGAAGACTGCCTGTGTTTGATGGCCACTGAATGTTGAGTGGCTTTTATGGGAGTAGTTGATTTCCACAGATTTGGAGTGAGATGGTAGGTGGGAAAATGTAGTGCAAAGAACACAATCTTTACTCAATCAATTAAAGTACGTTTTGTGCATCACTTACATCAGAATGCCAGAATCAGTCACCAACGAAGGTTGTATGTTGTATTTTTTCTCATTAACTTAAATGATACTATCAGATAATTGGAAATGTCCTAAGTTCAAGGCTCGTGATGGGAAGGGAAAGAAAACTGAAATGTTGAATGAAAACTGTACGCACGGAAAAACCAGACCATAACTGAACAAATTCAGTTCTGTTTGCTAGATTCACATGCGTCCATGTGGTATATATTAGGGACTCTGGTGTCTTATTTTTTCCTCCCTTGTTACAGAAGAAAAAGCCAAGGTACATAATTCATCATTTTTATGAGGAATTTGTTCCAGAGCTTTCACCTGCCAAAATTTGATTCCCATTCATGGGTTCAACCACCGCAGCAGCTGGGTCATTCACATTTTCTGCAAGATAACAAATTATTTTTGATTGTGGAATAGATACACACTTGTCGTACAACCTCATGGGCTGTTCATATGGAGAAAGAAGTGGAGAAGCTCAGATTATTAATGCAGGAGCCTTTCCCAAGTTTTTTTTCTAGAAAACATATACAGGAAAGTTAAGGAGCACTTATGTTTCTGTATATCCAACTTTATTAAAGAAAGTTCTCTATCTGCAGGCCTGCTTAGTCCAAGAGAAAGATTCACAGGAAAGATGCAGAACCATTGGCCTGGATCTTGAAGTTGCCCATCAGCTGTTAGTACCTGGGCTTTGGTTGGTCAGGATCTGCCCCGTTATGGTAGATGTACTTTATTTCTATTCACATTATACAAAAGATTTCTTAATGTCCACATATACCTCTAACTTATCACATGCAAATATTATGCAAATAGATGCATTTCCTCTTTTTGCGGGGGGGGGAAGTGACATCAGAATAGGGTCTGGGAGTGGGTGTTCCGTCTCTTGAAGATTTCTTTGCCCAGAAGCTGACTCAATTATGCAAAATGAACACATCAATATAACTGAGAATGGTTACAGATTCTAGCTATGCTTGCTGTGACATTAAAGGTATTCCTAAGAGGTTTTTTTTTAAATTGTAGCTAAAAATGTGGAATCTGGTCATTTGCTCTGAGTTCTCTGCTTGGTGCCACACTGTGGTCCAGATTGCACAGGTTGACTTGGGAGGGGCTTGTAGATGGTGGGACTCAACTACCTGGCATTTTGCTCACTTCCAATTCCACAGTTCTGGAATCTTGAGTTTCTCTCTCTCTTTTTCAATGAACACAGCAACTATCTTATCAAGAGCCTGAATTCAGCCCAGGCATGACATAATGGGTCTGTGGCATTCCACCCAAGCTGTAAGCAAATAGTTGCATCACTTATCTTAATGGACATTTTTGAAAGAAAAACAAACATCAGGGAGATTGTTCTCGTAGTGCATCCCTGCTGACCTTTGGCCTTCACACAGAATGCATCATATCTGCCACTTGGAGGAGGGTCCACTTCAAGCTGAACATCAATCACTTTCACACTCTGCAGCCTGCTGCCTGTCCTGTTACATAGGGTTGTCCTAAAACAGAGGAAGGGCAAAAACATGATTAGAAATTTGTCTGAAAAATAGGTTGTGCAGAGAATGGACTACATGTGCAAGGGTGAAAAATAGGTAACTATCTCGATTGTCACCTGATATCAACCTTTTATACCAACTCTCCCAAGTCTAAGCCCTGTTTTCTTGCCCTAGACTCCAAAACACCAAACAGTACTTTATAATACAGATCTTTTCCAGCACTTCACTGCTAGCAAGATAATTAAACCGTAAAAGCCCCCTAGGAAGCTGAAAAATAGCCTCTGCTAATGTAAAGACTGAGTGAATGTTGACCTGAAATTTCTTCCTAAATCTTTCCCTTTCATTCACACTGTAGGTTCCACCTTGAAGACAGCTCCCGCTGGTGGTGTGTCAGCCAGCAAGCCCTTTAACTGAGTAGCTCATCTCTCCCAACACCTCATCACAGGGTCAGAGGCCAGGCATGGCAATGCTCCCCTTCCTCTCTTGGGTCCCTCTCTGTCTCTTTCAAAGCATGTCTGCTCTCAGGATCAGCCTGGGAAAATGGGAAGTTCCTGTCCCTCTTTGATCCTTCTGCCTTCCCATTGCTTCCCCTTCAGAGTCTGATAAACACGGACCCATGGAAAGTCAGCTCTTGCATTTGTTCTGCACCTGTTCCATAGGTGCAGTGTTGTTTTAAGGACTTTATCAGACTTCAGTGCCAGAACGTTATCAGTCAGTCAGGTTGTAAGCAGGCTCAGCCTGGTATCGAAGTGCAGGATTCCCTCCAAAGCATGTTGCACCCCAGCACCACCTCCTCGCTACTGCTGCTGCCACCAAATTTCCTGCAGTGGTGATTTGATACTGAACTGTGTCAGGATGATGGCAGCAAAAGGGACAACTTTGCTTTAAAATCAAGCATAGAATCATAGAATAGTAGAGTTGGAAGGGGCCAAGGGCTGTCAGGTCCAACCTCCTGTAGGACACCCAAGTTACACCATCCCTCTCAGATGGCTGCCCAATTGCATCTTGAATGCCTCCAGTGTGGGGGAGCGCACACCTTCCCTAGGTCATCGGTTCCATTGTCGTATTGCTCTAACAGGCAGGATTTTTTCCTGATATCTGGCTGGAATCTGGCTTCCTGTAACTTGAGCCCATTATTTCATGTCCTGCTCTCTGGGATGATCAAGAAGAGATCCTGTCCTTCCTCTTTGTGACTGCCTTTCAGGTACTTGCAGAGTGCTATCACACTCTTCTCTTCTTGAGGCTGAACATGTCTAGTTCTCTCAGTCTTTCCTCATGCCTCCAGTTCCTGTATCATCCTTGATGCCCTCCTCTGAAGCCTTTCTTAGCTTGCATCTTTCTTAAATGGTGGTGCCCAGAACTTGACCTCACTACAGGTGAGGTCTGACTAGTGCTGAGTATAGTGGAATTAGCACTTCAGGGAGTATGACCCCAGTTGAAGCAAACTGGCATTCCCAGAAGCATGAGTCTGCTCATAAGTGATCCTGTAAGACAACTGTAGGGAATGACTGACTAGATGTGCTGGAGGTTTGCATCAGCAGCACTTGCAGTAGAGCATTTGGTATTACAGTGCTCAGATTAATTGTATTGTGTTGTTTTGATTGTTACATTTACTGTTGTTCTTACACCTCTGTGTTTAACAGCTAGTACTACGATGCCTCTGTGCAAAGTAGTATACAAATTTAAATTTTAAAAAATACGGGAGCAAGTCAGATGCAAAACTGCCTTAACTATTCACATGTGTGTCTTTAACTAACAGTGCCATTTCTAAAAACTTGCTGTGTCACAATTAAAATGGACTCCAGATGATTAATCTAGAAGGTTACAGTCCTATACACACTTACTGGGAGTAAATCCCATTTAATTCTGTGGGATGTAATTCTGAGTAAATATGCATGAGTTTGTTTTTAATGACAGTCCCTATGTCTACCACTTTGAGATCCAGAGCCCAGGAATGCTGGATGTGGTTCCTGGGCCTTAACTTCCCCACTCCTACCCTACAGGGAATTGCATTGCCTCTTATAGGGAAACCCATCTTTTATTTTCTTCTTTTACTTGCCAGTTTTGCTTAGAAAAAGATCAGATAGCATTGACATTGAAAATCAAGGCCATTTCTGAGCCCAGGCCAATGTCTCTGTTCTTTTAGACAGGTCCTGATCACCCTTGAGAATAACTCATTGGCAAATCATAAATTTCCCCAACTCATTTGGTGCCTGTAATGGGATTTTGTTTTTGTGAGATAACTTCATTTCTGAAATACCCATGCTACTGATTAAATAATTCAACATGCTGTGGATGTTAATCAGCTGGACTCAAAAAGAAATGACCTGGAAACTGAACAACTGTGCCTCAGAGAAAGTGACACAGGTCTCATTCACATCAGGTGCAGAGGGGTTTGACATGCGTAATTAAGATGGCATAATTAAAGGAAGAGACAATGAAGCAGCACTGAAAGGAAAATTTCTAGCTCAGGGGGTAGAACACATCCTCTGTACACAGATAGTTCTTGACATTTTAGTCCTTGTGTTAGCATGCTTTGAGATCTTTGCACTGCTTCTGGCTTTCACTGGTTTTTACTCTGCTTTTATTCTTTTGGTTTAATCCTACTATGGTTAAATTAATACCATCATTTTCATCAAATAATAATTTACTGTATTTTGTTATTGTATTTCATGGTTGAAGTCTTGTTTTGTGAACCACACAGAGAGTTTTGACTATTGGGTGGTAGAGAAATGTAACAAGTAATAATAGAATAAGAAGCCTTTATTTCAACCCCTGTTATCACCAATTTTAAAAGTATTAGCTGGCTGTGATGGGAAGGAACAAGACTCTAGAAATCTGCTGTTACTGTGACTGGACAATATGGGACTAGCCAGACTAGGCAGATTTCTCTCTTCCTCTGGCCAGTCATCCACATCAAATCTGATCAGAATTATCTAAAGGAAAATATCACTGGGGCTCTCCAAAATGGATTGCCACTGGGAATATACTTTGTTTGAAAAATGTATGAGAGAGGGAGAGAGGGAGCGTGAGCGAAAACTTCTGTGATCCATGGAATTGTGCAAAATATAACTAATTACATGATTTATTTTGTTTTGCATAATTCTAGTCAAAAGGAGGGCACAATGAAATTTACAGGGCACCAAAGCTCCTAGACCTATTCAATAGAAAGTTTATTCCTCTCTGGCTTTTTTCAGCTGGTATTGTTTACATAGTTTCAAGTCCACCTTCATATGTGTAAGGGCTAGAAACATGCACATTTTAAAAATAAAAGCTGAGCTGCTCAAGACAAAGAATTATGTTTCCAGGGTCATATTCTGTGGCCACTGCTGCAGAATGTGCAACTGTGCCTCACAGCTTTTGTCTTCAAATCTAAGTGGGACTCATCAAACTGCAATTGGTTTGCTCCATCCTTGTTGATCCTAGGCATGCCTTGATCTCTTGAGTTTCACCTTAATCTTTGTTTCCTAAATCAGGTTACCAATTCTTAAGCAGATCAAATATTAAAGCACATCTTAATTCTGTAGATTGGGTTAAGTTTCCTATGAGTCCTAAAAATATGTTTTTGAACATAATGCCAGAGATTCTTTCAAAGAACATGCGAGAGTTATTCAAATAAGGTATGAAAACTGCAGCAAGGATTACAATTGCTTCTAAATAGAAAACCCCAGAATGTCCAACAAATGAAGACTGGAAAAATAAGTTGACAGTGTATGCAGTGATGGCAAAATTAACTAATTACATAAACAGAAGACCAATTGAAGAATTTAATGATAAATGGAAATTCTATTATATCCAGTATAATTATTATGATGTAAAAGGAAGCTTGTTAAAATGCTGTTGATGATTTATAATTGATTTGAAGTAACTGGAAAATTCATTGGTACAGAGAATTATAGTCATTCTTTTTTTTCAAATTTCAACAGAGTATTTATTGACAGAAAGTTTTGGTCTCTGGAAATTTGCAGGTTATAAATGTATTAATTATATTGGTTTAAAATCCCTTGGTAATTTTATTTCACTTCTTTTCTTGTACTCTTTTTCTTTCTGTATCTTATTTATTTTAAGAAAACAACAAAAATATATAGTAACAAAATTCTGTAGACTGGGCTCCTTTAACATCAATTTTATCCTAAGACATACCGAGCAGTTTACCCTTTCTTGCCACTGCATCACCTTGTTAATTAAGCCTGGTACATATGTATTTTGAAGACCACTGGATTTTGACAAACAGGTGACACTTTAAACATATTGTGAAAAATAAATGCATTTGCAGGAACTCAGTAGGAATGTGGGAAGAGATCACATTGCATATTGGGCTAAAGTGTACAGTGGGAAGAAGTCCTTTTGCTTTACAGTTGGAGGAGACCTGTCAGCCAAGTGAAAATTCTCAGGGTACTGTCGGAATGAAGGATACAACCTTTAGAATGGCTGTATCTTCTTTTGAAGTAAGGTTACACACTGAACACCTACTTTTTCATCCATTTTTCACATCTAACAGCTGAATTCATAAATCATCCAGCTGAGGGGCAGCAAAGGGCTCTATCTGCTATACTGAACACTCAGACATTGCTCTAGAATTGAAGAAAAGTAGTATGGGTTTTGTAGAGTGCTGATTTATATTTCTTATTATTTCTGATTGTCAGTGTTTAAACAGGAAAACACAGTTATAAATTATAACTGAGAAAAAAAGCATGAGGTTATCATTTATTCTGAAAGATTTTTCAAATCACCATAAAAATTTGTTTTGGATAAACTTGTCTATCTGATCCCTAAAATAGCTTCTAGAAAAATATGGAAATTTAGTCAATAATGCAAAATCTTTTTAGGATGCTATCCAATGTAGCTGCCTATAGCCAAGTCTAGACTGCCATGGAATATTACAGGGACCCAGCTATGAGACTGGAAAAGAACCGTAGCTACACCTCTGTGGAAGAAACCACCTCCACATTTCTTCCACCCTACACAGGATACCTGCAATCTTCCAAATTCAAAGGGTTACAGGCATCCGGACTGGTTCAAGCTCTACAGTAAATCGTTCATGCTGCCTTTGAACAAGCTAAGCCTTGCATCATCTGAAAACCAATTATTACTTGTTTCCTTTCTCTACAACCCCTAGCTGAAGCTCTCTGGATGGTTTACAACTGTTTACAATAAGGATGGCAGTTCTGGATTTTAAGAGATTTATGTCTCAGCAGGTGCTACACATGTTTTCCATTGTAAACTGTTCTCTCTTCCTCTCTCTCTCTCTCTATTAACCAGAGTCTCTTTGCAATAAAATTAGCCATTGCCACCAAGATTGTGAGGTTTAGAAATGAGTCATCTGGGTTCATTAGAGGGTAATTTTTCTTGCTTCCTTTCTCCTTACCCAATTGAGCCGTCAGCCAGCCATCCTCTGGTGCACATGACAAAGGAACAATCCCTTATTGCTCTCCTTAGTTCTTCTGCACTGGCTAAACGAGCACCTTCTGCAGCGCATGACTTCTGCGCCATTGCTAAGTCCAGATTCTGGGAGCCATTCCTGGGTCCAAGGGCAAACAACTTCCCTACAAGGAAAGAAAGTCCCAACAAAGTATAACAAATTCACTGTGAATAACCTTCCATGATTCTGAGTTTCCAATACATTGGTTTAAGATCTTTGCCTACTGTTTTATAGTAGTTTGTGTGACCTGGAAAGCCTATGCACCCATCCTACACAGTAAATACCACTGAATTCCTTGTCAGTTACTCTTCACTAATGGGGCACGAGATTGGAGGAATTTCCTATCCCAGCCTAACATTTTATTGTGCAATTTACACATAAGTAGCCATACAAACAAGCCCTTTTAAGGCATTGGCAGGTTCACATGTCATGAGAAGCAATACTGTGTAGAAGCGCCTGAAAGATGATCAGCTTCAACATAGCAATCCTCTTCCCATTCACCATTTTCATCCCTCTAGGTCCTCCAGGCTGTATCCCAGGAGGTGCCATGTGGAGGAAAGAAGCTTCTCCTTCGACAGTCAGAATCACAAGCTCAGTTCTGCTTGCGGTGTCTGTCAAGCATTCTCAGCTGCGCAAGAAGGACTCATACCCTAAAGCACAGCTGAGAGGACAAGGAGCTGGTCAGAGGGGACAGCTGGAACACGAAGTGGTGTCTAAAGCCATGCTCAAGAGGCACTTGATATATATCACAGACAGATGTTGGCTACTGGAGCACACCAAAGAATTTCAGAAGACTGATCAGTGCTTTATAGAATATAGCAAAGCCTGAAACTGTGTGGATCATGAGAAGGTATGGACAGTCCTTATTTTTAATGGATGTGCCTTGATCACCCCAATGTGTGACAAGTATTATGGACAAGAAGCTTCTGTTGAGACAGTAGATGAAGGCACAGAAGTATGCCAAATGGGCAGAAGGATCCCTAAACTGGGTCTTCAGAAGAAGAAAAAGTGGAAGTAGGCTAAAAGTGCACAGGATTCACCTTCAAAAGCCATTTCACTGGTATTGCTGTCATCACCTACGCTGAACACTTCCATTGGCCATACCATACCAAGGAGCAAGCCAACTCTGGTTGTGTGAAGCTCAAAGGGAGAGTGTGGGATCCTTCTCCAACTCAGGATTAAGCCAGGTATGTTCATGAGATATAGGGCTCCTCTCTGGCTCAGACCCAAGACACACCACCACCTCAGTTACAAACCTCAACTGAACGTTTCCCTGAAATCACTGTTTGGACAGTGGAGCCTGAGTTGACAATTCTTTTGGTCAAAGGGTACTCTTATCTGCAGCAGCAACACCAATCCACCTCCATTGAGCCAGCTGTCCACTTGTCCATATGTATGATGCATAGAAATTATGACAGATTGCTTACTGGTAAGAGGACATTTGTGCATTCTCACAACCCACCCACCATTCCCACTTTGGTATTGTTTCCCCTGTGTTGATGTTTAAGTATTGGTATCAATATCAAAGTTGATACCAAACCCTTTTCCCTCTTGGTCTCAAGGCCACAGTAGGTGGCCTCAGGTAATTGTGGGAACAAATGAGAACCCACTGAGAACATGTGCACTGAGGCGGTGGGGGAGGGTTCCCACCAAAGATTCCTCAGCTACAGAAGTTTCCAAATCCATCACAAAGGTGCAGAACCCATATGTATGAATGTCTCTGTGTTTCTTTTAAAATAACAGATTAAAATGCATGAGTATATGCTGAACTTTTTTTGCATTTGTTATAACCAAAGAAACTAGCACTTTACAAACATGATAGTTAGTTTTTATGATTAACATTTTTAGATGAGTTAAATAGTTTAGGTGATGCATGCTGAAAATATAACAGATAAAACAACATTTTGTCCTGTGGTGAGTACATTCAATCACTTATCTTTGAAACACATATCTCATTTTTCAGTTTCCTAAATCCCCAACAACTATATCAAGCAAACACATGTATACATAGAACAACAGCAACAGCAAAAACTCAAATAGTAGTAACTGGAAACAAAAACAGCCTCATTAATAAAGTGCCAGATTAGCCAATAAACACTCTTACAAATATGATCAATTGGATAAAAGTAGGTTCATCATGCACTAAAAATGCTACAAACCAGAAATTTAAAAGGCTCAGGAAAACAAAAGGTACTTAAGCTGACCCTTTAAACTTGGCAAGGAGGGCTCCAGTGAATCTGCTGGGGAGAGTTTTCTAGAGAACAGCCAATGCATAGGATCCTTCCCCCATCGCTCTCCACCTCACCTCTGATATTGGGGGCACAAAGAAAACAGCCTCTAATGTAAATTTCAATATCTTGGAATTTTCATTTGAGACCAGGCAGTCCTTTAGTTCTGCTCCTTTATTGTTATAAAGTGATTCCCCTTTATTAAAAAATGTATGCCACAAATGGCTTCCATTAATATTACAAAAACACAACTTGACCTTGTCCACCCAGGCATACCTGCTATAGTCAATTTTCATGCTCATTGAGTTCTTCAAAGGTAAGTAGAGATAAAAATGGAGATGATGATTTTGGAGGGGAAGTATTTCTGGGCTTTGCTTTTCTTTCAACCAGCAATTTCTCTCTACAGTAAAATTAGTCTTTCGACATGGACGAAAGCTTTTTATGAGTAGTTGTTATATCTATTATGCTCTGAATTTCATTGTGCCCAGAGGTCTATTCCATAAAAACATCAGTTTGATTAGTTTTCTGTTCAGTGTTTTACTCAGAAAAGAGTACATGGGCTTCAGATTTCTTGCTTGTCATGACTCGATACAGAGCAACATAGTTTAGAAAATAGCAAACACATAGCTGAATATTTGGAATTATTCTGCAGTTATTTTTCTAACTGAACTGTGTTAGTCTTTACAATTGTGGGTTCATGCATGATCCAGTCAAACACTTGTAGATTCCACAGACTTAGAGAGTTAAGATTATACCCAACTTTCTCCTTTTGATATCAGTGGGATTTATTCCATAATCATATGCATGAGTTCCACTATTTTCAATGGGGCTTATTTCCAAGTAAGTTTCTGTAGAACTACACTCTTAAAATATGTAACTTTGGTTGTATGATGGCCTGAAAATAGAAGATATGGTAGGCAGCCCTATGAGCAGAGCAGGACTTAGGTCTGAGCAGGATTTAGGTAAATGTTCATAGAATCAGACTATATGATTAAAGGATCATAAGGATATAAGGATCGTAAATAAGGATTCGCTTATGGAGGTCTTAACATGCAACTGGGGATCTGTGTCCTCATGACCCTTGCAATCTTCTCACTTGCTCAGTGGTGAAGCATATACTTTACATGCAGAAGGTTCACTACCCATCAGACTAGGACTAGGTAGGATCCCCTGCCTGAAAACCTGGAGAGGTTCTGCCACTCAGTGTTGGCAATCCTGGAATAGGTAGAACACTGGCTTGATTCACTGTAAGAGATCTTCCTGTATTCTTGTTTCAGAAAAGAAAACACACATACACAATCACAAACATAAACATGAAGGAGACAAGGGGTCCAGGCCTGGCACCCTTCGCCCAATTAAAAACAACAGGAGTGAGAGATGCAAAACTTTGTTTTATTCTTGATAGTAAGTTTGATCACAGTAAAAGGGCAATCAACCCAAAGCACATGGCATAGTCCCCTTTTATCTCTTTGCTGACCAGGTAGCAATGACTGATGTTCATTGAACTGAAATTTCCACTGCAGTGAGATTGGTATGTTTGAATTCCTGTTGCTCCTGCACTTACCTGGGAGGCTGGGCTACCTGGGAGCTCTTGCAGGAGATTGCTCAATCTCTGGCCATGTGGAATACTCCAATTTATGTTGGTGTTGCCTGTAGATGTGACCAGCCTGCCCAGGCTTAATGCTGGCCAGCCAGGTATGTCCTACAGACACAAACACACCTTTAAAGCCTGAAGTGTAATCCTAAGCATGTTTGCTCAAATATATGTCCTTAGGATCTAATCTAAAAATACAATGTAGTAACTAGAGATAGAAGAGGGCCATCAAACCATTTTCAACCTAAATTTTACTCTGGAGAAGCTCACAGAAGATGCATGCAAAAATGACATTGCCTTTAGGTTAAAACATTTTCTGCCAGTATTTTTGATGGAGGACAGAACTGTGCAAAATTCTGGAAACCATCAAATTATCAGTGATTGGAGAATGGGGATGCTGCCCAAGGAAATGGGGTGCCACCATGTGGGGAATAATTACAACTCCAGGAAGTCCATATTTAACCTCCAAGGCCTGAGATTTGAAACAATCTGGACCTTCAGATGCAGTGGGGCAATGCAGCAGGCCTGGAAAGCATTATTCCCAACTCCATGGGTTAGCAGGAGTAGTACCTGCACTTCTCATGCCCCAAGCAGAAGAACTGAATGTGCCTATTATTCACTGGAATCAGCACACTTACAACAACCACCTACAAATTCCTAAAGTCACATTTCATTTCCTTTGCTTTTGAAATGTCAGTTGTGCCAGTATAATACAAGTAATTTACATTATTGGGGTACACTGCAATTATTCCAACATAATTGGAATAACTTTTGAAGATATAATATTCATGTTTATTGCACTGGATACAGGCAAATCCCCTGCACAAAGATAACATAATAAACCCCTTTCACAGAATAAGTCTGGAATTTCCCTATAAATCTCCTAAGAGAACAGAATTTATAGTCTTACAATCTGATTTCACATGTATCTGCCCACCCTGAAATTACTGTGAAGAAACCTCTAATGACTCAGTTAATGCTTACAATAAAACTTAAAAGCATGGTAAGTGAGTGAAGAACCAAGTCTTTACAGAGCCCATCTGTCTGAATGCTTGTCCAAATACTATTAGCATACTCACATTATGCTTATAAAAACCCATAAGTCAATGCTAAAAATAATAATAATAAACCTTATTATAGTGTAGGGGCGGTCCTAAGGTTCTTACAGCTGAAATCTGTAAGGGTATATGTAACAGAAAAGCACGTGCAGTGGCTTCGACAGAAAAGGACATACTGACACTAAAGTTTTATCATTCAAAAATGGCTCTTGCATCTTCTTTTTCCAAAGATAACACTTTGCATTATTGGCATTTTAAATACATCTACAACTTAAAGGAGATGTATTTTAGTGGACAGCCCTGGATACATAGCTATGCATTAGTGGATATGTGTTAGTGGCCAGTCATGGCATACAACCCCATTTTTTTAAATTTGAAACTGTGTTTCACTGAGTACAATGAAATTACTCCTAATAAATGTGTTTAGGATTTCAGCCTAGGATTTCAGCCTAAGGCTGTCATCTTACACATACTTATATACAGGTAGCCCCATTGAAAGCAATGGAACTTACTGATTTAATTCAATATACTCCTGTGTAATTGGCGCCTTCTTTCTAAGCATATTTACTTGAAAGTATTTCCCACTGAGTTTAAGGAAACTTTACATGCAACTATAGTGGAACTATGGCATAGCATTGCTTGTTTTATCAAGCATCAGAAATTCAAATAACTAAGGATGTCATCTCTCACACTCCTATATGGGAGTAAATCCTATTGAGCTCAGGTTTACAATAGAGTTGCACTGTAAACCATTTTAAAGCTAAGAAAAATAATGAGCTAAACTGGGTGTGATGTGGAATGAGATTTTTAAAAACAAAACAAAAATTTCATTAATAGGCTAATTACATAATCAACAGCAGCTTTTCAGAGCCCCAATTCATACTAGGCACATAGCAGTAGGAGAAGAAATATTAATTTTTCCCATCCTACTGTATTCTCTTTGTTAAAATCATCTTCCCCAAACTGCCATTTGCCTCACAGTACAAATATCTGGAGACATTTTGCCTGATAAAGACCTCTCTGAAGCATGAAAGCATTTGTATTCTGATATTAAACGAAGTCTGTCAGGATCAATATTGTTCTGTGTCCACTGAGTAACTTGTTTTTTTTTAATTAATCAAAAATAACATAAAATCTTGAGATGGAAAAAGTTGAGAATATTTGGGAGTCCCAAGTTCAGAGTGCAGTAAATTCTAATAAAGACAGTAAGATTCCCAAACACAAACAGGATATCAGTTCAGATACTTATTCTGAAACTCAACTCTGAAAAATAACGAAAGGAGAATCAAAAAACATAACTTCCATTTGCAACATCTGGAAACACAGAATTTTTCACTCATCCTCCCAGTGATGTTCTTGACCAGTTAAGCCTTTAGTGTCCCTGTGAAACCTATCCCATCCCTTCCTACCCTACCTCTTTCTTTACACCACAGAACCATCAGGAAATAAATCAGTTAGACAGTTTGAATGCATAAAAAAAGGATTTGCTAGACCGTTAAAAGAGGTGGAGTAGGTATTATGAATAGGAAATAGACCAATCCACCAGAAGGGGGACCCACAATCAGGGTACAAGTCCTTTTCTTTGCTCCATTCTTACGTTCAAATCTCAGCAGAAATAGGAAGCTGCAACTGACATTCTGTTCAGCAACACATGGGCCAAGTGGTCCAGGAGAAAGGTCCCTACCCCGCTCTGTAGGCTAAAAACCAACTTTGAAAATCTGTTACTCCCACTTTGGCTGTGGAGGAAAGCCAGACAGAAGTTCTTTGGAACATGTAGGTAGTATATTTGGGCTTAATTAAAGGCTTACACAAACACATATTTGGGTATTCAGTATAGGCAAACCTCTTTTCCTTTTCCAAGAAAGTATTACAAACCGATTGATTGCTTTTCCACACACTCACACCATTATAGAATAAAATTAAAAAAAGAAACAAAATATAATGCAAACAAGAGTCTGTTGCTTTTAAATCAATGAACAGAAAAATCCAAGTGGCAAAATTCTTGCAGGCAGAGTTGTGTTTGGGATCTTGTGAGTATTTGCATAAATCGTGTTGCAGGTTTGCTCTACAAGGTTTTCATTGATTTCCCCTCTGCCTTTGTTTCTGCACTATCAGTAAGTACTCTTAAGCCTTGCTTAGATTTTGTTTTTCTTCTTCATCTAAGCTCTCCAGGCAAAGCAAATTTTCCAACTCGTTTTAAAATCCGGAGCACACACACATACTTACTTTCAGCTATTTTTTTCACCTTGAATATTACATTAAATTCAAAGTTCTGCTAACTGCAATCTAAGAACAGCAACTCAAGACTGTGCATGAACTTACCATCAGTTTTGACAGAAGCAATCTGGAAAAAGAAGACGACGGCTCCTACAAACGGGATGAAGGCGGGAGCCATGGCAGAAAGGAAAGCAGGGCTGGGACGGGACGGGTGGAGGATGCTGAGGACTTAAAGCAGCGAGATCCCGTACCTTGGACATCCACCGATGGGGATGGAGGGCAGAGGCAGAGAAGGAAGCGATGGAAAGAGGGAGGGGAGCAAGCTTCCCCGACTGCCCTAGGGAAGAAGGGGGGGGGGCAGAGTCCAGTCTTTGGAAAGAGATTTTATCCAGCTCAGTTGCGTGCATGGAGAGCCCGTGTGAAAAGTGGCATTGTGTTGTGAGTAAAGACTTGATGTATCGGAGCAGAAGGGTTAGGGGGCTGGTTTGTTTGCAAAGGAAATATATAAGGGGAAGGAGGGAAGTGAATGACAAGGCAACCCACAGGAGCAGTCTGGGCATACTGAGGAACAAATCTCACTACTTTCCACAGAACATTTTCAACAGTCGGAGCAGCCCCTTAACGGGCTCAGTTCACACATGTGAGCTGACACAGCAGGATGAAACAAGGAGAGGGTAGTGTGGAGACAGCCACCGACATTTCCCCGGTTCCAGCAAGTGCAAACAGCACAACCAGAATCGCTGTGCGATTGTTGCAGGCATGTTTCTAACTAAGATTTCCCTGCTGGACTGTTTGCCCGCATCCGTGACTGCTGCTCGACAAAAGCCAGCTTCTTCCACAAGTGAGCTGATTCTTTGCATGTCCTTTTGGGGACTGAATGGAGGACTGGACTCTTGTGCATAAAAGAATGCATGAATAGTAGCTGTGAGCCATGCACCCCTGAATAGCCACTATATGGGCAGATGTTCATGCTGCCAATCTTCATATGAACAGTACCTTCATGTTAACACTAATTCACCAACATATTAGTGAGGTATGATATCAAATTACACAAAAGTCCAAACTGTAAACTGGATCAAGATTAACATGAGATCAACTTTGTTGGCAGAAATGGATCTCTCCATCTCTTCCCTACCACAGCAGCTCTTCCAGCCCCTGCAAATGCCATGCCCAGCTGAAGGTAGGGGAGGTGGGGAGATCTTCTCAAATATTCTGGATCTAACCCCTTGTGTCTATGTGTAGGGTGGTCTTGCTTCTATTAGCATCTTTTCTGGATCTCCAGCTTCTTTTTCCTGCACTGTCTCTACCATAGATCCTGATGGAAAAGTAGGAAAACCATGAAGAAAAGGAAACCTCCTCTTACTGCTGCCAGTATTTTTTTTGGTTAAAACACAGAGAATAATTAGCTGTTTCTGTTGGAAGTGAATAGAGCTCAGAAATGTTTTCATAGTCTTCTTCTCTCTTGCAATTTCCCCCTGACTTACTGAGTGAGCCTGCCTGCCTGCCTGCCTTCCTTGTTAAAGAAATGTGAAGTTGGCAAGGCACATGCAAATCTTCCAAAAGATCAGAGACTCAAGGAGGAATAACTACAAAAAGCAGGAGTTGACTTATAAGAAGTAGCTCCTTCTGTCCTCCCTTCAAAATCCCGGACAATTCAAGTGGTGTGTCTTTTGATACACAGAGATGAGGAAAGTGCTGCTTCTGAATATACTGATGGTTATTTTCTGCATCTTTGAATTCACAGGGAAGTATGGTGGGCTGTGGTAGCAGAGGAGATTGGAAGGCAAAAGAAGTTTCTTATTTATTTATTTATTTATTTATTTAAACATTTCTATGCCGCCCCTTGCGGAAGCCTCGGGGTGGCTCACAGCACAGAATAAAATACAATAAAATACAAAAATAACAATATAAAACCAACAATATAAAATAAATAACAATATAAAAATATAAAAGAAGTCGCCCTGGCCAGATAAAATAAATAACAATATAAAAGAAGTCGCCCTGGCCTGATAAAGTATCAAATAACGATCTTATCTTAAAGTATCAAATAACGATCTTCAGGGATAACACTGTTGACATAAGTTTCTGTATGGGGAGAAACAACATGCAAGTACTGCTTGTCTTGTACTCTCATACCCTGCTATAATCGTTCCAAATTAGGACCACCCCACCATCTTTGGTAATGGGCCTCCAACACTAGCTTGCCTACAAGATCATTCGCCAATACTGTGCTCCAAAGCCGGAGGTGTTTTTGTTCAGTAGAAAGCCTGACCACGATTCTACCTGTTCTGCAAGGGATGATGTTATCCATGAAGGATCAGATTTATAGCCTTGGGCATGCTTTTGAGCCTGCACTGTCTGTGAATCTTCAGGTGGCCAGGCGAGTGTTTCTACAATTACTATTGGTCTGCTAGCTGTGACCCTGAGTCAAGCTGACTTGGCAACATGTATCCAGGTTTTCATAACATCACATTTAAGCTACCGCAATTCAGTGTTTGCGGGGCCACCCTTGAAGAACTCCCAGACAGTACAGTTGGTGCAAAATTGGCATCTGGGATGTTAGCTGGTTTATAATATTGGGACTAAATTGGCCCTGTCTTGAAAGACCTGCTTTGGTTGTCAGCTACTTTTTAAAGGTTGCAGCCAAGTACAGCTGTTGTTTTTAAGCTTTAGAACCCCAAGCATCTTCAGATCTGACTATTTAAGGCATTGCCTGTCTCATTAGGGACCTGCGTTGGTATGAAGATCTGCAGGAAGTGTCCTGGAGGACGCCTTTACCCACACAGGCCCGTTTGTTGGGTATGTGTGAAAGGGCTTTTTCTTGTGTCACTCCCAAACTGTGGAATGCATTCCCTCAGGAACTAGGATGGCTCTCGAGCAAACAAGGCAGTATATCAAAGTTAGAAATAAATAAATGCAACCTTTGTTAGAGCTGAGGAATGCCTCAACAGGTGAGCACAGGTTTGTTCTTTTTGCTGCTGCTACTCTAGCAGCGGAACCTCCGTTTTCCAAATTCCAGCTTCGTGGTCTACTGGTTGCCAGACCAGTCAGTCAATAAAAATCTTACTCCTATAGGTATTTTAATGAGTCTAATACTTGATGTTAAACCATCAACACATTCTAGACTTTTGAACATATTTAATATTTACCATTAATGTTTTAAACTCTCTGGGTTCAATCCAGCCATAATCATAAGTAGATTTGCCATTAATTGTGGTGGGTCGTGAATGCTATTAATTGTGGTGGGTCTAGTGGTGTGGAATTTCAGCTCAGGCCTTGGGCTTCTGCAGATCACCATGCCAGGTTGCCCTGGCCCCATCCCCTTTCCCCAACTGCTAGTCATCGGTAGTTTCCCTCTGTACACTGTGGTAGTTGAACTGTCTCTCCAAACACCTGATTCCAGCAGGATTAACCTAAAATATGCTAGAACGGTTGATAGTTTGGGCCTACCTAACACTGGAATGTGGCCCCTACGAACTTCCCTAAATAGAATCTGGCCCTTGGACTGAAAGAGATTCAACAGCCTGGTCTACTCAATGTATGACTAGATCCGGATACAACCCTCTGAATTTTAACTGCACTTTTTATCTGCTGCATTTTGTGGGTGGTGGTGGAGATCCTTTTATACATGGCTTTGAGACTTTAAACAAAAAGTTAGCTGCCTTAAGTACAATGCAGTATTACAGTTTTTAATTGAAAGTGATTAAATTATTAATCATACAGTTTGTTTCCTCTCCCAACAACTGTAATCCGTATTATGCTGAAAAGGATCAGAAACAGTGTGGTGTGGTGGTTACAATGTTTGACTAGGACAGTTCCCACATATTCATGAAGCTCTCTGGATGACTGGGCTAATCAGTTACACTCAGCCTAACCTATCTCACAGGGTTGTTGTGAGACTAAAACAGAGCTATGTTAGCTGCCATGGGTTCCTCACAAGTGAAAAGAGGTAGGATAGAAATGCAATGTATAGAAATGCAATAAAGAAATATGCAAGAGATATACAGATAATTAATTGTAATGCCAAAACACAGTTTGCTTTCATGCATGAAAGCAGGTTTGAGCCTCAGGTTTGGATTTTCTTCCTCACATGTTCCATTATAACTACTTAACTTGTTTCTGCAGTATCAGTAAAATATAATCTGCTGTTTGGTCTAACCCAGCAAACGACGACTTGCTCAGACGCTATGGCTCCATTCACACATAATGCTAAACCATGCCTTGCGGTTTCTGTGTGGCATGATTTCTTGCTCAAGTGACTTTGTTGGGCAATCATGCGGTTTCTACCATTCATGTGGGTTTCCTCCTCAGTCCTCCAGCTGGCAGCAGGGATCTCATCAGCCTCTGTGGCTGAAAGTCAATCCCAGGCTGCACTGCTCCTGCCTATATTACCTGCTTCTTTCTCCTTGGTCCACACAGTCCCTTGGGCATGTCCTCAAACAGCTGTTCCTGTTGTCTCCCCTCCTCAGCAAAAGCATTTGTTTGTGACTATAATAGTGCTTTTGCACATGCACCCACACGGGAAACCTGCACAGGAAATCACACATGCTGCCACTGGCCGCTTCCTCCTTGCAGGGAGAGGGTGGCGAGAGGAACAGCGAGGCTTGTTGACAGATCCAAAGAAAGCAAGGGACAAGATAGGAGCAGAGGAGAGGGCAGGAGGACAGGATTTTGGGGGGCAGAAGACATGGGCCTTTGGAGGTGATTGCCCTGTTGGTGGTGCCCCACATGTAGCCCATGTGCCTCCCTCATGTAGGGACCAAATTTGCAGACGGGGGAGAGCAATGGCTGAGCAGCTCATGAGAAGGTGATTGTATGACCAGGTAGGAGCACTGAACACATCCAAAGAGACTGCTAGAGACAACACGATCTGCTACGGCACTTCTAGCAACATTCCAGAACTGCAGGTGGACATCTGCAGGGCAGTGAGGAAGCCAGTGGTGGGAGGGTGCATGGACCAGGGGTGGCTGGGTGGACCTGATAAATCAGTTGCTAGATAGATCTGGATAGTAGAGGATGCAGGCAGGAGCACCTTTTCTAGCAGTAGCTGCTCTTTCCGTCAGACTGTGGTAGTTGCATGGAACCATGTTTCTGGGTTCACACAACTGAACAAGCCATTGTGAAGTATGGAGCATGTTGTTTCTCTCTGTGTTTCTTCGACAACCAAACATATCTTGC